GGATATCCAATGGCTTTAGCTTCTTGACCATGTTATCACCAACTATACCATAGTATCGATTCATTTTGAGTGGAATGATAAAATTCTTTAACTTCGAGGACATCAGACAACACCTATGGAGAGTATTCACTATGAAAAATAAAAAAAAAATCTTGCAAACACAGGCACTTTTGCATCCTATTTTCATCTTACAATCATCACATCTTTGTATGATCCTATTATCTATGTGAAAAATCAAATACCTACCCTAATACAACAACCCATTTTGGTTGAATTTAACAAACTCTTCCAACAATTAACTCAACTTCCATTGCGATGACTTGATGACCACTATATTTCTCCTAAAATGAGCATAATACCACCAATGTACACCCATATTGTTTCCCTCATTTCCAAAAAATATGCAATTGAATAATGGTCTATGAAATGTTGGCTTACAACATCATTTGACTAAGTATCATCCATTATCAATCTATTTCACGCTGAGATTTCTCATAGACTATCACACATTAAATTAAGCTACAATTCCTCATTAATTCCCTTTTCCCAAATGGATGAGATGTTGGACAAACACTTTGGTTTCATAAATTTTTTTGTTGATGACATTCTAATCTACACACACATAATGCTAGATTGCTATCATCACTTGAGAACCACTTTGAGCTGCCTTTAAACTAATTAGCTTCAGCTCAAATGGTTGAAATGCTTGTTCGCCTTACCATAAGTAGAATATCTTGGACATCTAATCATTGCAGAAGGTGTCAACCCAAATATGAACAAGACTCTTGCTATCAAAGGTTCTTTGGAACCCAAAAATGTCGAGCAATTCTGCAAATTTCTTAGCTTACTTAACTACTATAGAAAGTTCATTTGAGACTTGTAACACTTATAATGCAATCAAGGCTAGTTATTTTATGTTTTCTTTATTTTTCACTTGTGTTTCTATCTCTCTTTCTCCTATGGATGTTCGTTTCTTGCTATTACCCCCTCGGTTTTCTGTTGGCCCTTCGATTTTTCCTGCTGGCTCACTTTTTTCTTGTTGGATTTTGGTTTCCCTTATGCTGGCCCTTCAGATTTCCTGCTGGCTTGGATTCCCTGTTGTCTCGGTTTACTTGTTGTTGGATACTCATCTTTTGCTCATTGCTGATTCCTATGCATGATGTTTTGACTTCCTTTCATTGTGGTTGTGTTGGGTGTATTTAGTGGTTGTTTTGGTGGCACATTTAATTGAGCATTTAATGCATTTTCCCCCTTCATCTCCAATATAAAGTGTATTATTTTCTTTGTGAAAGTGAGAGATGTGATGAATATTTGGAATGTGAAATATGCGGGTTTGTTATAGCTTGCAAGCTATCCCCTTCTACCTTCTTTTTTATATTTCATCTCTAACTTCTATCTATTATTCTCTCCAGGGTTCCCAATCCATCTATCTTTCTTCTCGAAACTTTGATTAGTCATAAGTTGTGTTGTGTCCAGATTTTTATTACAAGTTGTAAGTTATGTTGTTTTTTTTTAACAAGTCGAAATCAGTGTTGTTCCTTGTAAGTTGTAAGGTGTTGTTATTTTCTAAGTTGTGTTTGTGAGTAGTATGTGTGCTATTCGTTCTATTATAAGTAGTGTTTTGTCCTGTTTTATTATTGTGTTTGTTTATGTGTTATTGAAAGGAAGTGATTATTTGTGTACCTAGTGTTTTCCTAAAAGATTTAGGAACTTTAAGTTGCATCAATTTGGTATCTAGGCCTTAGATTTCATCAATTTGGTATTAGAGCTTTAGGTTGTCTTGTGAGTATTCCTTTCTCTCTTTTTTTTTTTTTTAAAGGATAGTCAAAATGATCAACGTGCCAAAGTTTCAATTCAAGAGGAAGATCTGTCATCAGAAAGAAAGCATTTGGAACATCAGGGAAGCATTCCCATTCAACCTAACAAACCAAACCAAGTAATCCATAACTTTTCATCAACAGATTGGCTGTGGAGGGAAACCAAGAAAACAATAGGAAAACTGAGCAGCTATATGGGAAAACCAAATAGCCACCATGGGAAGACAAAACAACCACATGGGAAAACCAAACAACAACAGGAAATTCAAGCAGTTAGCAGGAAAAACAAGTATACAACAGGGAAAATGAGAAGAGAACAAGAAAACTGATGAAATCTAAGGCTATGATACTAAATTGAAATCTAAAAATAACCTTGCTTCTAGGAATGCAAATTACAAACTTCCTTTCAAAATAACTTAAAAAAACACAAAAAACAGAATAACACAACTTCAAACTCACATTAAACAGGACATAACAACACCTTATAATTTACTATAAAACTGGATACAACACCGCTTACAACTTCCAATAAAATATGACACAACAACATCTTACAACTTTCAATAGTTTCGGGAAGAATGATACATGTGGAATGAAAATTGTTGAGAGAAGAAATAGATAAAAGTCCAAGACGAATTAGTAGAGGGAAGGTAGAAGAGCATAGCTTGCAAATTAAAAATCCGCAGGTTTCACATTCCAAAAGTTCACACAAATCTCTCTTTTACAAAGGAAATCAGCCATTTTATATTGGAGAGGAAGGGGAAAAGACATTAAATACTCAATTAAATGTGCCACTAAAACAACTACAAAAATACATCCAAAATAGCCATCATGAAGGAAATTCAAAACAACATTTATAGGAATCAACGAGGAGCAAAAGACGAGCAACCAACAGCAAGGAATTTAGGACAACAGGGAATCTGAGCTAGCAGGGAAACCAAAATCCAGCAGTAAAATAGTGAGCCAGTAGGAAAACCGAAGGCCAACAGGAAGTCGAGGGCCTAACAGCTAGAAACAAACAAACACAAAAGAAGGAGAGCTAGAAACACATGTGAAAAATAAAGAAAACATAAAATAGCTAGTCTTGACTGCATCAATTCTCCCTTGGTGGAAGAATCTAATCTTCTGATGAGAATGCCTCAGTAAGACGCTGGTAGATATCAGGACGACGATGTTGCAACTCCATAGCCCCAATCCACGAACAATCGAACAAAGTACGTCCACGCCATTTAACCAAAAAATGTGCACTCCATGTCTTGTTTGGGTGGTACGGATATCCACGACATCTTGAACAAGATCATCAGTTGGTTCTCCTTCATTAATGATAAGATTATCAACTTTATGCAAAATAAATTTTCGAAGTCTTTACAAAATCTCCATCTTTTCAGCATGAAAATGCTCCTCAGTATCCTGCATTACAATGTCATACTTCCTTCGGATCTTCTCTTCTTCCTGTTCAAACTCTGATTGAAGTAAACACTTCTTATTTTCATGTTTCTCAGCACATAAATATTGTTGTCTTTGTATTATGAGTAGTTCATTCTATATTGGATCAGTAGAACTTGTTTGAAGCGAAACCCATTCTATTGTTGGGAAGTTATTCTCTGGAATTCGATGAATAGATGACTGACTTTAAAAAACTGCAAGCTCAAATACATCTTGAATTGGAACGTAAGCTTGTTGATTGTTTTTGTTGTCTTTTTTTTAGTCGGTAAGGCTTTGGCATGAGGAAACGAGCGAGAAAAAGGATCGCAGCCGTGGGAGAAAAAAATGAATGAAGCCCTGCTCGTCTTCGTTTTATCAACGTGAGCGGAGGTGTGATCGAGGCGAATGTGAAGACTGAAGAGATGGCGTCAGATTGTAGAACTGCGAGATTTGGTAGGATTTTGCGCAGAAAATCTGTATGGGCCGCTGTTTGTGCAAGAATTTTGTCAGGGCATAGTTTTTTTTAATTAAATTGGATGATGATTTTTTTTTGGATTCTAGTAGAGTCAACAATATTAAGCATAAGTATGGATTGGCCATTTGACGCTTGAATGAGGTATTCTCAAGAAAATTCAAATATGATGAGAGTTTGACATGTTGGGTCAACCTTTGTCAAGATTGAAAGTGACAGAATTATCATGAGAGATAATATCCTCACGGGATCTTCATGCAATCCTCATGAATACTTATAGGATTATCGAATAGGAAACTAAGATGAATCGCAGTTTGTTGAACCAAGACGATGCTAAATCAAAGCCTTCAATTAGTGAGAGCTGCAAATCTTGGGAGAAAGTCCTTACAAAATGAGGGCGAAATCTCTGGGTAGTGTTTTATCTACAAACCCATTTGCCTTCCAAAATTTACCTCAGAACTTATCAGTTAAAACTCCCTCGCCGAATAAAAAGAAAAACGGGCAGAGGCCGGGGCCGAATTTTCGGAGCCCACAGGGAGAAAAAGAGATCATGTGTTAGGCGTGTGTGGCAGCACTAGCGACTGCGCGTAAGTAGGCCCAAAAGCAAATCCTCTATGAGGTTTTGACTTTGATGCTATCTTGATCTTGAAGCTGGCACGATCATGACCAGGCGAAGGTTACGACATGTGAAGGGGATCTACATGGGATCTGCACAAAGACAGAGACACTGGCATCGGAGATTAGGAATATTCATAAATTAAGAATATAAATTAAGACAGCTGAGCAAGCAAGCACAACTTTGTATGTATGTTTTTTTTTCTATATAATAAGTAGAACCTCCAAGGAGGGCAGGTAATTTGTGTACAAATATGTTTGTTCAGGAACCTAGACATAGGGATTACTAATTTTGCATAAGGAAAAAGGTGGTGCTTCACTGCATCTGCAATTTGTTTATTCCGTTAGAATATATTAAAGTAGATATTGAAACCATATTCAGAAATACTGACGATAGCAATCTAAACATTGAAACAAACAGTATAAAGTAGCATTGCAAAGCATGTAGATTGGCTTTTCTTTGCTCTTCCTGCGTTCTATTTATCATCCATGACCATGTACCATTCAGCAAGTTAATTGAAGGGACTGCAATGTACAGTTTTTTTTACTTAAGAGGTATAAATCTATGGTGCACTTCTGAAGTGCAAGTTATCCCATGTTTTAATTCATCAGCATCTTCAACCTTATCTGAAAATTAGATAAGGTAATTGTTTCCATTATTGTGGCTACAGGTCTGCAATCCTGCAATTCAGTTCATGTTGTATGAATCCATGTTGAAGAAACTAAAGAAAAATCGTGCCTCCAACATGAAAGGTGCTGAAGGGTTAACTGCAATTGAGGTAGATTTCTAGATATCATCTTGTTTACCGAGGATTTGCTGGAAAAATATAGAGTATGTGTAAATTGTCATTTATTTTTACTGAATGATAAACTATATTTGAAACTTAATTGTATTTTCAATTTTGATCCTTAAGGTGTTAATTTTAAAATTTTCCCGTTATACAAGCTTATATATATGCCATTGTATTGTGCTGCTAAACTATTAGATATTCCTTTTTGGAGCTGTTGCCAAGCTTGGAGCCACCGTGGCAACATATCCCCTTCTTGTTGTCAAGGTATGTTGTTCTATGCTGCCATCCATCTGAAGACGGTTTTAGATGCTTCGCTCCATCTATTCTGTGTCCAAACTTATGTTATTACTGTTATAATTTTATTATGTTGTTGTTTGTATAGCCTGATATTCTTTATGCTTCATCTTCGTGCAGTCAAGGCTTCAAGCAAAGCAAGGTCTTCATATAGATAAGAGGCATCGCTACCGAGGTCAGATATTCTTATTTTTATTTATCTTTTTATTTTAGGGGAACTATTGGTAGTTTATACGTATTTTGTTGATTGGTTATAGTTTTTTTTTCCCCTTTATTCTTACTATTCACTTAGATTGTGTTGATTGGCAGAATTTAAAAGATTCATCTGGTATTGTAAGGAGCATCTCCATTGTGTCATCTGCGCTATTATGTAAAAAACAGTGTAAATATGCACGAAGCTGCTGTCACTGTAAGGTTTAGGTAGAGATTTTCATGACTTGTTTCGAGTCACTTTACTCCATATCATAATGGAGCAAACTATACGCCTTTCCTAGTCTCAACAATTCTCTGTGGCCTTCTTTTTTTTTTTGGTTCTTCTTTTGTTTTCCTTAAGTGTTGCAGAGATGATGATGCCCAGGTGGATGAGTGGCTTTACCCTTAGAGATAGGATACGAAATAAGCATATATATGAAAATGTTGGAGTAGCTCCAGTAGAATATAAGATTAGAGAGAGTTGTCTTAGATGGTTTGGTCACATAAAACGACGGCCTTCCGATGACCCGATTAGGAAAGTAGAGGTTTTAGAGTTGACTTATGTTAAGAAAGGTAGAGGTGGACCTAAAAAGACTTTGTTAGAAAAAATTAGAAAAGATCTTTCTTTATTAGAGTTAAACGAGAATTTAACTTTTAACATGACACAATGGAGAAAAAAGATTCACATAGCTGAACTTGTTATTGTTGTTGTTGTTGTTTTGTTTTCCTTATAATAATACAAAATAGGGCTGCCTTACTGATATTTGTTAGCATCGATAAATTTTGATTTCCTCGTTAAACCTCATGAAGTTTGGGTTTCTTTCTTGTATCAGGTACTTGGGATGCGATAACCAAGATGATCAGATACGAAGGTCTCTTTCAATTTTACAAAGGAATGGGTACAAAGATTGTCCAAAGTGTTTTTGCTGCTGCAGTCCTCTTCATGATCAAGGAGGAACTAGTGAAGATGGCTAGATTGCTGTTGACCCGTGATCTCACACGTAAAAATAGTTCAAGATTGGAACCATCTCGGCCATAACTGGTTCTAATTCTTTTCCCTTCCTGATTTTACTATCCTTAGAAGCATATAATAGTTTCCACTTCTTGCCATTCCTGAAAGCTTACTTTTCAGCCTATTTATCAATGTTTTATACTTGAAAAACAATAATTGTTATCATCACTGTCTTCAATATTCATATAAAACAATTGGAAATTATCCAAGTTGCAAGTCTCATCAACTTAGCCAAGTCAGGCATGTAATCGATCTGTAACAACTTCATATGGATACTTCTAGTTTTATAGAAAAAGAATGGCAAAAAAGTGTAGCGTAGAGATTAAATGTATTTTTGGGCAGCTCAGCTTTTCATGTTTTGGAGGCTATTAATGAAATATAATTATATTTCTTATCTTCAGTAAAACCCTAATTTAGCTGCATTTATTGTGTCAGTTCATAAAGAAAAAAAAAAACTTTGAAAGATTACAAGTTTTCATAACAAAATCTAATGTTAAATTTTGATCAGACTTGAAAACTAGATTTTTCTGCTAAGGAGAGAAAATTTGCTCCGCTCTTGATTATGATTTTGGTTAAGACAAATTTTTTGTTATTTTTTAAAGCAGGTTTTTAGAATAATTTTTTTTTTGAATTAAAAAATTTTGAACTAAAAAACTGTTTTAAAAAACATTAAGAAAGTTGACCCAAACAATTCCTTAAACTCACCAAGTTTCAAGCTTGATTTGGCAGCATATACATTATTGCAAACTTTGATATTTCTTTCCAACTAAAAATTAGTAGGGCAAGTTTTCAAGTTTTCAGTGGACAAATAGCTAAATATTTTGTTTATTATTCATTTACTAATCATTTAGGTTCAATGGTTCCTAATTAAGTTCATTTGATACATACAAAATGATTGTATTAATTATAGATGAATCAAATTTGAGTCATATGCTTAAATTATGGGGGAGTATTTAAACATATTTTATAAAAAAATATTGATTTTGAAGAATTGGTTTTGGTTTTATGTTAAGAATAGAGGTGTAAATGATTGGAGCTTTAGCAAATTTATTGTGTTCATAATCTGCTTATTTGATTTCTAGTCGAATATGAGTTGATTTTGAACATAATAAAATGAATAAATAATTATTTGAGTATTGCTTGGAAACCATGCACACTGTTGTACTGGCGTTTGGGTCCCACATCACGGATATGTGGGCAAAGAAGTTAGTCCATGAATATAGAATTATGATAGAAATTTGGAATATAGGTTTTATTACAGATAAATTAATATAATTAATAAATATCATGATTCATAAGAGAATAAATATTCTATACATTAGGGAACTTAAATGGCTTGAAGAGAATGCTAAAGAGATTGATAGTTTAAGATTTAAATTATAATATTTAGGTAGGAGTTATACTATAGACTTGAGATAGATATGATTATATATAATAGTATATAGTATAATGTGGTAGAAATTAATAGAATTAGAGATAAAATTATAATTTTAAAAATTGATGTTGATATTAAAATTATTAATATCATAAGTTTATGTTTCTCAAGTTAGTTTGGATATGTGTTCAAAATTAAATTTTAAAATGATTTAAAAGAATTAATACAAAAAGTAACTCTTAAAGAAAGTATTTTATTTGAGGAAATTTAAATAAATATGTTGGTAGAGATGTATACAGTTTTAAAAGTATTCATGATGATTATGATTTCATTGTAAGATTATATTAGATTTTTTTAGCTTGTGATTTTATTTTTGCTAATATCTTATTTAAGAAAAGAGAAGAACATCTCATCACTTATAAGAATAGACATAGTAAAACTCAATTTGATTGTTTTCTTATAAGAAAAATAAATCATTTAGATTACAAAGATTGTAAAGTTATTTTGAGTGGAAGTTTATGTACTTAACATCATTTATTAATTTTGGACTTTAAGAAGAAAGGGGTATAATATGAAAAATAAAGTAAAATATTATCATAGGATTAGAAGGAGGTATTTAAATAACTCTAACAAAAATATTTTTAAGAGTAAGATTCTGATTGTGCATGAGAAAGATGATATTTTGTGAAAAAAGTAGCTAATAATATTAATAATGTTGCAAAGGATGTGCTTGAAGTATCAAAATAAAAAGCTCATATTAGCAAAAATAATTATTGTTGCAATCAAAATGTGCAAGAAAATATCAAAAATAATAATAAAAAAAAAATTATACAAATTGCTTTACATGTAAAAACTCAAAAAGTTGAGAAAGATATAAAGGAAGGAGTCTAAGAAAGTAATATGTGATGTAAATAATTTAGTTTTTAATGATTTATATAATAGATTAGATACTCAGAAGAGCGAAAGATGTATGTATAAGTCAACTAAGCAAAGTGATAGGAGAAGCAATGATTTAGTTCAAGTGAAGTGCATTAAGAGGATACAAATCAAAAAGTGCATTTATTAGAAGAAGATATTTATTAAAGATGGATAAGATATTTTAATAAGTTTTTCAATGAATTGTAAGAATACAATTGATTTTAGTGGCCTTAGCATCCCAAATAAAAATAAATATTTTTGTTTTTATCGGCATGTTAGTAAAACTGAAGTTTAAGAGGTTTTAAAGAAAATGAAGTGTGGAAAAACTATTGGACCTCATGCTATTCCTATAGAGGTGTGAAAATGCTTAGGAGATGAATGAATTTTTGGCTTACAAAATTTTTCAATATTATTTTGAAAACTAAAAAGATGTCAAATGAGTAGAGGAGTGTGTTGATTCCTATTTTTAAGAATAAAGGTGATGCGCAGGAGTGTGTGAATTATAGAGGAATTAAGTTAATATGTCATACTTTAAAACTTTGAGAGAGAGTTATTAAGCATAGGTTATGACGTGATACTAATGTTTCTTAAAATCAATTTGGATTCATGTCGAGTAGGTCTACTATGGAAGCTAAACATTTATTGAGAAGTTTGATGGAGAAGTAATGTGAAATTAGGGAGGATCTACTGATATTTATTGATTTAAATTTAAATGAGAATTTAACACTTAACATGACACAATGGAGAAAAAGAATTCATGTAGCTGACCCACGTAGTGCGATAAATGTTTGTGTTGTTATTGTTGAGCTTGATTACTTATCAAATGAATCAAACAAGAGCTACTAATGAATGATGACCTTTTTTGAAAGTCTTAACTAGGAAAATCTTTTGAAACAATTTTTATGTTAGAAAAATATAAATAACAAAGATATGATATTCATCTAATATGTATTGGCCTTATAAATGTATATGATCATCACAAAGATTGATATATGTTTATATCAATGATCAAAATTGAGTTTTTGTCAATTGTATTTGTTATGAAGATGTTGACAAAATATATTCAAAGTGAGGTGTATTGATGCTTATTTTATTGTTGATAAAATTTTAATTAGCAAGACATACATTGAAATAAGCAAAAAATTATAATATTAAATAAAATGATTAGAAAAAAGCCTTAAAATTATGCTTATTAGAAGAGTTATAAATAAATTTAGTATTCCTTTCTTTTATTGTCTTGATCGATAACTCTCTCATAGTCTCATGTATGTCTTCTTCTCTCCACAAGCTTGTGTTTATGGGATGGTCAAACTACTCTTTCTAGGTGTCAAGGCTCTATTTATAATGAAAAATAAGGAATGAGTTTAAAATACAAAAGTTATTAGAAGATTCCATAAAATATGACAAATTTTCTCAAAATCAATAAATAATATTTTAAAAATATTTACGTTATACAAGGAACTCCAAAAATATTTTAAAAACTTTTAAAAAATGATTATCCAAATAATTATATTTAATGAGGAAATTTGAAAATATCACATTAAAATTTTATCTTATTTTTTCTTTGGCTCCACAAGATTAACAAATTCATGATATATATGATAATTGTTAACTTATTTGAACTTTTACATGGCTCAAAATGATAAATATTTGGTATGTTATAGAATTGACAGAATTTATAGTGCACTCATAAATTTTGAAACTTTTATGTTGGCTAAGATTTCATTTGGAATAGCTTTCTTACTGTTTTCTAAAATAATTTTCTACTATAAAAATTTCTAATTAAAAAAACTAACTAAAAAACTGTTTTAGAAAGCATTAAGAAAGTTCTCCCAAATAAAACCAAGGATTTCATTTAATACAATTTTTTTATTATTTTCTAAAGCAACTTTTTAGAACAAAAATTTCTTATTCGTGAATTTTTTTAACTAAAATTTACTTTATAAACCAGTAAAAGCTTTTTCAAACAAAGCTTAAGGTTTCGTCTGGGACAGCTTTTTTACTAGTTCTTAAAGTAGCTTTTTAGTATAAAAATTAAAAATTTTATATTAAAACCTGCTTTAAAAAATCGTAAGAAAGACATCCCAAATAAAATTTAAATCTTTCAATTTATTAAAGAATAGTAGAAAGGTTTAAAAAGCATCTCTCTTAAACCCAAATGGAAAGTACTTAAACAAGATAGGCATAACCTTATAATTGTCCTCATCTTCTGTTTCTTTTAAAGAGAAATTAATTTAAAACATCAAAACACAAATAATTTAATGAATTTATCAATTAATAAACAAAACAAATGGTTTTAAATTTAGATAAATTTATACATTATTTTATTATAAATATATAATAACCCCAAACACGTGCACATTTGAAAGAAGAATGTTTCTTTTTACCTTCTAAAATGAGAGAAAAAAAAAATCCCCATACAAATCCTCAATAAACTGTCATATTTTAAATAATTCTAAATATATAATAAATAACTATTCTTTTTGAAAAAATTTAGATCGCTGCCAAAATATTCTTTTAATGATATTGCACAATAAGCCATAAGATGCATCCAAAATATGGTGCCAAATAGTAATCCAATATAAAATCTCAAGACAGTTATGAATCCCATTGGAATTATCAATTTCTCATAGCTTTTGTACAGTAGTAATTTTAACCTGTAATGAAGTTTTCAAAGCACTACAGTAACGCTATCACATAAATATAAACGAATAAGCACAAAAAATGTATTGGTACAATGAAAAACTTCGATTTTTTTTTTTCAAATTAATTTGTACACTTGCTATGGTGCAATAGGTGAAACTCATAAAAAAGAGTTCTGGAATCAGATCAGTATAGTTAAAATGGAAAATAAGATGCCTTATTGCCTCATAAGAGAAAGACATAGTCCATCTTATGTGATATCAAAGCTAACTACTCTTGGAGAGATTATTTCGTGCGGACACCGGACGGTACCGCTTGATACCGAGTGGTCTCGGTACCAGCGCTCAGTAGAGCTCGGTACCGCGCTCGTTGGTACCGGTACACTTTTGGAGAGACGTGTCACATTTTATTGGTCTTTGAACGACGTCTGGACTCCGCACCGAATAATTTGTCCTAATTAATTAATCTTGAGGATGTAATTACAGCATAGAAATAAGCAACTGTGGTGCTTTTCTTGTGTGCAAATTGAAGAAAAGATTGCTGCATCTTTTACTATGAAAAGATGAACAGTTTTGTCATCTTTATTCATACATATCACACATGCAAGTTTCAAATCTAAGACTTCTTGATTGATAATCAAAACTTCCGCCATGAAAAGTTAACAGGGACCAGCACTTAGCTCAATCTGCATTGACTCTTTCTTCTTTAACAACTTGTGGCCGGCCTTGGGGTCCAACTGATGTGCACAGTGACAGAGATATTTACAGGTCTGCTGATAGTTGTGGCAATAAAAGAAATGCCAATAAAGACAAAAGCCAAATAGGAAGAGAATAGTAACACAAACCATGATCACAACGGCAAAAAAACCATACTGGCAATAATTATTTGGTTTCACTTTTGTCATTTGTGAGACAGCCCGGTAAACCAAAAAGAAACAAGCAACTCTACTGGAGGATGGAAGTGATTTATGTATAAAATTCAGTAAGCTAGATCCAGTAAGACCAATTGGATGAATTAAATTGCCAGGACAAATAATTACATTTGAAATTTTGGATTCATTCAAATCTGGCTATTAGCCCAAAAAAGGAACACTCAATACGTTAGTTAAGACAACTGGGCAGGCCATGGAACTCTAGTGAGATGACGCTTTGTATTATTTAAAGACTGCCAGCCAATCACTGTGTTTACAGGTTATAGTTTTTTTTTTTTCAAAAAGTTTCATATAAGCATTAGATTTATGAGTTTCAAGGATGGTATTCACATATACGGAGTATCGAAACCATTTTTGTTCAGTTAAAGCCAGAAATGAGGCAGTCATGGTGGTTAATTGGCTCCCAGATATGGCTGTCAATCAATGCATTACTAAATAAAGTACTTATAAGATCCTTATTTTAAAAGCACTAGGAATTTTGCAAACAATTCAATTATTAATTTCATTTCGAGCAAGATTCTATATTGAGAATGGTGTTATGACAAATCTCATCACCTTCCCCACCCCTACTGTTTCCCATATCAGCCACGGGTGAGCCATATGAGGGATGTGGGGGGTGGATGAATTATTCTGTGCGGATGTTGAATGCCATCCATAACCCAATGGAAATGCGCCACATCACCTCCTACTCAATACCGCGGCTCAGTACTAGATGACGTGGCTGCACCTGATTCACCTCTGAACGGTAAACTGTGTCCGGTGTCTGCACAGAATAATCTCTCATGGCGTTGGTGGGGGTGTTTATTCTGTAACTATAGTAACTAAAGGTGTCATCATACATTACCCAAAAATTGACTTCTACAATAAAAGCATTTCTGTACAGTATAGCCAGAACAGCATGTTTCATGCTATAGTGACTAATGGCATTTCTTCCAATGAGACCTTTAATGATAGTTTCAAGGAATAGCAGAAGATGCAATGAACTAAATAACAGTAAAACCACAATAATGTAGTGGGTTTGCTGTGCTGAAATATAAAAGGAGAGAAGAATCTTAGGTACGCTGGGTGCATGTTAATGGTGGTTCTGTGAAATTCTGTGTTGCATGGAAGGAGTCATTAAAACAACTCTGGACATTTTCCACTTGAAGGAAGAGGGATAAGTAAAAAATAAGTGGCAAGAGATGCCAAACTAGTGGCATTCATACTAAAGAATGTTTCTCATAAGACATACTATTTTCCTCTTTTTCCTTGTTTTCCTGAACTATTGAATGTACCAGTTGAGTTTGATTGCCACCAATAAATAGACACAGGTTAAGAGACATTATTCAATATTTCATTTTGGATTAAGTGGCAAGAAGTTATTATCATTACACTCTTTCATTCCATTACAAACATTTAAATGAAAGTTAAGCTAAAATTAAAGTTCCAGCAGTACATTACAAAGCATTATTGTGTTCTGTACCATGAACATATACCTACAAACATGTAAACCACATAGAACCTAGCAAAGAGACTTATTAAACCATGAAAATGAGTTCTCCAAAACCTTCTTTAGCTTCTTTTTGGATGGCTTTCTTACTGCTTCTTAAAGCAGCTTTCTAGTATAAAAAATTTAATTTTAAAACTAGAAAGCTATTTTAAAAAGCAATAAAAAAGCCGTCCCAAAGGAAGCCTTTGTCACTCCTAAGCTCAAGCTCTATAACACGCCGTTTATAAAAGCACATACATCCGATGTTTCTCCTCAAAATTTTCTCAGATTTTAAGCTTTGTTTGATATTCAGATGGTTATGATAAGAACCTTATTGAATGACCAAATGTGATCCAACACAAAGGAGGTCCGAAGCAAGTTCTATATTACTTACTCCCTCAACTGATAGAGTGATAGCATCACATCTAAAATAGTACACCGTGGTGTCCAACAATAGAACCGTTAAGATTGCCATTATTCGAATTCCGAGCTTGCAGTTTCATTCCATATGGTTGGATCCCATAAGATGACTGAACTAAGTGAGCATCATCAGGTGATGCACTGAAAGCATTAGCTACCTCATTAGGCTGCTTTGAATCAACTACCACCGAGAATTTTTCGGTGTTGCCTGGAGCAGTTGCCGAACATGATTGCATGGTAACAACGGATGGCTGAGATGGGGAGGGAGGTCTACTATCTTCCACATTAACCATTGTGATGTCATGTATGCTAGCTCTTCTCTTATCTTTGGAACCAGAATTGAGCCTGATGAAATATTTTTGTGCATGGCTGGCCACTTGGGTAGGAGTCCTAGTGACAACAAAATTACGAGATATGTTTCTCCAGTCTCCTTTGCCATATTTTTTAAGACCCAATAGAAATCTCCTACAAAGAATTAATGAATAGAAATGAATATCCAATAAAAACTACCCAAATTCTAGCAGTTTAAGTAAAATTTCAACATGAATTATAACAGTTCAAGTCCTAATCAAACAGTTTTTTGAATTTTAAACGCATAAAGAACTTTTTTTTCTCTTTCACCCACCCCACCGGCCGAAGAACATATCTCATTGGAGCATTTAAGCAAAAACTATGAAGACAGTGCGGAGAAAACTAAATAATTATTAGCAATGAAAGAGATGGATAGGATTGAGCAATACTTGTGTTCTTCTTCAGTCCAGGGTACTCCCTTTTTCCTCTCATGATCTGTAAGCCGGCTGCCTGATCTCTTCACACCGATAGAATAAGCCTGTTTCATGTCATCAAAGTCATTGCCACTCTCCCAATCCAAAGTGAACGATGAAGAGCTGTAACCAGGGAAAGGAACAAGACCAGCTTCTATACAACTCACATCTTCCTCCAAATCCTGGTAATGGGACATTACATCCTCTACTGTCTTCCCAGGAATCATACCAGCCACCCTCATCCATCGATCAGGCGTATCTCTGTCAAAGTGGGCGAGTGCGTTCTCAAATAGCTTGTTCTCCTGCTGAGTCCAATTCCCATTCTTCTTCTCCCCAATAAGCCAATTGGAATAATTGGAGAAATAAGCAGGACTAAGAACTTCCATTAGCGAAATCTCTATCGCCAAAAAACTCCACCAGTTTTTTAGGTCCAATTCAAAAACATAGTAGAGCTTGGTCTCAGATGCAAGGGGAGTGGATCAAAGAAGAGCAATGCAGAGAGAGTAATAAGTCTTCCACAAGGAATCCAGAGAATAACCAACTCCAAAATGTTGAAAGGAGAAAGTTTGTCCACCAGCTTACAATAATCTCGATAACCGGAAGCAAATAAATTGCAGAGTTTGAAGAAAACAAGCAAACAGAACGTAGAACCCTAGAAATCCAATATGGTAATTAGATCTGGTACTCGGCAATCAAGAACCACCGGAAAAGCAAGCCTACCACTTCGAGCTCAAAACCAATAACCCTTCAAAAATCCAGAAAGCCGCCCTTGGAACAAGACCGAGGACCTTCAAAATTCGAACTTTAAGAAGATGTATCCAAAAGTCTGCAAAATCCAAGAACAGAAATGAGAGATGGAGAAGAAGAGCGACTGCAAATAGAACTAAGCTAGAGGAAGACAATCTGCAGAGAATATCATGAAGGAGAGCCCTTTTAAGTTCCAACCTCTCGCAGGAAGCTGCTGGTGGAGGGTAGGAGAGACGAATCACAGAGTCATCGAAGAGTAAATTAATCAGGATTCAGAGCTTCCCCCTTCTCTCTCTCTCTTTCTCCCTCATTTCATTCCTTTTTCGGCTGTTTGGGATATATAAAAAAAAAAGCAACAGAAGAGATGGTGGATTCTGATTGGACCTCGGTGGAGTTTTTTTGAGTTGTGGCCACTCAGCCTCTTAAAGCTTAAAAACTAAGCTCATTTTGGTATATTGGTTCAGAATTATCTATATAAATGTTAATCATCTGAAGTCCGGAGGTTTAGGGGATAATTAGTCGTTAAAACAAGATTAAGGAAGTTTAATGATGATTAACTTGTTCTCTCATGCACCTTAATACGCTTATACGAATTCCTTCTTAGCCCTTCATTAATATTGCACTATGATAGCCAATCACGGCTCAACTACCCAAGTTGGCCAATGGCTATAAACTAATATTAATTATAAAAAAGTGATTATAAAACTATAGTGAAGAAAATAAATTTTTCAAAAGTTGTTGCATATTTTTTTTCTTTTTTTTTTTTATTTTTTTTTAAAAGCTGTTGCATATAGAAGCTTCCTAACACAAATTTTAAAAAATAATAATAATAAATAGTTACTAAATAGAAATTATGGTTATAATATGAAAAATAAAATAATAAAAAAATTATCTCAAATGAATGATTTTAAAAAAAAATCATAAAATAGAAATACTAAATTAGCAAAAAAAACCATTATTAATATGAATAGAAAGATGAGTTTCCAAATACAAGCAAAAATCACATAGTAATAAAAATAATAATAATAATAATCATAGAAGAAACTAGCAAAAGACCAAGAAGGCAGGTTGACTTTTTGATTGGAGCGAATCTTTCCAAATTCAACCCTTTCCAAAAAAAACCTTTGACCTGCTTTGAAGATTATCCACCCATTTGTAGTGTTCACAAAGAAAATATTATTTCAGGTTGATGAAATGGTGTTTGTTTCAATTTATTAGTCCAGTAGGAGACAGAAGAAAAGGTTGAGAAGATTTTTAGAGCCTGATTAGATGAATTAATTACATCAAATATTGTGGAAGTCCTTAATTGTAGATAGTTCATTATTATTAGTTTTAACAAATTTGAAAGAAATTATGTGAAAATAATTATGTAAATGAGCTTAGGCAGGGGCGAAACCAGCTTTAATTTTGAGGGGGGCAAAAATATAGCACAAAAATAATTAAACATTAAAAAATAATATTATATATCTATACATTACGAAAAGTTTTTTAAAATAATTAAGCAAGAAAAATAAAGAAAAAATGTGCAATTAAACTGTTATTAAAAGCATGAAAGAGAATATTAAAACTAAATGTGAATAAATATATATATATTTTAGGACAAGTTAGGACAAAAGAGGGGGGGCAAAAAAAAATTTAAGGAGGGGCAAAAAATTTTTTTACTCTCTTATAATTTTTTTTTTTAATTTTTACTCCTATAAAATTTTTTTTTTTTTTTTTTTTTGAGGGGGGGCTATTGCCCCCCTAAGCTCACTATAGTTCCGCCCTTGAGCTTAGGCCATCTTCAAAATACTCATTTTACACTCCAAAATACAGCAATTCATCTCCAACTGAACTCCATCTTATAACATCAAAAAAGAATATACCAGATATATTTTTTCTCAAACCAAACTCTAACCGAACAAAATGATGAAAAATATGACATTAGTGAACAATGCGATGGCAATATTGATGTCGCACTGTTCACTTGGCACAAAATACCGCTGAATTTGACATTTGGTTGGAGCTCGAGGTGACTACAAACGATCATTTAGTGTTCAGTTGAAAATGACCTTAATGCGCACACATCTGTTTAATTAAAAAAATGTTGAAGCAAAGCAGTACCACTACCATAACATTCTCAACTACCAACAAAGATAGATATTTTTCTTAACTTTAAGCTCTACATGACTAAGGTTTCTTTTTTGCTTCTTTTCAGTAAAAAAATTCTTTAAAGTATTGAAAAAATAGTGACGAAAAGTTATCCCAAATAAAACTTAGATATGAACGTATCAATATCCAATATTTACATAACAATCTGATCATCCCATCTTCCCATAGATTTACACAAATTTATATTTTATTCATGTTTCATTCGCATACAACAAATTGGCCGTTTGAATCTGTCATTTGCGCTTAAACAACACTAACAAGTCAATTCGAACTTGTTAATAATTATTTGAATTATTCATATTGAACAAAACAGATTTAAAAAAAAAAAAAAAAATCGCAGCCTGAGATCGACCACAAATACAAGAATGATGATATTTTTATATAGAGGGTTAATTTGGACTTTTTACTTTTGTCATTTGGTTATTAGATTTGGAGGCATTTTAGAGAGTCATTTGTTTTGGGAATAATCTCAAAGGAAATTTATATGGATATTGAAATGACATAAAATAGTTTTTGTGAGAAGTTTTTTATTGAACACGCTGTGATGAAAGTAAATATATTTTCTTGAAAGATAGAAATAATATTTATTCGTGAATACAGAATAAAATATATATAAGTTTGAGGTTTAGTTTGAGATGGCTTTTTTGTTGCTTCTTAAAACGACTTTTTAGTAAAAAATTAAAATTGAAGAAGCAACAAAAAAGCCGTCCCAAACGAAGCCTGAATGTTCGCTATATAATTCTCTAGACAAGAAGATTTTTAAATGATATTTTTTTTATTCTAAGATTTGGCTCATCTGGTGATTAATTTTGATATCAAATTTGAATTTTAAGTTTAAGTTGAGTGAGTTATGAGACTTATTTTTCACAAAAAAAAAAAAAAAAAAAGACGGAAAAATTTGGAAACAACATATTCGACTTTATATTTCAAAAAAAAAAGTTCCTTTTTAAACAATCAGGCATCTGTCTCATCTTCCTCCATCCAAGTGTCTATCTCATCTTTCTTTGGTGATTGTCGGGTGGAGTTCGCTTGTGGGTCGAGTTCGCTAGATAATAGTAATTCTGAGACTTATATTCTTCAGAGTTTTTTTTGCAAAAGGTATAAAAATATGATCTTTGTCAAGGAAATTTATGTTCTTTAGAGTTTTTAAAGTGGGCTTAGCATTGTCATTAGAGATGCACTCTTAAATTGAGTGATATTAGATTAATATAATGATTCATTTGCTAAGATCTTTTTCCCAACTTAATTGTTTACCTATAACATCAATTTATTTTTCAACAGAAAGCAACAGAACCAATGAATCATGGAGCCATTAAAGCTAACTTTTGGCTTTCTTCTGCATTCAATAAATTAAATTAGGACTGAAGAATCTAGCCATTCATACTAAAGAGCAAAACAAGCTAGCTTTAAGTCAAAAGTGTAGAGCTTTAGTTTCTTCTCAAAGCATTGAGGGAAAGAAGATTGATGGGTACTTATACCAATGCTCTTAGAGTGAAGTGAGAATTCTATGTGACTGCCATGGGAGCGTTTTTCTCGCAAGCTGGTTTTGTGAGGCACATTGAAGGGCCTGAGACTTAGCATCCGCTGAGGCAGATAATTGTGGTTCATTTACCATGAATTGCTTGATTTCTTTCTTTTTTATTTCCTTTTTCTTAGATTTTTTTTAGGTTTCTCATGCCTTAGGTTGTGAAAACAGAGCATGATATATGAGATTTTTACAAAGTATTTCGAAGAAATTAAATTTGTTTATATAAGTTTAACATATTTTTCTAATCAATTTAAGATTAGTTTTGATACGTACTCCAAAAACTATCTTGCTCGGGCACGAATCTTGATGCAAAATCAAGCCGGAAACTTAAAAAATGAAATCAGGGACCATCTGAATTCCAATTTCAGCGAGCTTACAGTCAAACTGAGCGTCTCGGTATATTCTAGCCCGCAACAAGTTTATTTTTTTACAAAATAAGATTAATCAAGAAAATTGAACTAGTTGGGCATGTGAGTCCCCTCTATAATTTTTTTTTGACTTTGCCACTGAGTTATATCATCATAATTAAAGAAATAAGTCTTGAACTTATGTTATCATTCGGATAATACCTTTAAATCTTGATCTTATATATTGAGTGATTATGAGGGGCTTATAATTTTAAATTTTAATGAAGCTAAGGAAAACTAGACTTTGACTATACAATCCCACCAATCTCAAAGAATGTAAGATGGCATATATTATTTTATTGAAGAATTGAATCTTAAGACTTAACCATTGAAGGTTGAGTAGCACCGTGTGAGTGTTAATACTAGTCCTCATCTTCCTCCTCAAACTAGATAAGTAGTTTTTTTTTTTATTTCAAACTCCTTAGATTTTTTAAGATTCATGGTGGAATCCAATGATAAGATAGTCTAAAATAATCATTACATCATGATAGAGGTTATGACATAAGAAAGAAATATAATCATTGTATGTGCATTGATGTCTATCTAAATGAGAAAGAAGGGCTAGGATTTTCAAGACAATCACCTAATTAAAAGGCCTCTGTTTATACAAGAGTAATAAAATCTTCACTTAAATAAGATAAAGGTGCTTCGAGAAGTATGAGTTTCGACCCCTATCTAGTGAGTGTGTTGATCAAGCTCAGTTCAGGTCCAAATCAAATATGCATTCAAATGTAGATTAAATTTAATAATTTCTACCTATTTTTAGCTTGATTATTTCTGTTAATAGGCTATACATGCAAGACTAACCAATAAAATTTCAACATAACTATATTAAAATGCCCATGATGATTACATTTATTATATATTAAATAACTTTTCTTCTTATTTAATTGATCATTTTAAAATCATTATCATTATCCAAGTAGTTTGAATAATATGCTACTATTTTAAACTTCAAAGTCATTAGATTACATAATGATTTAGGTATGTCATTTTGTAGAAAACTTTGTCATTCAATCCATTATTCTTACCTAAATACATTCTCACTAGTTGATGCAGACCAACACTAGAACCAGTCATGAAGCCCTCATGATCGGCCTTAATTTTATGCCAATCCTAAGAGCATCATAGCACAATATAATTTTTTATGAAAATTCTAAGAGTACTTTTACGGATTTGCTGATAAACTATAATACACTTAATCAAAAGGTGTATCAATTGAATAAGCCTTTTAAAGTTGACATATTGTATCCCTCACTATTAGAGATGCATAGGGAGCTAAAATGCCCATCCCCTAACTCTTATAAATACACCCTTATTGGTCAAATTAAATGTGAACTTTTTCCCGTTAAAACTCACTTTTTTTCTTGTTTGAGCGCAATAAGGAAAATAATCCAAAGCTTGGGTTGAAATTCTTTAAAGTTCTCGATCGATCTAAAGTTGTTTCTAGCTCAAATCAATTACAAATGTAAATATATGCATGTCGTTGAGCTTGTTTGAATTGATTAATATTTTAATTAATTTGAATTTTGCTCAAATAAGACTTGACTCATTAGTCAAATCATTGAGTTTGACCAAAGCTCAATCCAAAGTAAGAAAATCAACAAAATTTTTAATGATCTTCGATTATAATTTAAATTCAATAGACACGATTATTTTTTAAATAAACTTTATTCAATAAAAAGGAAAGTACATTGACAGACCAAAACAAGACAGATAAAGAGTCAAAACTAGAGAAAAGGGCAGACCAACAAGACGGACTCAGTAACTGCTACAAACAATAACCCCTTATCAACTAGGCAAGGGTCATCCATTGGAGGTAGAGACAATGTGCCTACCCACAAACGACAGAAGGTCACCAAATAAACAGAGGAGAGTACAAAAGGAATAATACATCAATCCGCAAGGCAAAGTCGGCCATCCAACGGACAACCAAGGTTGCCAACGAGCCACAGCCAACAAGGGGGAAGCAAATTACAACCATATCATTGTCCAAGACTCGGTCCAAACAAGAACCACCCGAGACAAAACCAGCACCATGAAGCCAAAGACACCAAAAACAAACATTACCTCAGACATTCCAACAGCTATCAAATAGAATCCAACGGCAGCCAACCCAAACAAAGAAATCCATAGCAACAGAGAGAAAGACTACTAATATGATTTTTTCCTACCACGTTTACCCCTCCCACGTAAGGAATCTTTAGCAAAAGGATGGCCAATCCTCAAAACATACATATCATTTGACTAAGCCCAGGTTCACCAGAAACTTTCCCAAATGAGGAAACAAACTCTTCTAACCAATCAATTTGATCCAAACAACTACCCTTCAAGTTATCCTTCAAATGAATTTTCAATTCATCATTGGAGATAAGGAAGATCAGGACTTCAATAAAAGGTTCTCCATTTAGTTGCATAGGAACAAAAGACAGAGTCGGGTCAGATGTAAGAAAAGGAGAAGCATTATTATAGTTTCATTAGGTGATACATCAAACAACACCTTGTTTCTAATGCACAGATCCTTTTCCACAACCATAACCACATCATCTAGAGGAGGCTCAACAGAAGAAGGAAAAATATCCAAATTAACATTACGTTGAATCTCTTCATGCACAATAGAATCCAAATCCACAAAAATACAATCTACCTTCTCCGGAACAATATTCCGGGAGGGCAATTGGTTGGACAAAGCATTTTCCACGACATCCATAGTCACTTTATCCAAATGAACTGCAACCCCTTCAAGCTCCATTTTATGCACGGTTAAGGCAACATCACTATTTCTGCTAATACACGTACAAGAACAATGCCAGCTACAGTTACATTATCCCGATTCCCCTGAAATACCCGGGGTTGAAGCTTAGAACATTCTTTCCTAGAATGACCTACAACTTTACAATACTCACAAAAGGATGGAAAATCATCCATCAACATAATTTGAAAATAACCAAATTTCCCAGGACCCACCCACACCTTGTCAGGATATCGTTTCGTAATATCAAGTTCCACCAAAATTCTAGCAACCGATGGACGAGCCCCCACCGCAGTGGCATTATATCAACACGAAGAGGACGTCTAAAGAAGGAACCAAAACCATGTAAGATACGGGGAGAAAAGAAATGTGGCCGTAGGTTCGAGAAAGAGACCCAAACATGAACAATTGAAGTTTCCTCAGAAATGTCCACAATTAATGCAAGCCAAATATTTTCAATTAGGTCTTCTGCCATATTCATTATGGTTCCACTTCTAACCTCTGAGAGCACTAGAGTGAACTCAAACTGATAGCTCAAACAAAGTTTATACGAGCATTTATTTAACAAAAAAAGATAAAAAAAACTTATATCATGAATGATCTCTTTCATTAGCTTTTAGGAAAGGTGCTAATAAGAGATACCTTGAGGTACCTACAAGATTATAATTTTATAAATTCTTGAAGGAGCTAGCTCAACACTTTTTTCATTAGATGGACTACATTTACTTGCATGGCAACACATACTAACAATAAAGAATTAAAAAAAAAAACAATTAAAAACTTTAAAAAATACACCCACAAATACAAAATCATTAGTGCTCTACATACTAATAGTTCTTGAGAGTTTGGGTGGCTTTTTAAGGGTAAATTATTCTTTACGGACGCCGAATACAATCTAGAGACCAAACAGAATGTGTCACATCACCTCCGTTCGGTACTGCGGCTCGGTACCACGCTCGGTACTGTTGACGTGGTGCATTATGATTGGTCTCCGAACGATGAACTGCGTTCGACGTCGGCACAAAATTATTTCTCCTTTTTAAGACACCCCACTAACACTTTGGAAGGTCACTAGGAGGTGGCAATATTGACTCATTCACCCCAATCCCATTATCCACCACAAATGCCATCTTAAGACCCCAAGTCGTGTGCACCTCAAAATGACAATGCAAGAACCAAACACCTGCAACATTTCCTCAATCAGTTAGAACAACAAAAAATAATTACAAATGATTATAAATAGTTATATCGTGTAGCTCCAACAATTATCATGGAGTACCTGGGTTATCTGCTCTGAATCTCAACGCCGCCCACCCGCCCGACGGAACTCCAACAGTATTCCTTTCGATCGGGTCAACCAGATTAAAAGCAGACGGTGAGACCTTGGGATCATAGTTCCCAACCCCCTTCCCAACAACAAAGAAATTGAACCCATGTAGATGTATAGGATGGCTCTCAGGCGCAATAATCCCCGTATCTTGCAACACAAGCTGCACCGTCGAATTATACTCGAGTCTGTAAATTCTGGTCCCGCTCATGGTCTTCAGATTACTCGGTCCAGCTCCCGTGTAATTAAACGCCACCGGTGGATTCGCCGGGAAGTCAGCCGTAAACACTCCCGACAAATTGAAGAAATGCGCCTGTAACAGCGAAGCACTCGACGGCATGACAAAGCTAACATTGTTTATTGCCGCCACCACGCGGCTTCCATTGACGCAAGTGGCGCAGGGGTTCACTCCTAACCCAATCGTGAAGAGAAGGGAGTGGTCAATCGTTCTTGGGACTTTGCAAGGAAAGTCTTTTGAATTGAGGCTACGGAGAGAGTTGGAGAAGCTGGTGGCTATTGGAGTTGCGTTTCTAGATGGGATTTTGGTGGTGGTGGTGGTGGCGGAGGTGGTGGAAACAGAACCCTCGTAATGAACGGTGGCGGTGGCGGTTTTGTTGTCGACTGCGACTACCATTGTGTCCATGAAAGGGGAAGCGGTGATGAGGTATTGGCTGGGGGATTTGTTGGTGGTGAGGAGGATATTGGTGGTTTGGCCTGGGGTGATGACGAGGGTGTCGGTGGAGAAGGGTTTGGTGTAGATGGCGTCGACTTCAACCACGGTGAGGCTGTGGCCGGCGATCTTGAAGAAGAGGTCTTCGTTCAGTGCAGCGTTGACGATGCGGAGGAGGTATGTCTTGCCGCTTTTTACTTGGAGCTTAAATCCATCTGCGACGGTGACGATATTTAGTGTTCTACAGACTCAAGTTTTTTATATTGAGGAAAAAATCTCATTCTGGAAGTGCTGCACTTTAACACTAACAATGTTTCTGTAATTAAAGCTAAAAACTTGTTAATTATAATTTAAAACATACCACTCTGTGAAGAATTGCAACTAGACAAAGGTCCAGGGTGGCCGTTAATGGTGTGAGCATCAGAAACATTTGGTGCTTGACCAGTTTTCATTGCCTGGTTGATTACAGCTTCTGTGTCAGCCTTCCACCACTCTCCTGTTGAATAAGAGAGGAAACATAGAGGTTTTAATTGAATGCATAAAACTGCTTTAGAAAACAAAACTGACACAAGCTAAGGATTTGTTTGGGACGATTTTTTTATTTCTTAAAATAAAATTTTAGTATAAAAAATTAATAATAAAATCGTCCTAAATGAAGCCTAAGCCTAAATTGGATCTTTGTAGGGATTACCTAAGATGACAACGACCTCCTTGTAGGGTTGGGAGAAAGGATAAGGGACATTAGGCTTGGGCTTGATGACAATGGCGCCATGGACTGTGACCCTTAGCCACAGTATGTGGGCGTGGTACCACAGAGTGCCTCTTTGCCCTGTTATGGTGAAGTTGTAGAGGTAGCTCTGGCCGGGCTGGATTGGGCATTGGGTGATGTACGCCGGGCCGTCCGCCCAGCCCGTTCGAAGTTGTCTTACTCCATGCCTGTAACCATCACCATTAATTTCTGTTTAGGATTTGGATTCGTGTTACAGGTTAGAAGAAAAAAAAAAATAGTAAAAGTGAACTCATCCTACCCTTCGGGTGAAAATTTTATAAGAACTGTGATGTATAGGGTCATTATACCCTATATTAGTGTATTGGAAAATGCTTGTCATATAAATATGGGTGATGTAGAATATTCTAATGCAAGCATATCTTATTCACCAAACGCATTAAATTTTATGATTAAATTATTTGTCTGCATTTATTGTAACAAGCATCTATGACTTTCAAGAACTTGGTCTTGAATGAAGAAAAAGTTAAACTTGAAATAAGTCTGCAATAATGTTGGATGATTGCTTCATGTATCCATCTAAAAAAGTCCTTGAAATTCTAAACAAGTTTAGATCTCAATTTTTTTATAAGCAAATTTTTTTTATTTAAAATATAGTAAAGATTTTGTCGCATATAACTCCGAATCCTCACCCTCTCAAAGAAAAGCAAAACATTATCACTAAGGCTAGGAATGCAAATGAATACAATCCAGGCCGAGTCAAGGTTAAGTCCAACTTAACTCACTCGCATAATAACTAGCTTGAACTTGATTAGCTCAAGTTAGCTCAAGCTGACAAGAGAAAAAAAAACAAGCTCAAGCTTTATACCCACCAGCTTGAGCCAAATTTGAAGGTCACAATTGGAACTTACTAGATAAGATAACAAAGGAATCAACGGTGAAGAAGTCTTGATGAGAAACATCGATGAAATCGACTATTGGAAGAGAGAAGAATGCATCAAGATTTAGGTTTGTGAGGGGACAATTTCTCTAAAATTGGATTATATAAACCGAGATTTAAGTTTTTAATCAAGCAGCTCAATGAGCCAAAGAGTTGTGTCTAGCCAAGCTCGAGGTCAATGTTGTATAATGTAATAGCTCAAATTTTAGCTCAAGCTTATTGCTCAATAAGCTAGAACTTGTGAGCTCATTTGTAAGTTGAGTTAGTGCCAGCTCGTGAATTAGCTCAGCTCATTTACACTCCTAACTTAGACAATCAAATCCACTCAATCATGATAATTAGGATGACAATTATATATTTGCTTTATAACATGGATTACATATATCATCTTGTCATTACATTAAAATACAAATTATTTCTAATTTAGTTTATATGCTCAGAAAATCATAAACAAATATATTTGTGTGAGTAAAGAAGCATATTAGATAGGCAGAGCTGCTGACCAGTGAATGGTAACGTTGTACTTGACTTGGTTGACCACATTGACGAGCACATTGTCCCCTTCTCTAGCATAAAGAGTTGGGCCTGGATATCGTCCATTTACCGTGACAATGGGCTTCGATGAGCAGAGCCGAGAAGTTTTCTGCATAATCACCTGTTCATTTAATGTCAACCTAATTAAAACATAACGTTCAATTATTGAGGAGACTACAACTTTTTATAAAGCTGATTATAAAACTGTTATGGAGAGTAAATTTTTTGAAAGTTGCAGTAGAAAATATCTTCTTAGCATAAAGAATTCATGAAAGCAATATGATTGCGGTTTGAAAAATAATATAGTAAGAAAACTGTCCAAAATGAAGTCTTAGTAGTGTTTAAAGCTGATTTCGGATATAAATACTTTACATTGAAGTTGTACTGACGAGTAATGCCATTAGCAAGCACTGGAAATAAGAACATCACAAGCAAAATTGTATGAACTGATGACTCCATTTTCCCCTCAATTTCCTCTTCTTAGAAAGAGCACACTCTCCTTCTCCACCACCAGCTCTCTAGCTAGCTTTCTTCTAATCTTTAAGTGAGAAACTTGAATTTGGTTTATTGAGGGAAATGGGAGGGGAAATTACAATTAAAAGCAATTGAGTGTTGTAGCTGTAAGGTCGCTTTTGATATTAGGTGAGTTAGATGAAGCTTCATCAATAAGGTTTTGGTAGATATAACCAATTAATCCCCCTTCTCTTCCCCGATTAATCCCCCTTTCTCTTCCCTTGGTCATTTATTTCCTCTAGATTTCTTGATTCCTACATAAAGCTTTCTTCCTTTTTCATTCTTGTTAGAACTCTCGACAAATGCTAAAAAGGTTTTGGTTAATGGATATATGTTGTAGTTTGTACACATTTATCGCATAATGTTATTTTAATTCTATTTAATGTAGGTGGAATGATGAGTGTAATTCAGTGATATGTATTCTAATCATTTCATGGTCCTTTTGAAAGGAATAATGTTATTTTGTTTGATTTGAACGGTTCAAGTGCTCATTTGGTTGCTTCAAGTTAGAGAAAAATATTTGGTTGCAGATCATCACGGTCGTTTGTGTATAACAACCTCTGTATTGTAACACCCTGTTTGTCCCCTCTACATATTTTTTTATGAAGGTGTGGCTATTTCGTTTAAACGTGGCTTGATCAAATAAATAAATAAAGGCACCCTTTTTATATTATGAAGCCTCTTAAGAAATAAAGTTAAACTTTTAAATATGGAGGTGCATGTAATAGTAGGGCTTTCATTAGAAATTTTAAAGCTAAGTGTGCTCATGTAGGAACATTCCTAAGATGAGTGACCTCTTGAAAAGTTACACCAACGGAACAGAATCGAGAGTCTCTTAGGCCAAAATGGACAATATCTCGATGGTTGAGAGACAAATTGTATCAGAGCAATACACCAACGAAAACACAGAAGCTCTATCTTCAAAATCCTATATGTCTAGTAGATGATTATGATTTGCATCATTGATTCAAAACCAAGAAATGGAGGGTGATAAGACATTCCCATCCTTCCTTCACCAATACAAATCATGAATCTTCATAAACACTCATTTGGTAACTTGTGAATAAAAAATATGATTTTATTTTTACGTATTTTATGTGTAAAATCAAAAACAGTATGGGGTTTTGAATATTTCCATTTTAGTTGGTCTCATTGTAAAAATTTTTGTCTTAATAATTGTTGCATATTAAAATACTTGTGAAAATATATATATATATATCTTTAAACATCTTAGCATTGTATGAAAATGTTGCGAATTCATAAATTTTTTTATATGAAAAAGAAAAATCATTGAATTTGATTCTATTGAAATAATTTCACTATAGTGATTTAAGAGTATAATGATCCATTATTCTCCACTTTCAAATGGGGTTGCAAAGCTTGAAGAATGGGGCGCCTTGTGCTTGTCTCGTACAACCATGGTGGAGAATGTTGGAAGGTGGTGGCGCTGAAAATGGATAAATGATTGGCAATGATGGAAGTTTGTATTGGTTAATAGAGGCGATAATTTTGATATCAAAGAATTGAGAAATTATTCCGTGCGGAGTCCTGACGGTAAAAAATCGTTTGGATGTGAGTGTACACAGTGTGTACACTGAGTATAATTTTATACATAATTTAGTTTTTTCATACACAATGTGTACAAACACTGTGTACACTCATATCCGGACGGTTCTTTACCGTCCGGACTTCTCTAAAAAATCTTTTATTAGCTCATTTGAATGCTCAAAGTTCCTACAATTGGACTTGTCAATCATCACATTTTCATCTTTAAATATGATTATTGTCAGTTCTCCTTTGGAATATCAATATGCTACTCATTTGATGGTCCTACCCAACATATTAAAATCTTAAACATAATGCCTGTAAATACAGAGATTGTTTTGGTTGTTTTTGTAAAGATTAGCAATAATTGATAGCTTCTAACTAAAAGGTTTGACCATGCACTCGTTTTGGTTTGTTGTTAGATGAGTCACATCACTAACAGTTGGGGGCTTTAGCTTAACCTTCACGACACGTTGGCCTTTGAAAGAATTGCTCTTACGTACCAATCTGACATCGAAGTGATAAACCAGCAATGTATTTGGCTAATGAAATTTCAAGTGCACTCTCGTACATATGAAAAAAAAGAAACCGAAAAATAATCTTGAAATTTTTTTTCTCCATAACTTTTTTGCTTGTATGAGGAATGAGAGGTTTCATATTCGCTTCTTCACCTTATAGAGAATGAGTATTCTCTTGTCGCCATCTGATTCCATTTGAAAAAGGAAATTCCTTTGATATCTCAAGGTGGGATGAATCTTGAGAAGTGGTGTTGATTCTAAGATTAAGATTTTATTTGAGGTAGTTTTCTTATTGTTTTGCTTTTCAGATTTTAATCACAATTTTTATTTGATCGTTTCTTTTTCTCCGCTTTTAAAAAAAATTATGCTAGAAAGTTGCAAAGGATTGGAGCACTATGATGCTAGGGGTTGGACACAGTGAGGGAGATCGACGAGGCTCGTGGTTGTGAGTTTTGGGGGACCTATGGGCTCACAGGGTCGGTAGCTTCAGCACAGTGGTTGGAGGAGGGGATCAGAGGCTTAAGTTTGGATCAACGACTGTGTTGAAGGGTTTGTTGACAGGATTGATGGGAGTAGATTTTGGTGAGTTTGGTTGGAAGGTGGAGATTAAGAATGTGAAGTGGAGGTTAAAAATGGGAGCTTTTATTGTGGAAGCAAGGGAGGAAGTGCGGGAGGAAATCAACGGGATAGGAGGTCACGAAAGAGTTGTTTTGTGGGAGTTTGTGCGAGAGGAAAACAGACGAGTAAAAACCAACAAGCCTCATTCTCGTTCTCATTTTATCAATGTGAGCTGACTTGTCGCGTAAGCGGGATTTGAGTGTGGCCTGCTCTGATAACAACGCCGAATTGCATAACTATGGCAAGATTTTTGGCAAAAAAGCAAGGATGGGATGCACCTGAATTGTAGAGACTTTGGCAGGGGTATTTTATTATTATCATTATTATTGTGTTGAAGTCAACAACGAAGCAATAAAAAATCTATCTCAAACGAAGCCTAAGTTAGAAGGGATTGAAGGTCACAATTACTCATCTATAGATTTGGGCTTCTGGACATCAGCTCCAATGAGCCATTCACTCTTGTAGGAATTTTTATTTTCTATCTCCATGTAATCGTAAACTGATAAATTAGCAAATGATGCATCTCTTCTTTTATCGTAATGTTATGGGAAAATAAAATCTCTAATATGACTCATTATCTTAGCAATTCAATTGTAGTCATTGATCATCATGGTTTGGCTGCCATCATCAAACTATCATTGATCAATTATCATAATTCATGTGTCGTTGCCAGTCCGACATCATTTAACTATCTTCATCCAACTACTATTATATGATCGTCAATTATTGATTTGGTCATCACCCTTTACGACTTCTCTAATATTTTTAACCACAATTATAAAAAATGAAGTTGGTGCACCAAACATTGTAATCCCTTCTTTTTCAATTGTGAGGAAGTGCATATATTTATAATTTGTACTTTCAAGATTTCCATGTAAAAAAAATAATAATGTCTCTTAAGAATTTTTCTTTGAGCTATATATGTGTAGAATTATTATCTAAATCTAAAATATAAAATTTTTTCTCTATACCATCAAGAAATTTTTAGTATGCAATGATTATTTTCTAAAACATAATTTATATTTATAAATAAGCAAATGAAAAATGCTCCAAATATGTTCATTTTAAATGTTCTTCCACTGTATACTGAACTAGATTTCTGAAAAGAGCTAATTGTAGCAAAACATTCATTTCTTCCCATAAAATATTATGGGATATGAGTACCACCTTTTGTTGATGTTAATCCAAAAATTTTAAAATTTATTCTAATTAAAAATTCAATCATAATTTTCTACTATATATAATAGATCTAGTGATGATATTGTTATGTTGGGTGATCAAATTATTAAAAAGAGTGCTCATTTTAAATATCTCAGATCTATTGTTCAAAACGATGGAAATATTACTTGTAAAATTCAAGTTTGATGGTTGATGTGGAGGAATGCATCAGGCTGTTGTGCGATAGAAAAGTATCCTTCAAACTTATATGAAGATTTTATAAGATGGTGGTGAGACCAGTAATGATTTATAGCACAAAATGTTGATCAATTAAAGAGAAGCATAAAGTTAAGTTATGCGTTATAGAGATGAAATGCTCAGGAGAATGAATGGTTTTACACTTAGGGATAGAATGTGAAAAGAGTGTATACATGAAAAGGTTAGAAAAGCTCCAATGATAGATAAGATTAGAAAAGGTCGACTTAGATGGTGTGGTCATATAAAGAATCAGCATTACAATGATCCAGTTAAGAGAGTAGATATATTAGATTCAACTTATATTAAGATCAATAGTGAAGGACCTAAGAAAACTTAGTTAGAAGTATTAGAAATGACATTTTTTTTATATTTAAATAAGAATTTTACTTTCATATAGGGGATCTCACAAAATGGGATAAAGGCTTCATGTTATTATTGTGGAATATTCTCCTAAAATTTTAATTTGTAGTTATTATTATTATTATTATTCCTGTTAGGCTCTCCAAGCGTCATGTAGTCAGCAATTTTGCTTCAAGTCCATGAGATTTTTTTTTTCTTTGTGATAATTCTATGGCAAAAAAAATTCACATTCATAGTATTCTTACTGTCAAGTTTAGGCAAGTTAGACGCAGAATGTCATCCGAAGATCAGCTAGAATACGACACCTCAAGCGGTATTGAGCAAAGAGGTGATGTGACGCATTCTGATTAGCCCCCAAATGAAATTCTAAGTCCACACAGAATAATTAATCCATTTTAGATGGCAGAGCCTTTGACCATCTTACTTAAAACGTCATCGGCTGCATACTGGACCACTGGTCAACGGTTATACTTTTAAGGCGAGAGGATTTACGGCTTGCGGCAATGGGCCAACGGCCTGCCTCAAGTGAGTCAAACATTGGGTGCGATGGAAATTTAGAGAGACAGTTAGGTGAGCCAACTTTAATGAAAGGAGTTGAGAGTTGAGGTCAGATATAAAACATAAATGATAATAATAATTTAAGATATTATTTTAATTGCAGTCTGTAGTCGTTCATGGTAATGACTCAAATGCGACCATCACTTAATACATCATAATAAGTTTCATCTTACTATTTTTCTTACTTTTTTATTCTGTTATTTTATTTTGGACAATATAAAATAGTTGAAGAAAATTTATATTTAGACATTCTTGATAAGTCTTAAAAAATTATTTTGATAATGCACGAATCTTGATGCATATATGAATTAGAAACTTATCAAATTAAATTGGGACCATCCAAACTCCGATTTCCTGCGGATTATGATCCTTCCGATCTTTATTGCTTGTTGACTAGGTCCCTCCGATCACCATCGCTTGCCAATTGTGGTCTCTATGACCACCATCAGATGCTGACTATGACCCATTCAACCTCTGTAGCCCATCTACTACGATCCCTCCGACCATCGTCATCCGCTGGACTACGGTCTCTCCAACTATCGTCGCTTGCAGACTACAGTGCCTTCGACATCTTTCACCCACCGATTACGATCCCTCCAACATCTATCTCCCGACAACGATCCCCTCTTCCTCATTTGTCCAACTACATACCCTCCGACCTTAGTTGCCCGACTACGATCCTACCAGCCAAAACATTCTCCCAAGTAAAAGCATCAATTGTAATCAACTACAAACAACAATATAATCATTTCAGCTTGGTCAAGCCCTATGATTTTTCCTCTTTCTCGGGGGGTTTTCACGTAAAAATTATAGTGTCCATTATAATTGTTGCACCCCCCATCTCTTACATGTATGTGTGTTAGATCTTTGTATAAAGCTAAGATGATAAACTCTATATATCTTTGTTGCCGCAAATGTTCCCGCATCAATAATCCTAATTAATTTTTTTATCAGTATCGGCTTAAAGCTTTAAACTTTGTTCATCTCAGTATTAGAGGCGCCAAAAACTCTAAAATTTTGTAGGGCGGAGAAGAAATAAATTGAATCGCAAGAGAATGATCTGATTCTTTCTTCATTGTTTTGATGGGTCAGAATTCATTTAAAAAGCACAAGAGAATATATTAAAATAATTAATAAAAGAAATTTTTAAAATAATATATTAATATAAAATTTCTATTCATTTTAATTAAATAATAATAAATTTACTCTATTTCACAATCAATCAAACAACTCTAATAAATTAAATACATTATATTTAAATTATAGAGACGCTCAGTTTGACTATAAGCTTGCTGAAATCGGAGATTGGGTGCTCCCAAAATTAATTTTTGAAGTTTCCAACTAGCTTTTGCCTCGAGATTCGTGCCCAATCAAGCTAATTTTGTGATGATGTATCAATATTTAAATTATACCGTTTTTAAAATACAAACATTTTCTAAGCCCTATTCCATAACGCTTTTAAACAAACGGAGCGTCATTGTATTTTTCTTCGCTTTGAATGGTTTCTTTGAAAGTTGGCAAAGGCGTGAAAGGAACAGCATTAATTAACTCGCATAATTAGGCTTTCATTATATTAACGGCATGTCATTATCTACCAAATTAATCCCATATTTAGTTTTTAATTACGGTTCTTCAACTAATCCCACGTCTCCAAGACCACCATGTCATTATCTATCAAAACTTCTTCAAGACTCTATAAATTTTTGACTCGCTTGATGCCTTTCTTGCTTTATTTAATTATAAGAGTTTATGATAAAAAAAAAAAAAGAAATTTTGCCGCAGGGCGGAATTAGCCTTTTTATTTAATGATTGTGGGCTCCGAAAATTTCCAATTTTAGGAATGTGTGAGATCCCGGGGGAATTTTCAGAAGGCAGATTGGGTTTGTAGATAAGACACTACCCAGAGTTTTTTTTTTAAATGAATACATAAGTCTAAATAAAATTTTCTATTTTATTATTATTGAAAAATTATTACAAGTTTATCAATCTAATTTATATATATTTTTTTTAATATTGCATTATAGTTTCATTGAAAATTTGCATTACAGCTTCATTGAAAATCAAATCAAACTCATCATTTTCAAAGTAAGATATTAGATAGTCGTTGAGATAATCATCATTCATTCTACTACACAATTGATGTTTGACAATCCTCATTATAAAAAATGGTATCTCTATTGTAGTAGTAACAACTTATAAAGCTCATGATATTTGTGACCACTAATGTGTTATTGACAACCAGTTGCCACTTGTCTTAAAAAAATCAAATGATTAATTAGGTTGTGATTTGGTAATCATAAAGATGGGATGGGATAAATTGAGCATTAGATATGATCCCCAAATTGCATCTCATTCACATTTTGTAATTGAGTATGATTGCAAATGATCACAACTAGTTTTCAAAGAAATAACTTTATGTTATTTTACTAAATCAATTGTTGTAATTAGTCATAATCAAAGTATCAACTCATCAAGGTAATATTCATTATTCTCTTGCCATTTCACTAAATTTTTAAAGAGATAAGAGAACCAAATAACTTATTATACACCCAAATATTGCCTAAGTCGGATTCACTAAGTCTCATGACTCTCATTGATCACAATTAGGCAAGTTACGAAGAATTACTTCACCACAAAGAGAAAGTCACCATAGTATATTTGATAATATCCCGAGCCAATTCAGGTAATCAAAGATATTTACGCAACACCAAGTTCATTTGAAGTCGTCAACGTTACTCGCACCGGCAAGGTTATGAAATAAAGTCATTCTAAACTTCAATAGAGTTTGATAAACTTTGGTGAAGCCACTAGACAAGTTCAGTGGTGAAGTCGCTAGACAAGTTCAATAAAGAAAATTTAATGTGGAAAGGTTGGAATAGCTCTAATGGCAAATAAGATTAGAGAGAGTTATCTTAGATGATTTGGTCACATACAACGTGGGCTTTTTGATGACTCGGTTAGGACAGTTGACGTGTTAGATTTGTCTTATGTTAAGAAAAATAAAGATAGAGTTAGATCTGAAAAGGCTTGGTTAAAAAATATTGGAAATAAACTTTTTTATTAGATTTAAATGAAAATTTTATTCTGAATAGAATATAATGGAGAAAAAAATATTCATGTAACTGACCCCACTTAGTAGGATAAAAGACTTGACGTTGTTGTTCTCATTTTTTTTTCCATGATTTATTAAGCTTTTTACATTATTTTACTTGCATTACTTAAATAAAATTTTGGGGTTTTTACTGAATCTCAATTTAAGCATATAAATAGAGCTTAAGTGATGAATCGAAATGTTCCAATCATTTTTGTTAATTTCATACTTTTATGAAATTTTGAGCTTCTTAATCTTATTTTTTTTAGAGCTTAGTAAAAATCCCTAAAATTTTTTAAGCAATATTGAATCTCAATTTAAGCATATAAATAGAGCTTAAGTGATGAATCGAAATGTTCCAATCATTTGTGTTACTTTCATACTTTTATGAAATTTAGAGCTTTTTAATCTTATTTTTTTTAGAGCTTATGAACACCAAAATATAATTATTAGCCATCAGCAAATTATTATTTTTTAACATTGAGAGGAACAATTATTACGTCCTCTGACCGGACGTAGAGCTAAATTCGGCTGCCAATAACATGTCGCCACGTGCTCTTACTCTTTACCGTGCGGCCCGACGACTTGACTCGGACCGGAACTCGGGAATGCTATGTTCGCGTATTGCGAGGTATTACTCGGCATTTGCTCGGTATTGTTCGGTATTGCTAGGTATTGCTTGATAATAACTAGAATACCGCTATGTGAAGACAAATACCGAGTAATACCGAGAAATACCGAGTTGTACCGAGTATTTATAGAAAAACTCGGTATTTGCTAGAAATACCGAGTTGTACCGAGTTTTTCTAGAAATACCGAGTTGTACCGAGTTTTTCTAGAAATACCGAGTTGTACTAAGTTTTTCTTGAAATGCCGAGTTGTACAAACTCGGTATTTGCTCGGTATTGCTCGGTATTTGCTCGGTATTGCTCGGTATTTGCTCGGTATTGGTTATTGCCAAGCAAAATCGACCAATACCTAGCAATACCGAGCAATACCTAGCAAAATCGAGAAATACCGAGCCATCCTGGGTCTGTTCCGGGTCGGGTTGTCGGGCCGCGCGATAAATAGTGAGAACACGTGGCGCGATTCTATTGGCGGCTGAACGTAGAGCTACGTCCTATGACCGGACCAAATAAAAGTTCCATCGAGAGACAAATTATAATATATTAAATTCAATTTTCTAATCTTACAAAAAAATATATATAATATTAGCCAGCGGACCCTTTCTTTTATGGAATCAATGAGATTAGTTTAGCAAGCGACGCATTTTGAGAAATATTTTTATAGGTGTGAACATTCCTGTTTGAATTGATTACCGTAGTTTCTACCGAATCGTTATCATAATAGCTGACCTAGCTAATATACGATACAGCTAAAACATCCAATAGATTCAGCCACGCCTCCCAATGACCAATGTGTTGAATATGCATTAATTAGTTATAAGAAATTCCGAAAGACTCGCTAGTCACTGATGCTTCGTTAAGTGTTTCCCTTTATAAAAATCAAGTTTTTCGTCCTCGCTACGATTTCAATTCCTGTATATGAAAACCTAATTAGTATTAGTTTCACATCCTCCCCATGGTACAGCTCTAGTATTAGTGGAGAGTTCGCGACTGTCGGCTGGGCGAACTTTCTCTCTATCGTTGCCTAATCAGTATGGTTTCATGGCTTCAATTTTCTTCTCGTTCTATAATTTTCAATCGATTTTTTCTTTTTGTATTAGTTAGGGATAGGGATAGATGAGGCGTTGGTGGGATTATTTCTTTTGTTCAATTTTGTTTTTATTTGTTTCAAGAAATTGGATGAATTGTGTTCTTGTATAATTTCTAAACCCGAATTAATCACACTGTGGATGATAAATTATGTTTTTTTTTTAAATAAAGAGAAAGGGAAGTTAGAGTTTTTTTTTGGTTGAAAAAGATTGACTTTTTAATGGTTTATTGATTCTTATGTTGATTGGTTCTTAGTGTGGAGTAATTTTTTCCTCAGTTGAGTGATTTCTGGTTTTATTTTATGGTGATACCTAAGTGAATCCTTTCTGTTTGAAAGGTTCCATACAGAAGAAGAGGTTGTCTGATATTCTTGAAATGGTTTTTTTTGTCGTTAAAAATTCAGTTTAAACTGAATAAATTTTAAATTTCTATGCAAATAAACGAAAGACGATGAAAGCTGTTCCTCTTTATGTTATGAACTGAAAAGCCGACTAAGCCAGAAACTTATCAAAGAAAATAGATGAAGTTAGAAGCTGCAAACATCTAGAATCAATGGTGGAGCAATGGAGTGACTTTAGATTTGAGAAAACTTTTATGTACTTATGTTTAATGTGAAAGTTTTACCTTTAAATTCTTATGTAACTGTATATATTATAGAAACTTTTGCACAACTCAAATTTGGGGTAAACTCTTTTGGCCTCCTCTAATTTTAGTGCTGTGCTTGTTAATTCTTGCTTTAATTTAGAATAAATATGAGCGGGCTTACCTAATTATGGCTTTGAAAAAAAGAAAGAGCTTTCCACTGCCTGATACAGTTATTTTTTTCTAGCTAGTGATGAGAGAAAGTATGATATAGGCATAAATAAATGGAAACTTCAACTCTCAGTTGTTTCTTCCATATCCCAATGGTAATCCTTTTCTTTCTGTAAAATTTAGAAAGGAAAGTCTTTGTATCCAATTTCTTGGTTTTTGATCTTAACTTGGCTCTTGATGCAAAACCTTTCAATGAATTAAAGATGAACACTACATTATGCTACAGATTTCTGTTTCTCTTGTGCAGTTTAAGCTTCATTTTTTAATTCCACAGCTGGATGAAACTTTAAATAGTTTTTTTTTTCTTTTTACATGAGGATAAAGTATGCTTATGTGCTTGACAAATATATGCTGAAATTGCATCTTACTTACTGATAATTGATAGCTTTTCTCCTTTGTGGATGTTATCAAATGCTATAAGTATTTTTGCAAGTCCTTGTCTTTTTCTTTCATGTTATGATTGATAGGTTTTGAGCAAGCTTTATTCTTAATCAGTTCGTGCAATATCTCTTTCTGCTTCTTGCCTGTTGATAGTCTAGTCCCCTAAATCAAATAGCCAATTCACTTCTTAAGACGCGTTGATCTGTTACAGACGATATTTGTGCTATCAAAATGTCGTTGGAGATCAAAGATAATTATACAAAAGATGGTACAACAGACATCCATGGTAATCCTGCTGACAGGAAGAAAACTGGCAACTGGAGAGCTTGCCCATATATTCTTGGTATTGATTTTATCTTCTCGCATTTATTTGTTATTGTAGTTATAGTTGCTATTAGATTCTCTTATTTCTGATCCACTCTTCCGTCAACAGCAAATGAATGCTGTGAGAGATTGGCATATTATGGGATGAGTACCAATCTGGTAAACTACATGAAATTTCGTCTCAATGAAGGCAATGCTGTGGCATCAAAGAATGTCAATAACTGGTCAGGAACATGCTACATCATGCCACTCCTCGGAGCTTTTGTCGCCGATGCCTATTGGGGTAGATATCGGACAATTGCTGTGTTCATGATCATTTACATCATTGTAAGCACTTTGTTGTTCAGAAATTCTAACATTTTATATCATAATAGATATTGACCTTAGAAAAAATACGAATTAATCTAGTTTTTCTGATGTGGTGATTGTCGGAAGAATCTGACCTGCTTGAAGGAAATTTTCAATCCAGAAAATAAAGACAAGAACTAAACTTCAAAAGAGGATAATATTCATCATATATTTCTTACTGCAATACTTTGCCTATTTATAGGCAAATAAGAATATTCTAGAAACTATTAATAAGCTAGTCCTAAGGAGCATTTTTAAGAACATTCTAGAAACTAGTAACAAACTTAGATAAGCTAATCCTAAGGAACGCTTTAACTAATATGTTCCACATTATTTTCCTTGTAGGGTTTACTTCTTCTAACTATGACAGCATCTGTGAAAGGGCTGAAGCCATTTTGTCATGGTGGTATATGTGACCCAACAACAGGACAAATTGCAGCAGTTTTTGTTGCTTTGTATCTGATTGCTCTTGGAACCGGAGGAATTAAGCCTTGTGTCTCTTCCTTTGGGGCAGATCAGTTTGATGAATCTGATGAGACTGAGAAGAAAAGCAAGACGTCGTTCTTCAATTGGTTTTACTTCTCAATAAACATTGGGGCTCTTGTTGCTTCCTCTGCATTGGTGTACATACAGACACATGTGGGCTGGGGTTGGGGGTTTGGGATTCCGGCGGTCGCGATGGCTATTGCGGTTGCTAGCTTCTTTTTTGGTTCACCATTGTATAGACACCAGAAACCTGGAGGCAGCCCCCTTACAAGAATTGCCCAGGTTCTTGTTGCATCAATTAGGAAATCAGGTGTGAAGGTTCCATCAGACAAATCTTTATTGTATGAGGTTTCTGACAATGAGTCTGCTATAGAAGGTAGCCGCAAGCTTGAGCACACAGAACTACTAAAGTAAGCACAATAAAAAGATAAGCTTGCTTGCATATAATCTTTATTATGTTATCTCCCTGTTTGCAATCTGGAATCATATTTACAGGCTGCTCATTTGTGTTGAATTTTGTTATTATTATCTCTTTTCCATTCTCTGACTTTTTTTCATGCTAAGAAGGAATTATGCTTTAGAAAATTATGATAAAAATTTTCCTATGTTATACTTCTGTTGTGAAGCTTCACACTATTAGCTGACTAATTTAGGAGATGAATCTAGAATGATCGTACTAACCATAACTACATGGAATGTCTTTCACAAGGCAAATTATTAGGTGTGAATACTGGACGGTTCTCGGTTTTCTTTCTATCTACAGTGAAAACACAGTTATTGTAGACTGTGCTTTGACTGTAGATAGAGAAAAAACCGGACGGTACTCTCGGACCGGTGTCCACACCTAATAATTTCTCTTTTCACAGACAACACAGTTGTGATTAATGCACTTACTTTCTTGATTGAAAACTTTCATCTTCTAATTGCTCAGCATTGGAAGATGTTGTCTTTAGTTGTAAATACTAATATTTTGACGATCATAGAAGTTTATGTTTTTGTACTTTTATGTGTGATTCAACACAGTTATAGCTTACAAAATTTTGCCATTTTCATTCCAAAACATTGTATACACTCTTTATGCATATCACAGTTTTGCCAAAATTGCCAAATTTTACATGTCATTTAAGCTCACAACTTAGAGAGATGACATTATTGCTTCAGGTTCTTTGATAAAGCAGCTGTGGAGACGCAGGAGGACAAAGTCAAAGTCCCTGTAAATCAATGGAAGCTCTGCACAGTCACTCAAGTCGAGGAGCTCAAGAGCGTCGTTCGTCTTCTCCCCATATGGGCCACTGGCATCGTCTTCTCCACCGTATACAGTCAAATGGGCACCATGTTCGTCCTCCAGGGAAACACAATGGATCCTCACATCGGCCCCAACTTCGAGATCCCCTCTGCTTCTCTCTCCATCTTCGACACCATCAGTGTCATTGTCTGGGTTCCAATCTACGACCGCATCATTGTTCCCTTAGTTCGCAAAATTACTGGTAACCAGCGTGGCTTCACGCAGCTAACTCGTATGGGCATTGGACTCTTCGTCTCCATCTTCTCCATGGTGGCCGCTGGGCTTCTCGAGGTGGTAAGGCTCCAAATCATCGCGAGGCATAACTTGTATGACTACACAGGCTTCTTGCCCATGTCCATCTTCTGGCAGATTCCTCAGTACTTCATTATCGGCGCTGCTGAAGTCTTCACCTTCATTGGGCAACTTGAATTCTTTTATGATCAGGCTCCTGATGCCATGAGGAGCATGTGCTCTGCACTGTCACTGACGACCGTTGCACTGGGGAATTACCTTAGTTCGCTTCTGGTTACCATTGTCACCTCCATCTCTACTAAAAATGGAAGGCTTGGTTGGATTCCGGATAACCTGAACAGAGGCCATCTCGATTACTTCTACTGGCTGTTGGCCATACTAAGCGTTTTGAATTTTCTGGTTTACCTTTTGATTGCAAAGTTTTATACTTACAAGAAGCCAGTACAGGTTGAAGCTTGATGTTCTTGCATTCGAGAAAGATATAGAAGAAGATAGGCGCATTTGTTTGCTCAATAGGGTGAGAGATTTTGTGCGACATAAAAGGAATTATTTATGTGTTATGATATTTTATGTTTTAAATGGTTGTAAATTTGTCTTTGCATATTTTGGTTTTAGATTCCTGAGATCTATGAAGCTTTTGTTTGCTTTTGCAATTTTTGTGGGGTGTAACTCAAGCTTGGTAACCAAGTTGTGAGTTATTGGTTTCTTACATGCAATTATGCAAATAATGATTTCCATGAGACCTGTGATAGTAGATGGGCCTACCCACCGATGCTTAAGCTCGGTTGGTGGGCGTGCTCGGTTGGAACCTCCATCCCGAGTTCGATTCCCTCAAGCAGAAGTCGCCCCTTCAGTGGAGGGCCCAAAATGCCGGCTACGAGTACAATGCCATGGGTGACCCGGTAGGTTTACCGGAGTTTACGGACCATCAAGCGGCAGTCGCCCCTTCAGTGGGGACTGGTTTCTTCTTGCTTTTTTAAAATAGATTTTTAGTAAAAAAATTCATGAATTTGAATTTTTGTACTAAGTCGTTTTAAAAAAATTGTACAAAAGCTGACCCAAATAAAGCTTAAGTTGATTTTCAAATTCAAGATTAAGGCTTTATTTGGGACGACTTTCTTAGTGTTTCTTAAAATAGTGTTCTAAGGAATTGTTTCAAGTAAAAAAAAAAAGTCAACCCAAATGACCGGTTTTTTAGTATTAAAAAAATTAAATTTCGTCAAAATTTATGATAATTTAATTATTCATCAAATATATATTATTTGATAAGATACAAACGGTCAAATAACATAAGATTTTTTCGTATATATATTTTCTCGATTAAAAATTTCAAATAAGTTCTATATATTTAATTAAAAGTTGTTCGAAAGTCAATATTTTTATATCATATTTTTCTTCATATGTAAAATGAGCTATCCATTGAGCAATTTTTTATACTTTCGATTGATTAATATATGAACTAAAAAAAATTATTTTAAAACTTCGTTTGATAATCATAACTACAGCTGGACGTTTTTTTTCCCTACTGTTTGATTTTATGTTGACTGTTGATTTCTTAATTGAAACTCAGGATTCGTTTGGGACAGTTTTCTTAATGATTTTTAAAGCAATTTTTTAGCACAAAAAGTTTATTTTTTGTACTAATAAGCCGCTTTAAGAAGCAGTTAGAAAGCCATCCCAAACTTGAGGAGCTTTCTTAAGGGGCTGTGGATGGATACTATTGTTTTATCTCGAATAGGCTGTCCTAAATCCCTTGCTTATTCTGATATGATTGTCTTAAATCACTGCTTGTATGAGGGTTATTTGTCAGGGTTTCAAAAATTGATCAAGCTTTTTTGTTTAAGAGGAGTTTACGAACCATCAAGTGAACTCAAGCTGCAGTCGCCCCTTCGGTGTGGACTGGTTTCTTCGTGCTTTTTTAAAACAGATTTTTAGTAAAAAATTTCTTGAATTTGAATTTTTGTACTAAGTCATTTTTAAAAAAACTGTGCAAAAGCTGACCCAAATGAAGTTAAGTTTATTTTCAAATTCAAGATTAAGATTTTATTTGGGACGACTTTCTTAGTGTTTCTTAAAATAGTGTTCTAAGGAATTGTTTCTAGTAAAAAAAAGTCATCCCAAATGACCGAATTTTTTGTATTAAAAATTTTAAATTTCGTCAAAATTTATGATAATTTAATTATTCATCAAATATATATTATATGATAAGATACAAACGGTCAAATGACATAAGATTTTTTCGTACATATATTTTCTCGATTAAAAATTTCAAATAAATTCTATATATTTAATTAAAGTTGTTCGAAAGTCAATATTTTTATATCATATTTTTCTTCAGATGTAAAATGAGCTATCCATTGAGCAATTTTTTATACTTTCGATTGATTAATATATGAACTAAAAAAAATTATTTTAAAACTTCGTTTGATAATCATAACTACAAAACTTATTCAATGTAGAAAGTACAGCTCAACTCAATATCAAAATTTTCTATTTTTAGTAAAATAAAATTCGAGTTGAGATAAAAATAATTGATTTCGAATCTTTAGTATATATCATCAATAATTACGTTAAATTAATTATTCCTAAAATTCGTAAACCATGCAATTATCATAATAATTGAAGAGGATCGCAGTCCCATATCATAAGCACACGCTATAAAAATAAATTGAAGAATTTACATATAAATCTTAAATTTTTTTATGTATTCATTTATATACGACAAATTTTTAAATCATATAAAAAAAATCACTACTATAAACTTATGTACTTTAAAACATATATTTTCAATTATACATTTTATTATAATTTAGACACAAAAATGATATATGAATAAATATAAAAATTTATGTATTACATATATAAATATGTAAAATCCCCTGAATTTTTTTATTTATTTATTTATTTTGAATAATGCCTTCAAAGCCAAAGCAAGCATGCCATGTAGCGACTCCATCTCAACCGTAGATGGATTAAAGAAAAATGTGCCACATAATTCTGGAAACAAAATGACAAGAATTTAAGATTTCACTTATTTGGGACAGTTTTTTACTGCTTATTAAAATATTATTTGATACTCGAAAACTGCTTTAAGAAACAGTAAAAAAGTCGTCACAAACGAAGCCTAATTTGGATGGCAATAATAGAACCCCCACTTATCCACAGCTGCAGTTCTCATCAGTTCCATGCGTTTCTTTTGCTGTTTGTGTGCTACAAATTCAATTAGCATAATTTGCTTGACATGTTTGCAACACATACAAAACAGTATAAAGCTTTTTCGATTACGAACCTCTTACTTTTTGCCCACAGCTTTATTAACTAACAAAAGATGCCAAAGACCTGGAAGAAATAAAGATTGAGACTCATAAGAACACAAAAATCAACCCTCATAATCACAATAATGTACTGATTGTAGTCAAATACATAATCCATCAAGTGATTTCAGCTGCCTTCAGTGTATGATTAACAAAAAATACTGATTTTTCTAGCGTTATAAATATGGAACAAACAGTCAAAAAGGATTTGTAAGAATATAATTCGAGAGAAACAAACATGCATAGCCAAATTTTACAAAATCTGAGCATTCCAACTTTTCAAGGGAGATTATTACTACAATGAAGGGATCACCTGAAGATAGTTTAGGGGCTTTGAGATTGGCGGTGGATCTGCAGAATCCAATCAGAGTAGTTGCTGCAACCTGCAAATTGGTCCTCGACTAACTTGGACATAAATAAGACACTCTCTCTTGGATGTTCACCTTGCCTTACTACATGGATCAATTGACAATAGGAAGGATCATTAGTCCTTAGCTTTTGTAGAATTGTCTTTATTTTTCTTGTTACTTCATTATCCTGTTCACAAAATTGAACCTGGGAAAGAGGAAGAGAAAACCAAAAAGAAGTATTGAATTATACTGGTATTCCCATATTTTCATGCTAGTTCAATTACTAACAATAATTGAAAGGGTCATTTTGTATACTTGAAAAGTATACGTTTATTATTATTTCCATTTATTACTCTCTTTAACAACATAATGAAATTTGGGATCCAGTAATTTAATATATATTCTAAAGTTCATGATGCAACATAAATTTATGAAAACAAAATTAAGATGTCAAATACAAAGGAGGATGACCCATTGCAGAATACTACAATCTACAAAAGGGCTTTTTGCAATATATGGGTCATTGTCAATGCATCTAAATGGAATGCAGAAAAAGATGCAACTCTCCTTAAAAGTTTTCTTCAAAAAGATCAATTTATGATTTTCTTACCAAAATAAATATTGAGTTTAAGGACATAAGGGCAGAAAATCTAGAAAATGAGAATTTAGCTTACCAAAATAAAATCATTACCATCATTTGAATGGAAGAATTGAGTAGAGGAGTTAAGATTGCAAATAACAACATGGAAGATTCAGCCCTAATGACAAAGGTTGCCAACATTAAATATCCTAATTCAAAAATATCCTCTCTCAAGGAACATAAGCAACCACACTCAACAAAGATGATCATTAGAGTTCCCTTATGGAGCACATTGGAAAAAATTTTGATATACAAAAGAAAGATGTTGGATGCTTCATGACAAGCCACCAAACAAAAGTTGGGCAACACAATGAGGATAAATAAAAAATAGACATGTATATGTAACACATGTGAAAGAAGACAACTTCAAATAATCACCCACTAAGCCCCAAAAAGAAAAAATAGAAAAATTGAAAAACTTTCTGGTATTACTAGGAAAAGCTCCAATGACAAGTACTTATTCTCTTGCATTTTCATTTATTACATCCTTTAGTTATGCTTTTGAATTATCATAGATACCTAATTTCAATTCCTAATTTATTGATTCAAGAGCCACATAGAATATGGCCAAGTCCTCACACAATAATTTATTTCATATACTCATTATTCTAGAACAATAAAATAACTATTTTTGGTGAAATCATTGTCAGCTAAGGAGATATTCTTTTAAATAAATTTCTTAAACAAAGAATATCATCCACATGCCTAAGTATTCACAAATTTTAATCTATCCAAAAGTTATCTACATATTCAAAATGCATTGTTGTATTTTACCCATCACATTATGTATTTTAGAAACAAGGCATGAAAATGACAATTGGACTAACCTAAAGAAAGAGACAATTTCTAACATCTCGAAGAATCCAATGATCAAGGAAGCTCGATACTACTGTTGTATTATCTTTCTGTTCTAAAATCCCTGAATCCAATAAAGATGGGATATAGCTCCAACACATGTCTTAACCATCTTTGTCTTATTATTCCCAAAATTATGTTTCATTTTTATTAAAAATATTAATATTCAAGAATTTTATTGTAATGTTTGTGAGTTAGCAAAACATAAACATACTAATTTTCCTATAAGTAACATAAAAATCCAAAGTTCCTTTCTCTCCTATAACTAAACTCTATGGGGCTAGATACTTCTACCTTTTCTCTCATTCATTGTGAGAAAGACTCTAAAGAATAATTCTTAATTTAAGTATACAACAACAACTAAAAAAAGCATCCTTCATATCCTATCTACAGAAATAAAAATTATAATTCAAGTTAAAAAGAATACTATCTTATAATTAAAAATATATTCTTATCATTTAATTTAGATTTAAAACTAAGACTATCGAAAAAGGGTAATTTCTCAACAACAACAACAACATCAAGCCTTTATCCCACTATGTTGGGGCCGGCTACGTGAATCTTTTCTCTTCATTGTGTCATGTTAAGAGTCAAATTCTCATTTAAATCTAACAAAAAAAATATTATTTCTAATATTTTATAACCAAGTCTTTTGAAACGGCTCCCACTGCAGCAGGGTCCTCCACTTTAGCAAGCCATAAGGCACGTACTAGGGAAGACCTAGATCGGCCGGTCCAGGCGGTTTTGGACTTGGAGGAGATGGCAGAAAAAAGGGAGGGCGATCTGGCACTTGTGGTAAAGCCCAATAAGGAGTTAATACATTATGTTAGGATAGCATTAATTAGGAAAGAATATTTCTAATTGAAATTCAAATAGAAGAGGAAAATATATTAGGAAAGTGGTTGATTTAGGAGGGAAGAGGAGGAGAGCTTATTTAAGTCTAAGTTAGGGTTTAGGGGATTTTTTTTTTAATGCAGAAGTTTGTGAGTGATTCCGGTCTACTTTTTTTTTTTTAGGGATCCTAGCGGCGTCTAGCCTTTGGGAGAGAAGGTCCTCCTCTCAAAAGAGGACCATTGTATCTTTCTTTGTTCATATTTGATTTTCCATCAATAAAAATCTATGTTTTTTGGTTGAATATCTCAGAGTTGGTTGTTGTTTTTGATACCAAGGCGTATCAAATTGGTATTAAAGCACTTTCCTGGAATGTAATCTCATTTTTGTTGCTGATTCTTGCTGAGATTTTCCTTCCCATCCGCTGATTTTTGCTGTTTAGAGGCTAGAGTTGCATCCAAGTTGCTATTTCTTGCCATGAAAACCTTGATCCGGGTACTGATGGCCGGAAAAAGAGTTGACACGTTAGAAAGAAAGTTGGAGGGGAAAGTAGGGCAACTATGAGGGGATGTGAGATCAATGAATGATCGTATTTCAACGATAGAAGGAAGATTTGGGAATATGGAAGAGATAATGAAGCGGATGTTGGAGCTTCATACTAAAACAGTTTTGTCAGAAGCGAGGAGGAATCAGGAAGATGACATATCAAGGAAAGACGGAGAGGTCGAAATTTTAGGAGGGGAAGAGGAAATATCCCACCTGGAGCCTTTACCGAGAAAGGGGATATATAAGGAATATGCAGGTAGGGGAAGGAGGAAATATGAACAGAGAAGAGAGGAAAGGGAACCATGGAGAGAGATTAGGAAGCTAAAAATGTCTGTATTTGAAGGGAAAGATCCACATGGGTGGATATATAGGGTGGAGAGATACTTTGCAGTGAACGGGTTAACAGAAGATAAGAGATTGATGATCGCCGCTCTATGTCTTGAAGGGAAGACACTGACATGATACCAATGGGAGAGAGACAAGATACCCAATCCGTTCATGGGAGGAGTTCAAGGAACGTTTGTTGGAGCACTTTCGAGCCCAGCAAGATGGAGACTACAATGAGCAATTCTTTGCATTGTCACAAGTCAACACTGTGATGGATTATTGAGAAAGATTTGAGCTTCAGTCAGTATGAGTAGAGAGGTTATTAGAGACAATGTTGGAAAGTAATTTCATGAAAGGTCTCAAACTAGAGTTGAGGGCAGCAGTTCAGGTGGCAAGGCCCTGTGACTTGGAAGAAGTGATGGAGTTGGCTTAGATATTGAAAACAAGAAATCACTACAAAAGAATAGCAAAGGGGTCAGTGGAGGAGGTTCTTACTGAACAACGACGACGTTCCTGGCACCCAGGGTGCAGACTATACCAGTTAAAAGGGAGGCTTCAAAGGAGGGCTGTTTGGGAGTCCGACATGGAGGGCATTTTAAGAGGCTGACTGATACTGAACTGCAAAGACAAGAGAGCTAAAGGGCTATGTTTCAGATGCGACAATAAATTTACATCGAGACATAGGTGTAAAAATTGCACCTTACGGGTTCTCATTATGTGATGATGAGGAGGTGGATAAGGAAGAGACAACGAAATAGGAGAAAGAAGAATAGGAGCTCGTGCATTTGAAGGTGGCGGAAGTTTTATTGAACTAGGTAGTGGGATTCACCTCGAATCGCACTATGAAGGTGAGGGTACAAATAGGAGGAGAGGTAGTGTCGACCCTAGTGAACAGTGAGACGACCCACAATTTCATATCAAACCAGGTGATAGATAAACTGAGGTTGAAACTGGTAGACAGGGGAGGATTTGGAGTGATGATGGGCACATAAAAGGAAGAGAAAAGCAAGGGGATATGTCAGGGTTTGGTGGTAGAGCTACAAGGGATTCACATCACGGAAGATTTCCTTCCATTAGAGTTGGGAAGTATTGATTTGATTTTGGGAATGAAATGGCTACAAACCTTGGGGGAGACTAAGGTGAACTAAAAGGCAATGGACATGGAGATCCAGGTGGAGAGGAGAAAGATAGTAATCAAGGGAGACACCAGCCTATCTAAGGCAATGGTTTCTTTAAAAACCATGGTTCGTGCCTTACAAGAGGTAGGAGAGGGATTTTTGGTGGAGCTCCAAAGTTTGGAAAGAGGAGAGGCAAAAGATGAAGAGGACATTCTAGAGATTGTCCAACCCCTTTTGCAGCAATTTAGAGAGGCACTCCAGCTTTCCCGAGGATTAACACCACCACGGAAGCACGAGCAGTTTATTATTATGAAGGAAGGAGTATCCCCCATTAGCGTTTGGCCATACTACTACCCACATATCTAAAAGGGCGAGATTGAGAAATTGATTCGAGAAATACTTGAAGAAGAATTTATCAAACCCAGTGTGAGCCCTTTCTCTAGTCTTGTAATGTTGGTGAAGAAGAAAGATGGGAGCTGAAGGTTCTGTGTATCGTGCCCTAAACAAGGAAACAATACCAGACAAGTTTCCTACAACAATCATTGATGAGCTGCATGGATCTGTGATATTCTCCAATATCAATTTGAAATCATGATACCATTATATTAGAAATCAATCAGGAGACACCCACAAGACAACTTTTCAGACACTATGAGTTCTCAGGAGGGAGTGGCAGCTGACCAGAGTAAGATTGAGGCCATGCTTAGATGGCCCATACCCAAGAACTTAAAGGAGCTGAGAAGATTCTTGGGACTCAGGTTACTATCGAAAATTTGTGAAAGGATATGGTTCTATAACAGGGTCATTGACAGAACAACACAAGAAGGACAACTTCAAGTGGGGAGAATTAACCACCCAAACTTTTGAGGAATTGAAGAAGGTTGTGACCAATATTCCAATCTTAGCTCTTTAGGATTTTAACTAGCTTTTTGTAGTTAAGACAGGTACCTCGAGTTTTGGGTTGGGAGCAGTTTTGTGCAAAACCAAAGGCCAGAGATCTATTTCAAACAAGTGTTGACATCCAGGGCCAGGCTCAAGCCATTACACGAGAGGGAGCTGATGACGATTGTGCTTGCCATTCAGAAATGACAAATATCTATTTGGAAGACATTTCATCATCCAAACTAACCATAGGAGTTTGAAGTACTTGTTGGAGCAGAGAATAATCACTGAGGAGCATCAAAGATGGCTTTCCAAATTATTGGGCAATGACTTCGAGATTCAGTATCTACCTAGGGTGGAAAATAAAGCAACAGATGGGTTATCCAGATGCATGGGGGAACCATGGATGATGGCATTGTCCGTGCCCTTAGTGGTTGAGTAGGAAACACTAAGGAGAGAGTGAATAAGATGTAGGATTGAAAAAAAATTAGGGAGGAGTTGGCACAAAATGGCGAGCATTATGGCGCACAGCGCAGCACATCGCAAATATGGCGTTATTTGTTTAGCTGTCACGACGCATCAACATAGCGCGAGCTCTTTGCGCCATGTATGAGCAATGACGTATAGCACAAGGCGCAAGCTATTTGAGCCATGTATGGGCAATGGCGCATGACGCAAGGCACAAATTACGAGCGCTATTTTGTTAACATGTTATAAATTATAAATTATAAATTATTATTAATTTTTTAATATTTATATATAAATATCACATTGATTATTAATTAATTGAACAATAAATTGATAAAATATCAAAAATATTAATAGATTTAACTTTTTTGTAGGATTTAAAGCTATCATTTTTGCTATTTGTTTGGATTTAAACTTAATTATGCTTAAATCATGCTTAAATCTATTGATGTAAGTTTTTGTAGAATTTCAAATTGTCATTTTTCCTATATGAAAATATTTATGCTTAAGTTTTACTTTAATCAACCTATTGTTTATTATTTAATGGTATTTAATATTAATAAACATATATATTTTAATTATTTTACATTGTGCACTGTGTTTAAAATGGTGCATGCCATGACTTGGGCTATATGCGCCATGGCTCCAACGGGAACTTTTCACCGTGATGCGTCATTCGCCAAGTATGATTTTGACAAGTATGATTTTGACCAAATTGAGGACTCTATGGTGCACCAAGGGACTTGATAACTCATACTTTTTTAGGATTGATTACCAAGCTAGGAATGACAAATCTATATGCCCCAGTTTGAGGGGGAGTGTTAAATCTCAGCCGTCCCTTGGCACTTGATCTCAAGATCAGGATGGGAATCCATGGGAGGCTCACCTGGATTATGCCAACCATTATTAAATCCCAGACATCCCTTGACATTTGATCCCATAGTCAGGATGGAATCCATGGCAGGCTCACCTAGATCATGTCGATATCCTTCCATATTTGGGTGGATGATACAGGAATGATTATATTAAGACAATTATACATGATTCTGTAGTTATTTGTTTCTTATTAAGACATCTTATATAGATCTCTAAATAGTGATAAATCTGTATAATAAAATTAAGCATTTTTCCTCTCCAATTCTCTGAATTAACACTACTTAACACATGTAATATCAACTTTTAAGGTTGTGCAAAAATAAAAATCATGCATACTTAATTGGCCAAAATTGGTTTTAATATAACTTCCAATGAGTTGGCCCTCCATGCAATTAAAGCTTTTGAGAAAAGAGGAATATTAAGCCAACAATACATATCATAAATCAAAGTTTGGATAAATTTCATTGAACATTATGTGCAGCCAAAAAATTGTTCATCTAAGGCCAAGAACCAAGTATTGTTGCTCAAACAGTTGAGCACAGACCAAGTTTTATAAAACTTTAAATCATACTTATCAGTGGCAAATGGTGCACCACGGCGCGGTGGCGCCTTTTTAGCTTACAATGAAAATAATATATATATATATAAATAACAAATAATAAGTTGATTGGAGTAAATATCCTGTCAAATAGTAAAAATTATAATTTTAAATCTTACATAAACTTACATCAATAGATTTGAACATGATTTAAGCATAATTTATTCTAAATCCTACCTAATAGTTGTTGACCTGTATACTAAATCCAAGGGAAACAAAAAAAAAAAAAAAAAAAAAGAAAAAAAAAAAAAAAAAAAAAAAAAGAGAGAAGAAGTTCAAAATCATACATTGCCCATCGGATCCTCAATTCCAGCCGAAATTGTGCAGAAATCTCGCTCCGTACCTCGTATTCGTCGAAGAAATCCGCGAATCCCGCTGAAATCGGCGCTGTTGGAGTCGAATCTCCGTGTTTCCTGCGCAAATCCCGCAACTCATCTCGATCGCTGCCCCATCCTCGTTGTTAAATAGCGACGCCAAACAGGCGTTCGTTCGCTACCTCTCCTCTCCCGCTCGCCACTCTCCCTGTGCCGACACCAAAGCCGAACCCCGATCGGAAGCTCCAACCCGACACGACTCCTCTGCCTCGCTCCACACACGACTCTCCCTCTCAATTCCGAAGCCGACGCCAACATCCCACGATCTCCTCCAAGCCGAGAGAGAGAGAGAGAATCCTTTTAATTTTTTTGATATTTTATTAATTTGAAGATTAATTAATTAATAATTGATTATGATATTAATATATAAATCTAAAAAAAAATTAATTATAATTTATAATTTGAAATTTATAACATAGTAATAAAATGGGGTGCACCATGTGTGCCTTGCTCCATTGCCCATGCAAGGCTCAAATAGCACGTGCTATTTTGATACGCCGCGTCCAACGAAGTAAATAGAGCCGCATGTGCGTCACGCTGCGTCGTGTGCCGTGGCACACGCCATTTTGTGTTATTGACATGTATGCTTTAAATTGACATAAGATTATCTTTTTAACCTTGAACAAACTCAAGATCTCATCTTGAAACCATTGTAGAGTCCACATCATCAATTTATAGATCAAAAGACATTAACTAAAACCACAGCTTTACAATTTTCTTTTTCCTGTACTTTTAACTAAGTGAAAAAACTTTATGATACCGTTAGTTTACAGGCACCTCAAGTTCTAATGCAGAGACAAATTTTCTAATAAAAGATCGAGTGGCACATCTAATTTTCTGCATGACCTTAGGATGTAGGATAAACATTATACATAATTAGAATTTAGAAACCGCTTCACCGGTCATCAATTAAAATGAGAAAATAATGATGATGATATTGAATAATGACTATGCAAGGTAAGACCAAAAAAACATGAATTTTCTTTAAACCACATAATCATGTTCCATCATTCATGAAGACCATACACAACAAGTTTTCTTCCAAATCAGATATGCTTTGGAAATCAGTAGTGTACGCTATTTTAGCTCACTTGCAACTGACAAGCCCAGCTTGTGAACTAAAATAAGAAAACTAATTGGATTCAAAGAGTTATTACTGCAGTAAGCATTATATTCCATCACTTATGATTATGTGATTGAGGAAATTTCAAAATGTTAATCAGCAATTCTACATAACAATTAACAAGGACCTACCAAATCTCTATGCAGAGTAAATAAATGCCAGAATATAATCAAGAAAGCATGAATAAGCATAAGAATTGTAAGAAGAAGCAACTCTACCTTGGATAAATCAGGAAACATGGAAGCGTCAACACCAAGAATTTTATTGATTACATCTGATGGAAGCATCTGACCAAGCCAGAAAACAAAACTAAATCCATCATCACAGACATATAGGCCTCTGGAGTCTAAGCTCCCTACAGTTAAAGGTAGCTGTCTAAGAGAGTCTTCAGAGTCAGCAGCCTGCACGCAAAATATTAAAAACTCATCAATCACTGACAAATAAATATAAGTTGCTAGGATTCAGCGTGCATAATTAAATTCATAGCATACTGATCAATTCACAAAAAAACTATTTTGCAGGTCTGCAGAAGAATAATAGCAAGTATTATTATGTCAAAGCAAGACAATTGCAAGGTAAATAAATGATTTTTAGTATGACATCCTATAGGGTGTTTCGTTACCTTTATAATGATCTCATCTGTTCTAAGTAAGCTAGGGTAGAGAAGTTTGAGCAATCTTCTAATAGGTAAAATCATCATACTGTAACCAGCAGCGCAACGTTCATCTAGAGAAACATCAGCAAAACCCCCACGAAGTGCTGCAGATTTACAAAGACACAATGCATACAGTGGCAATAGTTTCAAAGATTCTGGATATATCATTCGCCCGGTTAACCTATGCTGCACAGCATAAAGGTTGCGATATTCTTTCAGACATTTCACAATCTTCACTTGTATCATCTGGCGAGCATCATCAAGCTTATTCGATAAAGAGTTTTCAATTGCTACAGGAAATTTGTAACTTAAGATTAATGGTAATAGATGCAGAGTAGATACTATAAGATTAACTACAGTACGTTAAAAAAGAGAAGAAACAACATGTTAGTATCAGGACTTGCCCAATCTGCTCAACAGTGAGATAATGGCTCCAGTATCAGCTTGGCGGTACATTTCAGCAAGGTCGGGTACCACAGGCACTGCAGATGTGTGGACTCTAATACGCCTTTCACCTGAAGAAGAAGTATAGCTGGCACCAGGCTAAGGAAAATTAATAAATCTGGAAAAAAATGATCTTGAGCTAGCCATTTGCATGTACCTAGAATGAACCAGCTTATGATAGTAATACTTCGTAATACATATCTCTAAAAACAGCAGGAACAACCTTAAAATAAAATAGAAAATATCCTGGAAGAAAATAATCTTAAGCTAATTTGTTTAGGAAGGCCAAAATGACAATATAACCACGAAACAACTAAGAACTACCCTTGTATGAAGAAGCCAGACCAAAAACCGAGGCTCTCAATTTCAGTCTGTAGAGATGGTGACAGAAAACAGCCAAATTTGGAATAAAGAACTTGTTCGATCATGCGGAATGGAACTAAAGGAAAAAACAGCTTATTTTACGAATGACAATTGGAGACTAATAAATACTGCTAGTCAGAATAGTTTTTGTGATTCGAGATTCATTTCGGAAGGCCGGAATAATATACTGGTGATAATTATAGCTGTGAGCGAGGACATTATATGATGAAGTCAATAACGTGGTATTACAGAAAGACAAACATAATACAGCACATCTATTCTGCATCGACAAAAAAATGACACTAAGATCACTATTGTGTTTAATGTGATAAAATTCCTTGCTGGGATCACTCAATAGATAGGGAAAAAATGCTCAAAGAATCAATATACGAGCAAATATAAGGATACAGCAAAGCAACTTGAAAGAACACAAGTTGAGTAGTTAGCAAGGTCTCCTCTAAAGCCAATTGCATTGCAAAGGCCTTATCAGAATCAACAGCTGGAAGAGCTAGCAAATCAACGGTCCTAAGCATGAAATGTCCATGATAACTGGCAAACCGTACACCTGAAAAAGTTTAAAAGATTTCTTGAGGATATCCACAGTAATTTCAAGAAAAGAAACTGCACACACAACACTATATCATCAAAAGACCTTTGCTACATCGAATGCGCATCACTGCTTCCCAAGCAGTTTCCCGTGTAAGGTCCCTTGTAAGTTCATGTCTTAGTTTCTCTTGGTGTGAATCTGCCTTAAAAGATGGATAATGGTACACCTGGCCTCCAGTATATTTGGCAAGAGTTCCTGCAAATAAAGAATATAAAACGTGTGATGCAGGTTGTCATATTTTCGTAAGTAAACACTCAAAATGTTAATTTACTGAAGTGGCACCTAGAGAAGCTATGTCAGAGTAATTCTCGCTGAAAGCATATATATCTACTGCAATCTGATTCTTTGTAAAATCTGCAGCCATTTGTTTATAAAACGAATCTTCAGGTATCCTTAAGTTATGTTCTTTATCTGTTCCATATACACGACGATCGTCTCCACGTAATCTTAGACGGCCGGCTCCAAGAGAAGGTAAAGTACTCTGGAAGATGAGCAACTTTCCTCCAAGTTGGCTCTGCAGGAAAATGTGTGATGAAATTCACAAAAAAATATTTATTTGATATTAGAAATTTGAAAAATAGGCAATGTGGTGATAAAATTATGCTGTGAAGAAAAGAGCATACCATAACCATGTATGAAGCTTTTAGAGCAGGACCAAAAGCAGATTCCATATTTGCATTATCCTGGAACATGCTCGGCAAGCTATCTAAAAAAGCATCCACAACGTTTCTTGAATCAGAAAGGTTCACAAGGAGGTCATCTGGCAACGGTAAAAATATATCATCCAGATCAGCTACCACCATCATTTGCGGCTGCGATAAGGAAGACTGATGCAACGAAAAGAGGGTAAATCACTTAAATTGTAGCTTGACTAACCCCTAAAAAAAGGAACATGAAAAAAAAAAAAAGCTTACAAAAGTTTAAATTCGGGTGTAGCATTGTGATCATTATGAGAGACATTTATTATGAATGTTCTAGAAGGAGAAAGATACATGCCTTCAGACTGTAGAAGTGTAAAGTGCTGTCAAAAGTTAAGAAGCCAATTTGAGTTCTTGGGAAGCCGGGCAGCTCATCAAGACAAGATTTTATGGTATTTGCCACAACCTGCATGGTAATGGGGATATTGAATATTATTTTTGATAAAATTCACGATGATTGATTACTGGACCCAAAGAGCATGCAGCTTGCTATGTGTGCTCTTTGCTACCCATCAATACTGGAAGGACAAGCACAGTATTGAGAGTGAACCACTAAAAGCTAACAAGTAGATACCTCTAGGAGACCATTCCGAACTGCAGAAACTGATACATCAATAACAAAAAAGTATGATGGTGGCATTGGTGGCCGCACCATATACTCAGTTGGAGCAACAAATTCGACACTACCTTTTGAAAGCTCAGGCCTCTGGTCCTGATCACATCTTCTACCATTAGCATCCAAAGCACAAAAATACTCCCCAGGAACTGACATCAGAATAGCATACATAAATTAGCAGTTTTTATTAGACTACTTCAGCAATTCATTGGAACAAAACCAAAAAGAGGTTATCTATAGGGTTCCAGAGAATTATTAATTAAAGCTAAACACAATATGATGTTCAGTGCGCACCAGTTCATGAATGGATAGAATGAGATACAACAACAACGACAACAACATCAAACCTTTATCCCACTATGTGCGTTCGGCTACATGAATACTTTTTCTCTACTGTGTTCTGTTAAGAGTCAAATTCTCATTTAAATCTAATAAAGAAAGGTCATTTCTTTCAAACCAAGACCTTTTATGTATACCTCTACCTTTTCTATCATAAGTCAAATCTAATGCATCTACTTTTCTAACTGGATCATTAGAAGGCCGTCATTTTATGTGACCAAACCATGTAAGACGACTCTCTCTAATATTATCTTCCATTGGAGCTACTCCAACCTTTTCATGTATATGCTCATTTTGTATCATGTCCTAAGAGTAAAGCCACTCATCCACCTGAGCATCCTCATCTCTGCAACACTTAACTTAATATTATGCTTCTCTTTTCATGGCCAACATTTTGCACCATAAAGCAATGCAGGCCTCGCCACCATCATATAAAATTATACCTTAAATTTGAGCGGGACTTTTCTATCACACAACAAGCCTGATACATTCCTCCACTTCAACCATCCAACTTGAATTCTACTAATAATATCCCCATCTATTTCATCACCACTCTGAACAATAGACCCAATATATCTAATATGTGTACTCTTATTAATGACTTGATCGCCCAAAGTCACAATCCCCCCACTAAATCTATTATTATTAAAATTACACTATATATATTCAGTTTTAGATCTACTCAAACGCAAGCCTTTAGAATCTAAGGTTGACATCCATAATTCAAGTTTACTATTAAGCCAGTTCAAGCTGAACCGCCCCAACCCCTACCCGTCCCTGCAAGGGCCGGTTCTCTGCTACAAGAGATGGACCCCCTTTGGGATAATTGCCGCCCAAGCCTAGTGGGCCCATTAGGCAAGGGGCAGCTAGGAGAGGGAGGGGAAACTTTAATTCAAGATTTGAAATTAGGGAATTTTGTATTAAAGAGTTGTCTAGGATTAGGTTTCTGCTTGATTATTGTGTTCTCTTGGAGTTTATTCTTGGTGTCTTGGGCTCTAGATTCATCTAGAGATTGTGAGAGAATGGTCCTCCTCTCGAATTGAGGATCAATTATATCTTTGTTTTGTTTCCTTCCATTGATTTGATTTCTACAATAAAATCTATTGTTTTAATTGAAACTGTTGAGTTTTTCCCACTGTTTTTATCAATCTTGTTAAGGTTTACTTGAAATATTCAAGTATTTCCTATCAAATTGATATTATAACAGATTTTGGAATCGTTTGTGGGCTTTTTCTGTGAAAATTAGCGACTATTTTTTTATTTTTATTTTTTTTTTGTGCCGAAGGAAGGAGTATTTTCTATTTTGGGTCAAGATCCAAATTTTTGAACCTACAAAAAACTAGGGATCGATGGAAGCCAAGAAAGTCGATGCGTTGGAGGAGAGACTTGAAGGGGAGATGAATCAAATCAAGACCACTGTGGAGGACAGAATTTCCTCCATGGAAGGGTAAGTAGATGACTTACGGGACATGATGAAGAAGATGTTAGAATTCCACAACCAAACGGCGGCTTCAGCGACGGAAGGGCCGGAAGGAAAGAATGCGAATTCTGAAATTCGTAAGGAAGAAGATGAGGTGTAGATTGTAGAGGGAGAAAGGAGAAGACGCCACATGGAGCCTTTCCAGAGGGAGGATAGAGAAGGGAGGTATGGGGAAAGGCATAGGTATGAGAGTAAGGAGTAAAGGGGTGCTAAATGGGAACACAGAAAGGGATATTATGGCCGTTGAGTTGCTGATTTTGACGAAAAGATAGGGGAATTCGAAGGAGGTTTGGGGTATGAAAGGGCAAAGGGAGATCAGAAGACATAGGGAGGGCCAAGCATGTGAGAAAGGGAAAACTATGGAGGAATAAGGGGAAACGGGGGAGATCAGAGGGTAAGGAAGCTGAAGATGCTCATTTTTTAAGGAGATGACGCATGGGTGGATCTATAAGGTGGAGAGGTACTTCGTCGTCAATGGGTTGGCAGAGGAGGAGAAGTTGACAACAGCAGGTTTATGTTTGGAGGGGAAGGTGCTGTCATGGTACCAGTGGAGGGACCCCCTACGGAGCTGGAGAGAGTTCAATGATTGTTTAATAGAATGTTTCCAAACTGGTAGGGGAGGAAACTTCTATGAGCAATTCTTTGCACTAGTGCAGGACGGAGCAGTGGCAGACTACCGAGAGAGGTTTAAGCATCTGGCCAGTTGAGTGGAACGATTTTAAGAGATGACATTGGAGGCGAACTTCTTAAAGGGACTCAAATCTGAGATCAGAGCTACAGTGAAGGTCATGAAGCCTCGTGACTTGAGAGAGGCCATGGAGTTGGCACACCTGATGGAAAATCAGATGTATCATGAGAGGGGAGCCCGGAGCAGCAATTCAAGGGCTCTTACAGGACGACAACCACTCTTTTAGCACCCAAGGGTCCGGCAACAGGAGGATTTCATGAGACCACTAGAGAGAAGCCAGTAGGAGGAAGCAGGGGAAATTTCAATAGGCTGACGGAGAAGGAGATGCAGGAGAAGAGAGCAAGGGGGTTATATTTCAGGTGTGATGATAAATATACTCCAGGGCATAGGTGAAGGGACCCAACTATTTAGGTTCTCACCGTCTGTAATGAAGAAAAAATTGAGGGAGGCAAGGGAGAGGTAGAGGGAGAGATGGAAGATAAGCTACATTTGGATCTGGCAGAGATTTCCCTAAACTCTGTGGTAGGATTCACTACGAATCATACCCTGAAGATTAAAGGGAAGATAAAGGAGAGGGAGGTAGTGGTACTGATTGATAGTGGGGCTACCCACAATTTCATTTCCACTCAGGTCGTCGACTAATTGGGAGTAAAATTGGTGAACATCGATTATTATGGGGAAATGAAGGGTACGGGGAAGATAGAAAAAGGCCATGGGATTTGTAGAGGAGTGATGTTGACCATCCAATAGCTTCGAGGGAGGGAGGATTTTCTCCCACTAGAGTTAAGAAGTACATATGTCATATTAGGGATGAAGTGGTTACAGACGTTGGGGGACACCAAGGTCAATTAGGGGGCACTCATAATGGAGTTGATGGTTGACGAAAGAAAGGTTGTGATAAGGGAAGATGCAGGGCTATACAAAGCCATGGTATCTGTCAAAACCATAGTGAGAAGTATACAGGAGGTGGGGGAAAGTTTTATGGAGCTGCACAAACTGGAGAGAGGAAACATACCTCTCTCAGTACGGCCATTGATTCAGCAGTTCCATGAGATTTTTCAGCCACCTCAGGGATTGCCACCACCAAGGGAGCAAGAGCATGCTTTCACCTTGAGGGAAGGTGTATAACTCATTAGTGTTTATCCTTAATTTCAAAAGGATTAAATTGAGAAGTTGATGAGAGAAATGCTAGAGGCGGAAATTATTAGGCCTAGTATAAGTCCTTTTTCTAGTCCAATATTACTAGTTAAGAAAAAAAATGACAGCTGGAGGTTTTTGTGTGGACTACAGGGCAGTAAATAAGGAAATTGTGCCAGACAAATTCCCTATACTAGTGATTGATGAATTGTTGGATGAGCTAAGTGGGGCAGTAATCTTCACTAAGATAGATCTGAAGTTAGGATATCATCGTGTCAGAATAAAGAAGGAAGATGTGCTAAAAACTGTTTTCAAAACTCATGAGGGATATTACGAGTTTCTAGTGATGCCTTTTGGCCTAACTAACGCGCCAACCACGTTTCAGTCACTCATGAACAAGGCCTTCAGACCTTATATAAGATGATTTGTCTTGGTGTTCTTTAACAATATCTTAGTTTACAGCAAGACAGAGGAGCATTGAGAGCATTTGAGGAGGGTGTTAGAGGTGTTGTAAGAGCATCAGCGGAGGGCCAACCTGCAGAAATGTTATTTTGCTAAGGCCAGTATAGAGTATTTGGGTCATATTGTATCCAATGAGGGAGTAGCAACATAACAGTCAAAAATTGAGGCCATGTTGAGATGGCCAGTACCTAAGAATCTGAATGAGCTGAGATGATTCCTAGGATTGACAGAATACTACAGGAGATTGGTGAAAGGGTACAACACTAGCATGACCACTAATAGAATAGTTGAAGGGGGGTTTCTTATGGAGGGAGGTAGCCACAATAGCTTTTGAGAGCTTGAAGAACGCAATGACGACTATACCAGTCTTAGCACCATCGGACTTCACTCACGTGTTCATAGTAGAGATAGATACCTCAAGATATAGATTGGGGGCAGTGCTCATGCAAAATCATCGACCAATTGCTTATTTCAGCCAGATGTTGATAGCTAGGACCAGGCTGAAATCAATTTATGAGCGGGAGTTGATGGCCATTGTATTAGCCATCTAGAAGTGGCGGCCCTACCTATTAGGTAGGCATTTCATTGTCAGAATGGACCAGCGGAGCTTGAAGTACTTGTTGGAGCAGCAAATGGTGATAGAGGAGCATCAGAGGTGGCTTTCCAAGTTGCTGGGATATGATTTTGAAATTCAATAAAGGCCAGGAGCGGAGAACAAGGCGGTAGATACCTTATCTAGATGTATTGGGGAGTTGCAGGCGACATCAGTGTCGATCCCATTGACATTAGATTGGGAAGCCATCAATGGGGTTGGAAAAGATCAAGTCTAATTTACTAAGGGAAGGGAGTAGCCATCTGGGGTATTCCTTGGAGGGGAAGAGACTTCTATATCAGGGGAGGTTTGTGATGCCCAAGACATCAGTCCACATTCCACACTTGCTCCAGGAGTTTCATGAGAGCGCTGTTGGGGGTCATTCAGGGGTGCAGAAGACCTACAGGAGACTAACTTCAGAGCTATACTGGAAGGGGATGCATAAGGATGTGGAGGAGATGGTAGCCAAGTGTGAGATTTATCAGAGGAATAAGTACACGACCATGTCTCCAGGATGATTATTATACCTATCAGCTTTACCGGGTCGGGTATAGGAGGTATCCATGAATTTCATAGATGGGCTACCCCGATCAGAAGAGTTCACACTAATCCTAGTGGTGATAGATCGATTGAACAATTATGCTCATTTCATCCCCCTACGACATCCATACACTGCAGTGACAGTGGCATCAGCCTTCATTAGAGAGGTGGTCAAACTGCATAGAGTATCAGAGGCTATAGTATCTGATAGGGATAAGGTATTCCTCAACCAATTCTGGAGGGAGTTGTTTAGACTACAGGGGGAAATAGAAGCGGTCAACAGGAGCTTAGAAACTTATTTAAGATGCTTTGTGTCGGAAACACCACCCAAGTTATGGGCCAAATGGCTAGCATGGGCTGAGTACTGATACAACACGTCTTTTCATTCTGCTTCTTTGATGACCCCATTCAAGGTGTTGTACGGAAAGGATCCACCTCACTTGATGCACTTTGGGCATAGCAGCACTCCAATTTCTTTAATGGAAGAGTGCTTGGAGGAGAGCGACAAGGCATTGGAAGAGTTGAAGAGTCATTTGCTGAGAGCACAACATATTATGAAGAAATAGGAATATATGGGCATAGAAAGGACATCCAATTCTAGGTAGGGGAAATGGTGTTTTTGAAGCTCCGACCTTACAGGCAATGGTCAGTTGCTAACAGGAGGAATGAGAAGCTCGCCCCAAGATACTTTGGGTCATATGAGGTATTGGAGAGGATTTGAGCTATGGTTTATCGGCTGAAACTACCATCAACGATGACTATACACCTGGTGTTCCATGTATCTCGGCTGAGGAGGGAAATTGGAGATTTTGCAGTAAGCTCTGAGTTACCATTGACACTAACTGAGGATTTATAGGTAATTTTGGACCTTTGGAGTTGATGGGGGTTTGTCAGAGAGAAGATAGAGCTAAGGAAGTGTTGATCAAGTGGAAAAGCCTCCCGGACTACGACGTCACATGAGAGCCATATGAGAGGGTGAAACATCAATTTCTCTGTTTTCACCTTGAGGACAATGTGATTATTTGGGAGGGCAATATTGTTAAGCCAATTCAGGCTGAATTGGCCCAACCCCAACCAGCCCTGCAAGGGCCTGTTCTCTGTTACTGGAGACGAACCCCCTTGGTAGAATTGTCTCCCAAGCCTAGTGGGCCCACTAGGCAATCCAATAGGGAAAGAAGTAAGGGGCAGATAGGAGAGGGATGAAAAACTTGAATTCGTGATTTGAAATTAGGGAAGTTTGTATTAAATATGAGGAGTTGTCTAAGATTAAGGTTATGCTTCATTATTGTGTTCTCTTGGAATTTCTTATTGGTGTATTGGGCTCTAAATTCATCTAGAGATTGGGAGAGAATGATCATCCTCTCGAATTGAGGATCAATTATATCTTTGCTTTGTTTCCTTCCGTTAATTTGATTCCTACAATAATATCTACTGTTTTTTATTGTTTTCATTAAAATTGTTGAGTTTTTCCGTTGTTTTTATCAATCTTGTTAGGGTTTACTTGAAATATTCAAGTATTTCCTATCATTTACCTTCAACTCCCCCTCTAGTCTTATCAACAAAAAAAAATATCATCAGCAAAAATCATACACCAGGGTACAACCTCTTGCAAATGTCTAATGAGAACATCCATGACTAAAGCAAAAAGATATGGGCTTAAGGGTGATCCTTGATGTAATCCAACTGAAATAGAAAATACTTGGTCAAACCATCTTGTGTTTAAGCACAAGTAGCAATTGCTGCATACATATCCTTAATGACTTGAATATAAGCATTATATTGAGATACGTTGATATACAATATATTGACAATGAAGCATTACTTGAAACATATAACAAGATTATATAAAAATATTCTATTAATTCAAGTAAAATACTATTCAATGTGCAAGATGGATTGGTCACATAAAACATCGATCTTCCGATGGGTAAATTATTCAGTGCGGAGACCGCATGCAAGCTTAATTATGTTCGGATTTGTTGCGCTTTTGATACACTTTTACTGCGCTTTTGTTGTACTTTTGCAAATGCAGCTAATAGATAATTTTAATTGTGTATTAGTTGTCATTTTACTTCTCTTTTGCTGAGTATTTGCAAAAGCACAGCAAAATGACAGAAAATACTCAATTAGTAAGATATTTGTTATGCTTTTACTGCACTTTTATTGTATTTTTGCAAAAGGGCAGCAAAATGGCAGCTAATACATAATTAAAATTGTCTATTAGCTGTCTTTTGCAAAAATACAGCAAAAATGCAGTAAAATGGCAGCAAATCCGAACGTAAGCTTGCGTGCAGTCTCCGCATAGAATAATTTGCACTTCTGATGACCCGGTTAGAAGAGTAGATGTAGTATATATAGCCTATGTTAAATAAGGTAGAGGTGGACCTAAAAAACACTTGGTTAAAAAGTAATAGAAATTACTTCTTTTTATTTAAATTTAAATGAGAATTTGACTTTTAATAGTTAATAGGATACAATGAAGATAAAGAATTCATATAGCTGATCCTATGTAGTCGGATAAAGGCTTGATATTGTTGTTATTGTTGTTGTTATTATTCAATGTGCAAAATATTAGTTTACAATCAGCAACCCTTCAAACTATCCAGCACCACAATTACAAAGCAAAGGCTCAAAGAAACTATATATACACTGGAACCTTTTTAAAATACACACACATGCAAAAGGGTGAAAAATGGATCATAATATACATTGTAGTCATGATTACAGATCTCAAAGTCAAATATCTGTGGCACTTCTAATATTTTTTAAAGAAAAACAAGTAAAATCTATATTTTTAAAGAGTACTGCAAGAAGTAAAAGAGAAAATATTCAATTTCTACATTAGATTGATGAAAATAAGTTAAGGGGATTATACATAGCTCTAAATATAAATAAGGGTGAAAATGGGCAACATTCTGGTTGAACTAGCAAAAATTCAAATCCGGAATTACAAATAAAAATCAATAGCAGAAAAGTAATAAAAGAACAAAACTTCAGTCATTACAAAGAAATTCAAGTCCGGACAAGGAGTTGGATCCAAAAAGAGTTCAAACAACAAGAAGGTCGTATAAATGTAAATTTTAGTGATAAAACCTTAGTTATGGAAACAACGATCAGCATGGAGCTGCGGTAACCCTATAGGCAGGAAGTACAGCTCAAGCGAATTCACAGACAATCTGTATGTAGAATTTAGGAACTTCTTAGCCAAGAGATTGGCATTGTACTAGGCTTTAACTGGTTAAGCAGCAACTCCCTACTAGCACAGATAAGGGGCTAAGTGTGTTGCAAATTTTGTAAAGGTGGATGATTGGTGCCATTTGTGAACTAACCACTTATGATAAGTAAAATGGTTAAATGAAATTACAGATTAATAAGATGGGAAAAATAGTAGTATACAGATAATTACAATTTTACAGTTGGAATATTGGTGATTAATAAGCAAAGCCTTAGCATTCCTTCAATAAATGATGTTTTTGAAATCTACCATTGGTTATGTGGAAGCATATTCTGATTCCTTAGTCTTCACTAATAATACCAGTTGCCAAGTAAGTTAGATTTTCTCATCGTAGATGGCTAGTAAAGAGTAACATTTTCTTTGGAAAGGTTTTTTCATCATATGATAAAATAAACATGAAATTGCCGGCATTCAATCAATTAGCAAGCAGTTAAATGTATGTCAATTGTTACATCATGCATCAATTCAACCCAAACAAATCGAATAAAAGATGCATATCTAACATGCATGTATGACTTATCTCTATTTTCAAGTTAAATAGGATATGTTCCCTTAACAAGAACAAGAGTATACCAAGTCATCAGGTAAAGTTAATAAATATGCAACAGGTTGCATACCACATTTGTATATGTTAAGTAAATGTTCCTACTCTTGTATTAAATAATTTTCAGAGTGATAACACTAATCGAAAGAAAATTCACTAGCTTCATCAGCACTTGTAAAGCATTACATAAGCAGTGCAAATATGCAATAGCAAGAATACTAAGTTATCAACAGGCCAATGATTACTTAGTTATAAATTCAAAGAGAATACAAGATAGAACACAGCCCTACTCCGTGCATCTTTTAAAGCTGAAAATCTTAGTTGGAACATACCATCATTCATAAGAGAACAAATGTTGCAGCGCCACTTTCTTCCAGCATCTGTGAAAGTCGCATACGGATTAATATAGTTTCGGCATCTTCGACACCTAACAATGCCAGCTGGTCCAAAATTGACAATAGGCACCTCATCCTAGAAGATTAAACTCATATACAATCAGTCTAATGACTGCAAAAGTGAATGCAAAATGAAGCACCAATTTATAACAGTAGATATAATATACAAAAACCTCAGGAAAAAAATGTAATACACATCCAACTTTGAGAAATGTGTTGTTAAACAAAAAAAAAAAAAACAGAAAAAGATGGGCATATCAAGCCAATTAACTCACCCCATCTGGAACCTCTGCCAGAGGATGAACCACAATTCCTAAAGGCAAATGCCAGCGTGCAAGCAATGACTGAGAACTTGGAAATGCATGAGTTGTCAACCTCAAGAATCTAGGTTGACAGTTGAGAGGGTATTTCTCATGGACAGAAATCATCTCGTCATTATTATCAAAGGGTCTTGGCAACGATCTAAAATCCAATCCAGGATCAAGTGAACCAGAAGCGGACCCGAGTGTTATTGACTGGAAATCTTCAACAAGTCCTTGAAGGGAACCTCCCAATGGAGGACCTGCACTGGGATATTGCATTTGTTCTCTGGAAGCAAAACCTATTGGTGCACCAATAGGAGGAGATGGTGCGGCTACAAATCCGCCTTGAGGGGGATGATAAGAAAGATGAGTTGCAGGAAATGTTTGAGGGGGTGGTTGTGAAATTGAGCCAGGGGCAGAAAACCTCATATTTACAGGTGACTGAGGCACACTACCTCTTGGAAGAACATTGTAATCTCCTGGTGAAGGCGCCAGTTGAGGTGGACCAGGTGGTCTAGGTGCAGACAAAGATGACTGGAGAGGTAGAGCGAAATTTCCACTAGGAGGCATCTGGTTTGAAGCTACAGAAGGAATGCTCATTGGAACTGATGATATTTGGCTTGGAGGAAGAGACCCAGCATGGGTAAGAACCGGTGGTCCTCCCTGAGGTGTGATGCTGAAAGGAGGCGCAGGTTGAGCAGATGGTGTAAACCTTGGAACTTGTGTTGGTTGGTATGCACTTGTGTCTTGATTGCTGTAAGCTGATGGTGGAGCATTTGCAGGACCATTAAACCTAACTGGAGGCGGCATCCAGGATGAATCCGGCACAGCCATGGCCCTTGGAAAATTTGGCATGGAAGCTCCAGGAGCAATTGATGTGCCAGAACCAGCTATTGGCCGTGATGGAATGAAGGGAGAAGAAGGTTGAGAATTGCCAGATGCCTGCATCCCAACCACAGGTCCTGAAGATGTGAAAGGAGATGCATACTGTGGGTTGGCTGGAAGAAATGGGGCAGGTCCACCAGGGACATTTGCAGTCTTATCCGCCCCAGGCTGCATTTTTTCTTGATTTTTATTTTTTATGTACAGGAGCAACCTGGACCATTGAAAATATACATGGAATCAAATGCTATGATTAGAAAAGAAATATTTGGTTTAATAAATATTATATCAGTGTGATAGGAAGTGGATGCAATTTCAGCAAAACTAGAGAACGGTACAAGAAATTTAGGAAGAAGAACACACAAAAACTTTTTTTTTATTGAACGAACTAAGAAAAAAAATACAAGATACAGTTGGATCTTCAAATGGAGATGAATATCCAGCTCTCCCAAACCCCTAGCAAAATAAAGCATAATTTGAAATCACCTCATAATTAGCCATAAATAGGCTCCCATAATTCCCTCCCAAATCAGCCCGCTTTCGCTAAATAATTTCCTCTCATATTTGAATTCAAATTAAATCACTTTCCCTAATTAATTTCCTTCAAATTATAATTAAAACTTTCCGAAATAATTCCCCCATTGATTCCTCCTTGCATAATGAATATTAACTCCCTGGGCTCTCCCTCTCAGATTTAAATTCAAATTAGATTTCTCTCCCTAATTAATTATCTCTCAATTGTAATTAAAACATTCCTAAACAATTCCACCTCTCTTTTTGCCCGCAGCCCACCCTAGTAGGGACCACCGACTCAGCCGCCAATCCATCACGATGTTGTTGCAAGTGAAGAAAAAGAATGTAACTCTAGAAATATTCTACCAAAAATGAAAGAAAACATTAGTTAACAAAAAATGGGGTTCAAGAAAAATGTGTCAATAAACAACTAAAAGATAATATGTGCACTATCTATCATTGTAAAAAAATAAGTTCCAAAATCCCCAATAAAACTTCAAGCATTATAGAAATAGGAATCAATCATGAGAATGTTTCTAGTTAGTTATGAGCTTTAATATAGAGAAAAGTTTCAATCAATCCAGTAAATGCCAAGTCAACTTCGCTTATAAAAGTAGAAAAATATGATGTATATTTCAGTTTTTAAATTTCAAGTACTCAATAATAGAATTAGTTAGATGCCAAATAAAGCATTACTGTAAAAACTGACGAATAATAAGTGGGAAAAGAAAGATCCTAATTAGTCACACCATACAGAACAGAGCTTCCCATCCACTCCATTGACAAAGAAAGCATACATCATACACGATTAATTAATTAAATAAAAAAACTAATAATTCTATCATACTAACAAAATTAATCATATTAATTAACCCCACCAAATATTTAATCTCTTCAGCTCCATCACTAATTCGCGTACAGGCATCCACAAAACTCAATAGTTATCCTCTCTTTGAAGGATTTAAAAAAAAAAAAAACTTAACCATACCAAAGCACTTCAGGCATGTAGTATGTTTGGAAAGTGGAAATTATTTTGCTTGCTCACACACGTGCCGTTTATATCAAAAAACACATAAGAAAGCAATAGCAGTTTACTATGGGAATTATAGAAAAATAGTAACATGATTTCTGAAAGTTCTCATAGACATCAACATTTGAGAAATTCTACTTACAAACAATGTTGCAAGATGAAAACGTCAGCCTAATCCTAGCTTCTTGTTAGTTGCATGACACCTTGTTCTCCATTCATTCTTACCGAGTGCAATCTGATGTGTTAAACCTATTTTATAATCTTTCTGCATAACTTCTATCATGTTACTTTGGATCTAATATATTTTTATTTTGAATACATTTATATTAATTTTATCTACCTTACATTATACAAACTCAAACCACCCAAATACTTCATTAGCTTGCCTTCAATAGGAGCAATTCTATCATTCCTCTAGTATCATCACTTATCGATCTATTCTTCATAGTTTCTTAAGATTATAATATTTATCACATTCAATTTGGCTGTTGGTTACTTTTTAATTAACCAATACTAGGTCTACTACTCCCAGACACTTCTCCATTTTAACTAGATAGTATCCTGATATATATCCACATATTTCCATAAAACAGATCCAAAATAAACAAATAGATATTCCTTTGCATCACTTGATTTACAAGCAAAATTGAATTACAATTATAATTTTTCTTCCCACACTAAAATTAAATATCACATACAATCAATGTTTGTTTACTAATCCTAGCCTCTTATCTTCTAAATATTGCCTTCATCGCTCTAGATTTCGGTTATATTATCATAGTGAAAAATAGTACAAACAATCACCTGAATAACAACAGCGTAATTTCTTATAGGAAAAGGATTAAGCTAAAGCTACCATTAACATAAAAAACCAATTTTAACGATTCGACATGTTATCCCTCAAATATATCAAGCAGATCCACTGAACTTGGAATCCGAAAAAAACTGGAAAAAACAACTAAATTCAAACAAAACTAAAACATTAAAAACCAATGAGCAGATCCATCAGACAAGAGAATTAATCAGACGACAATTAAGATGAAAACAATTTAATTAAAAGATTATAAGTAACAATAAAAAGCTCGTCAACAAGTAGAAAACAGCGGATTCAATCTCAAACTTCCTGATCAAATCTAATGCTAAAAGTTGAAGCAGGAGATCGAATTAAAGGTTAAGAGAGATCACCGCTAGGGTTCATAGAACTCCTTCAAGGAGAAAAAAATGCAACAGCGATAGCTTTCCGGATCCAAGCCGTGGTCTGAGAAGCGGAGACCGACGATGGTATCAAGATGAACCAGGTCGCAGAGTTTCTATGGATTTTAATTCTCTCATCCGGGTTTAAACAAGCTTTCAATTAGGTCTAGCCCGAATAAGCACTGTGTTAGCAAATGGGCCACAAATAGAATCGACGGGCTGTTGTCGGTAGGCCTATTAAAAAGCAACCAAAAAAAAAACCGATAAATATATTTTGAACTGTTGCTTGGGAGCTTAGGCTATCAATTAAGAGATTTTGGATTTGAGTCTTTTGTATGGGATGTGTGTGTGACTCTAATTTAGGCTTCATTTGGAATGACTTTTTCATTGCTTTTTAAAACAACTGTTTAGTACAAAAATTAAAATTTATATACTAGAAAATTGCTTTCATAAGCAATAAGAAAGCCGTCCAAAACGAAGCCTTAATTGGCCTAAAAAAATTAAAATTAAAGTTAAAATTCATACTATATTGCAAGAAAAAGAAATAAATAAGATTACCATTTATATGATTATATCATAGTTGATAATTTGAAACGTGTATTTCTGAAATATATGTTGGGCATGTCATTTATGATCAAATTAAAATAATTTTAAAAAATTAATGAATACACATATATGTATAGAAAAAAATTGGCATATATATTCTGGATAATAAATTTTATTTTTAAAATGTATTATATAAATAATTTAAGTTAAGATGTTTATTTTATTTACTTTATAAAAAATTCAACAAGAACTTTTGGGATTCCCCTATATATATATATATATATAATTTATTTTTGTCTTTTAAAATTCCAAAATCTTGTTGCAGTCATTAGAACTTCTAGGTCAGAGATTGTTAGCAATGAACAAAATCTTGTTCTCTTGTGCTAGTCCAAGCTTTTCTTTGGATTGGTAGTTCGTAGAGCGTTGATCGTTGATGGCAATCAAAATCTTTATTCTCTTGTGATGGTCCAAAAATTTTCTTAGATTGGTAGCACAGACAATATTGGTGGCAATCAAATCAAACATTGGTGGCAATCAGAGCATGGTTCTCTTGTGCCAGTCCAAACTCTCCCTTGGGTTGGTAACTCAGATAACATTGAGGGCAATTGAAGACTGATTCTCTTGTGTCGGTCTAAGTTTTCCTTTGGATTGGTAGCTCATATAATATTGGTGGCGACCAAAGCCTAATTTTATTGAAAAAGTTAGAAACCACCCAGTGGTGGCCTCTCGGGAAGAGATTTGGCAATAGAAATGCATGGAAGGAAATCCTGCAATAACCAGCGGACAAGCGAATGTCTATTAACAATCGATGGTTAGAAAGAGATTCGACGGCAATAGTATCTGGGATGAGACCTAATGATAGTTAATGAACGGGTGAAACCCCGACGATGGTTTATGTTTGGAAAGAGATCTTGCAATCATAAGTTGGTCATTTGATGCAAGAAGTTATGTAGTATGCCGATGAAAGGCTAACAATGGTGGTTAGATGACATTCCGATGTTGGCAATTGGGTGTTGAGCTGATGGTGATGTTCGAGCTACATTTTGTTGGGGTTATTTGATAAAGCGTTGCTCATTTGTATTAAAAATATTAAGAAAATCAACAAGGGAAGCTTGACCTATCCGAAGAGGCTAGGATTAGTAAACAAACATTGATTGTATGTGACATGTAATTTTATTAATGGGTGTACTTGATATCGGATCTGTATTCACTTTTAAATAGTATTTAAACTAAATCCCGCCAAACCCCTTTTCGCGCGTATCTAAATCCGACGAAACCTAAATCCGGGATTTATAGATTTACGACATAGATCTTGTAAATTCGGGTAAATCATAATCCCATCCTTTCCCGGATTTAACGATTTACGGGATTTGGCCGGAGAAAGGCTCCAAAGGGAGAAAATTACCTTCAAAGCCAGCGAGCTCCCGTTGTTGAATCCGATCAAAATGTCGTAACTTCCGATCCACGTTGGGAAAGTCGACGAAGGAGCGAAGTCGAACAGCCACAAAGGACAAAGGACGAAATACGAAGGAGCCGAAGAAGCGACGCGTGCAATCCCTACAACTCCTTGCGAAGCAACGAAGCCGAACAGCAACTACAAGAGAAGAAGATGAAAGGCAAACCCGACATGCCTCTTTAGTTATTACTTATTAACTTAATTAATATAATTTAAAATAATAATAATTGTGTAAATTAATAGTATAATTAGTGCATAAAATATTTATCTAATTTAACTTAATTTAAAAATTAATGATATATTAGTAATTAAATATAGTATCATTAGATGAATTAATATATATTAAAATATATATTATTAATTATATAATTAATAGTGCAATTATAATTAATGAGTAATTTGAACTTAATAATCTTAATAATCATACAATTTAAATTCCTAACTCTCATAAATCCTGAAATATATTTATAAACATCTTTTCAGGATTTAACATAATTTAATATTTATCTTACCAAACACTTTTCAAGATTTTATAGTCTAGGATTTACTAAATTCGGAATTACAAGATTTACTAAATCCTACTATAGTTGAATCAAGTCTGATATCAAACACCCTCTGAAAGTGTCAAATTTGAGTCTGGAATCTTAAAAAATGATTCTGGTGTCCCCAAAACTGTCTGAATCTAACCGTCCAGACAAAAATTGGCCTCTAAATATATATATATATATATTGGCCCTTCAAAATTTTGAAAAAAAAATAGCAAGGACTTTTGGGATTCCCCTCCTTTAAATGGAAATAATTTATTTTTGTCTTTTAAAATTCTAAAAAATATATTAAAAATTTTGAAAAAGAAAATCATAGAAATTTCTAGAATGACCTTTCATCTTAACCCCATTGCACCTATAAATATCCCCTTATGGCTAGGGGAAAAAAACAAAATATCTTGTGTCGATTCATGTCGTCCTTTGGATTGGTAGCTCAGAGATTGTTAGCATTGAACAAAATCTTTTTCTCTTGTGCTAGTCCAAGCTTTCCTTTGGATTGGTAGTTCGGAGAGCGTTGATGGCAATCAAAGCCTTTATTTTCCTGTGATGGTCATTTTCCTTAGATTGGTAGCATGGATAATATTGGCGGCAATCAAAGCAAACATTGATGGCAATCAGAGCATGGTTCTCTTGTGTTAGTCCAAACTCTCCCTTGGGTTGGTAACTCAGATAACATTGAGGGCAATCAAAGACTGATTCTCTTGTGTCGGTCTAAGTTTTCCTTTGGATTGGTAGCTCATAGAACATTGGTGACGACCAAAGCCTAATTTTATTGAAAAAGTTAGAAACCACCCAGTGCTGGCCTCTCGGGAAGAGATTTGGCAATAGAAATGCATGGAAGGAAATCCTGCAATAACCAGCAGAAAAGCGAATGTCTATTAACAATCGATGGTTAGGAAGAGATTCGGCGGCAATAGTACCTGGGATGAGACCTAATGATAGTTAATGAACGGGCGAAACCCAGACGATGGTTTATGTTTGGAAAGAGATCTCGCAATCATAAGTTGCTCATTTGAAGCAAGACATTAGGTAGTATATCGATGAAAGACTAACAATGGTGGTTATATGACATTCCGATGTTGTCAATTGGGTGGTGAGCTGAATGTGATGTTCGAGCTACATTTTGTTGGTGTTATTTGATAAAGTGTTGCTCATTTGCATTAAAAATATTAAGAAAATCTACAAGGGAAGCTTGACCTATCCGAGGTTATTTGTTAGAGCATTGCTCGATGTCGTTAACCTATGTGGAAGAGATCGAGAGAATCCACTAAGAATGTTTAACCAATGTTGTTTATCAGAGTGTTGTTCGATGATGTTAACATATGCGGAAGAGTCTGAGAGAATCCATCAAGGATGTTTGACCTATTCGATGTTGTTTGTCGGAACATTGCTCAATGATGTTAACATGTGTGAAAGAGGCCAAATCGAATTCCCATGGGATTAATTATAATTTGATTGGGAGGGGAGAATGTACGTGTATCCTGAATCTAATGTAAAGATTGGTCTTTGAATATTATTGCATTTTTTAGGTCGGAATTAAGACATTGCCAAGGGAGTAGAAGTCCGACTTGAGACTGTATAGATTTTAAAATTTTCTTGAAGCATCCTTACATTTGATGGGAGCTTTATGAAAATTGATTGTCAATAACATTGTCTTGGACGTTAAAAATATTGGAGAAATTTTTCTTAATTATAGTCACATTGGAAGTTACAGCCAAGGTTGCTCCACAGTCCAAATTTGCTTCATGAAATTGATAAAATGGTGGTTGATACTTGAGGGGTGATAGAAAATTACATAAGATTGCCCTTCAGCTAGGAATCTTTTCCCACAGATGGTACCAAACTGTTATTTCTTGAAGCTAAGGAGGAAGGCCAAACAGCCTTCCAGAAAAAAAAAGAATAAAATTAAATTATAGGGCAGCATAATAGCCACCCCAATAATGAGGCGGAGGCAGAAGGTCAAATGCCTTCCGATTAAACAAAAAAAAGTTCTATAAGGCGCATTGTACGTGTGCCCATTCACGCGCGCTAGGCTCGCGCAAGTACCACTTGTGCCGGCCGGCCGGTTTGGCCACCTACGCGTGTCTAGGCCCAAATTTTGGCTTGGACGATCCAATTTGGATGTTTTTGAGGTCACACGATTAATTTTTTGACGTTCTAAGCTTAATTTTGACACTTTGAATGCCCATTAAGGCATCTATTATTAATTTTGAGCTATTTCAAAAGTTTCGAAGATAATTTTTTTGACATTTTGGGTTCTTATCTAAATGTTAACTTCATGGAATGATAAACCTATGATCGAAAATATTTTACTTAATTCACCATCACAAAAGAAGGACCACATTTGGTGTTTATGGAGCAGTAGCGCTTTATAAAATTAATCAAAATTTTACATTTCAACATTTTGAAGGGCTTAGACATATATTTTTGGAGTCTATGAGATATGACATCCAAAAATAGAAGGGAATCTACTATATCACAAAAATTTGGCTTAGTCGAGCACAAATCTCGAGACTTATTCATGCAATAAATTTTCAAAATTAAAATTAGAATAATCAAAGCTCTAATTTTAACAAACTTATAGTCGAATTGAACATCTCGAAGAGAGAAACCTAACGACACCTAAATCAGTCCAATCTGAGATCGGACAGAATGAACCCAAATCAAAAGGACCAAAAACATTCTTGGAGGCTTTAAAACATTAATTGAATAACTAAATAATCATCGAATATGACCATGCTTAAAGTCAAATTGAGCGGCTCGATGAGACTACTCAAACAAGCCCAAGATCATTAAATTTTGACATCATTAAAGCCCATATATGCTTAATTAATAATCTATGATCGAAGGAAGAGAAAAGAAGAGAAGGATTTAGGAGTTTTCTTGCCTCCGACCACTACAAGAGTTCTTCCTGCCTACAACCGAAGTTCTTCCCGACCACCGTCAGAGTTCTTCATGACCACAGCTGGAATTCTTCTCGACCACCACTGAAGTTCTTCCCGACCGCCACCAGAATTCTTCATGATCACCACCAAAGTTCTTCACGATCACCACCAAAGTTCTTCTCAACCATCGCTGAAGTTCTTCCCGACCGCCTCCGTTGTTTGTCTCAACCATCATCAGAGTTCTTCCCGACTGTCGCTAGAGTTCTTCTCGATCACCACCGAAGTTCTTTCCAATCATCACCGAAGTCCTTCCCAACTACCACCAAATTTTTCTAGACCACCATCGAAGTTCTTTATGGCCGTCACCGAAGTTCTTCCCGACCACCGCCAGAGTTCTCTTTGACCATCACCGAAGTTCTTCCAAACCACCATCAAAGTTCTTCTCGACCACCACCGGAGTTCTTCCCAACTACCAATGAAGTTCTTCTCGATCACCACTGGAGTTCTTCCTAACTACCGCCAAAGTTCTTCCTGACCTTTGAACATCACTAGGCTTCCACCCGCCTGTCGACCACCGCCAAATCAGTTGGGTTACATCAAGGATCAGCCTTAAGCCCATATCTTTTTGCTTTATTCATGGATGTTCTCACTAGACATTTGCAAGAGGATGTACCTTGGTGTATGCTTTTTGCTGATGATATTCTTCTTGTTGATAAGACTAGAGAGGGAGTTGAAGGAAAACTTGAATTATGGAGGTCAACCTTAGAGTCTAAAGGTTTTCACTTGAGTAGACCTAAAACGGAATATATGGAGTGTAATTTTAGTAGTAATAGACCTAGTGAGGGGATTGTGATCACTTTGGGCGATCAAGTCATTAATAAGAGTATACATTTTAGATATCTTGGATCTATTGTTCATAGTGATGGGGAAATAGATGGGGATATTATCAGCAGAATTCAAGTTGGATGGTTGAATTGGAGGAATGCATCGAGCTTGTTATGTGATAGAAATGTACCCCTCAAACTTAAGGAAAAATTCTATAAGATGGTAGTGAGAACTGCAATGCTTTATGGTGCCGAATGTTGGTCATTAAAAGAGAAGCATAATACTAAGTTAAGTGTGGCAGAGATGAGGATGCTCAGGTGGATGAGTGGCTTTACCCTTAGAGATAGGATATGAAATGAGCATATATGTGAAAAGGTTGGAGTAGTTCCAGTAGAAGATAAGATTAGAGAGAGTCGCCTTAGATGGTTTGGTCACATAAAACGGCGGCCTTCCGATGACCCGATTAGGAGAGCAGAGGTATTAGATTTGACTTATATTAAGAAAGGTAGGGGTAGACCTCAAAAGACTTGGTTAGAAAATATTAGGAATGACCTTTCTTTATTAGATTTAAATAGAATTTGACTTTTAATAGGACACAATGGAGAAAAAAGATTCATGTAGCCGACCCCACATAGTGGGATAAAGACTTGATGTTGTTGTTGTAGTAACTAATCAATACAATGAGAATAATTATCATAGATACGTATTACAGGCTTTAATCCATTCTAATAGAATTACAAACACATGAGCAAGTAAGTTAGACTGATAGAAATGGTTTGAAGCTTCTCAAGAAAAAAAGGAAAAAAGTATTGCTATATTTGAATTTCTACATTCCTAGAAGAGGAAAAACCTCAACTTTGTGGCATTTGATAAACTGATTAGAAGCTATCAACATGAAATAGATTTAAGGACATGCAATAGAAAAGATCTGCGATCTTCATTCATAGCTATACAAGATTATGGATAGAACAATCATGTCATTTAGCAACTTTTGTTTCCATAAGAATATTTGTATGTTGTACTCCGTTACACAAGCATTTCTACAATTTTGTAAATAATTGATGCATGAATTAAAAAAAAAAAAATAGTGAAAGGATCTGAAGCCCTTTGATTGGTGGTGAAGATATTTAAATGTAATTTACGCTCACTATTCCCAATAAAAATAGAAATCCAAACACATGTTAATGAGTACAATAAGGATGAACTTATTTCTTTTCAATGTTTGTTATTTCAGTTCTCTCAGCCTCTCCATAATTACCTTTAGAAATAAACACAATTCAATACAACCACCACATAATCATTTAGATTAGAAACCTTTTTTTTTTTATATAATGAATAGGGAGAATATCCATAAATCTTTACTTTGGGAGAGCTTTTAACTTTGTATTGATCTACCAAGTCAAAAGATTACATGACTTGAGCTTTTATATAGGTTTTTTGTTTTGTTTTTTTTTTTTTTTTTTTTTTTTTTTTTTTTTTTTTTTTTTTTTTTTTTTTTTATTTTTTTTAGGGGAAGAATATAATTTCAACTTGATTAATAACAAAAACAAATGAATATGTTCTATTTTTTGTTCACATTATTTAGTTTTGGAGTTGAGCCATTAAAAACATTCAAACATTGGAAAATAAAAATAAAAAAATCTAAATGGAGTAGCTAAATGACATGTTTTGATGTTGTTTGGGAATGGACATCCAAATTCATTATGTACTAAACCATTGACTTGCTTATATAGTGTAGGTATATATAACATTAGTCCATATCAAATTTGAATATCGAAGCTTTAGTTTAGTCAAGCACAGATCACAATAGGCCCTTTACCTTGTTTTTCAAATAAAAATTTATATTTTTACGAATTAAAAATAAAGGTTTCTTAGACTTAATATACTTAATTGTTTCTTTGAACTTAGGAATTAACTGTTGCTTGAGACAACAAGTCTTTATCCCACCAAGTGAGGTCAGCTAAATGAAGTTTTTTTCTCCATTGTGTCTTATTAAGAATCAAAATTTAATTTAAATCTAATAAAATTAAGGAGATTGTATGATTAAGTATTAAATAGAGTTGAGTTATTGAGTTGATGAAAAAAATAAACTAATGTAAGTTATCAGTAAACTAACAAAAGTATTTAATTATATTTTAGAATAAGATCATTTTTTGAATTAATCAGGATATGTTAATATTCCATAAACATAAGTTGATTTGTGATTAAGAGAACTAAAATTCGATCAATAAGAGGTACATGAAGGCATCATAAGGACGAAACCCTAAAAACATACAACTAATATATAGATCATGAAGCAAGTGAAGAGGGAGATCAATTGTGAGTGGCAAATGATAGCTACATTAAGAGAAGTGTTGTCAAAATTACAAAGACAATCAAAATCTCCACCATTATTAGCCTTATTGTAATTAATATAAGGTTGGTCATATGAAACCTAATTCTCCATTGTTCTTGTTGTGTATCATCAATATAAGGTTGGTCATATGAATCAGGTCATGGAGCTGGAAATGCCTAAAAAAAACAAAATCTGGTTAGTGCTGACGCGGATTCACAGCAGCGGGGCGTGAGGTTCCAATTGCTGGCATTGGCCTGCATTCCGATTAAAAAAGCAGCAAACTTTTGCATGCGGATGCCACTTGATTGCCTTCTGTCTCGATTCCTTCCCCTTCCTTTCTTTTAATTTATATCTACTTTCGCTTCTTTAAACCGGTTTCTACGGCGGCCATGGGAGGTGATCACGGCAGTGCCAAGGCCGACATCTCGTTTGCCGGGAGATTCGCAAGTAGCGCCACCGCCGCCTGCTTCGCGGAGGTAAGCTGGAGCCATCCACGAAATATGCCCCTTTTGATTGAGTTGCTCCTGCAAACATCTATCTAGTGATTTTTTTTAATGGTCTGGTTGGTTGATTTCTATCGCTTAGGGGTCTGAGTTGGCTGATCATTCTTGAGAGTAAACAATAACCAGCGAACCCATTCGTTGGTTGGATTTATCTAAATGTAAATGTTTGGTTGTAGTTTTCTGTGGTGGAATTTAGGCAATGGTGACCGTTGGACACACAGTGGTTTCCTGGCTTGAGATAGTGATGATTTTGTTTTCACATGATTTAGCAGAAATTGTGAATTTTTGGATATTGTGGGGTTTAATCGCCATGGGAAATTTGAGTTACAGCTAATCAAATATGGAAAGTGGTGATCACCATAGTTTGGCAATTCCTGATTCTAGTCTGGGCTGAATCAAAGGATCCCTAGCCTTCCTTTCACTTATTTTTTGTAAATATATGTATAGGCTTGTGGTTGCATCTCTTTTGCCCTCAAGTTAGCAATTCAGAAATGGCTTTGCTTGTTAGTGTCATCTACTTTGAAATGGATGAGTTCCCTTATGTTCCTTGTTTTGGTGAAGATCTCTATACCTAAAAGTTGAGAACTAATCATGAACTAGTTATCTTTTTCCCCTATGGAATTCTTTTTAGCTTTCAATTCTATTCTATTGTTCTTTGGTTGCAAGCATTTGTTAAAAAGTCCTTTCTTGCCTATCTTGAAGGGAATCCTTCATATTTCATTTGTTGCTATTTGTTGGTTACCAGGTTAGTTCGGATGATTTATGCTCATTTTTAAAGCTGTCTGAAACTCCAAAAAATCCTAGTTGGAAATGGAAACACATTAGTATCTTTTACAAAGGCTTTTACCTACGAAGAAGCTTTTTTATTTCTCAATATTTGTTTGGCGCATTTGTGCAAAGTTTAGCTTTGTTAGTAATGATTTAGGCTTCGTTTGGGACGGCTTTCTTACTACTTCTTAAAACTGTTTTTAGTATAAAAATTTTAATTTTTTAACTAAAAAGTTGCTTTAAGAAACATTAAGAAAGTGACCCAAACGAAACCTTAATCTATTTATTGCTTCTTGATGGTCATATAAAATTTTCATTCTAGCAATCCATACCTTAGAACTTCCCAATATCAAATAGACGAATAATACCTAAATAGAAAAAGGTGAAGCTCATTGGATCAAAGTCTTTAGCAGTCAACCGTGTTTTGCTGATTTGGATGTTGCTGTAACAATATTTGATTCTTCGCTATTGTCATCACATTTTTATGCTTAGGCTTCTGTTTGCTTTGTACTATCTTTTATTTCATTCTGTCTTGGATTAACAATGCTAGGCCTGTTTGTTCCTTTCTCATGTTGCATTCTTTTATAGGAATATCCTTCTTATGCCATTTTACTGCCTCAATAAGCAGAAAACCTATTTTCTTATAATTTTGAAAATCTGACCAAACTATTTAAGTAAAATTTGAGTAATGGTAATTTTTCTTTCATGATTGATGTACATAAATTGTATTGCTATTTCTCATCTGCTTACAATTTGAATTACCTCTAGATCTGTACTATCCCACTGGACACTGCAAAAGTGAGGCTTCAGCTTCAAAAGAAAGCGCTCTCTGGCGATTCAGTGGCTCTACCCAAATATAAGGGAATGTTAGGGACGGTTGCTACAATTGCCAGGGAAGAAGGCCTAGCATCACTCTGGAAGGGTATTGTTCCTGGCCTTCATCGTCAATGCCTTTTTGGAGGGCTCAGGATTGGCTTATATGAGCCGGTAATTTTGAAATCTTTACAAGAGTAGACCTCATGCTAAAATTGTTACCTGATTGTATTTTCTTACCTCTTGGCAGGTCAAGAACTTATATGTTGGTGAAAACTATGTTGGAGACATTCCTCTTTCTAAGAAAATTCTTGCTGGTCTTACAACGGGTTGGTATTTCCAAGGATAAGAAAAAAGAAATTGGACACTTACTCTTACGAGAGAACTAGAAATATCTTGTTGTTGATGAACTCTAATGCATACTAATAATTCTACTTTTGCTGGTATCAACTAAGGCTTCGTTTGGGACGGCTTTCTTACTGCATCTTAAAGCGGATTTTTAGTTCAAAAATTAAAAATTTTGAACTAGAAAGCCGCATTAAGAAACAGTAAGAAAGCCGTCCCAAACGAAGCCTAAGTTCTGTATCCTGTTCATTCTTAAAATGCAGTTTGAATTTTCTGTGATGAAATCAGGTGCTTTGGCGATTTCAATAGCAAATCCAACTGACCTGGTCAAAGTAAGACTTCAAGCTGAAGGGAAACTTCCACCTGGTGTGCCAAGACGTTATTCAGGAGCACTTAATGCTTATTCTACTATAGTAAAACAGGTGATAATTTTAAACTCTGCAGTTTTGCATTTCTCCAATACTTGTATTAATAAAATTGTATAAAATCCAATACTAGGAAGGACTAGCAGCTCTATGGACTGGTATTGGTCCAAATATTGCCCGAAATGCTATCATAAATGCTGCAGAGTTGGCAAGTTATGATCAAGTGAAACAGGTAACTCCGTAACTTATTGTCATTAAATCATATAATGGGTTTGTACTGTGACCGACTTTTTTTTCTTTTAACTTGTTTTTCTTCTTCAGACGATTCTGAAAATCCCAGGATTTACCGATAATGTTGTTACCCATCTCTTATCTGGATTGGGAGCTGGCTTCTTTGCAGTCTGCATTGGCTCCCCTGTTGATGTGGTATGCTATTTCGTACAGTCCGCGGCTTCCTCATCTTTCTAGAATCTGGATGCAATAGCAAACTAACTTTGGTCATGTTAAATGAAATTCAGTTTTATCAAAGTAGCTCCTTCAATAAATTAAATGTATTGTTGCATAGATAGAATTTAATGCCTGTGTTCTCTTAGTGGACTAAATGGAGATTGACTTCCACAGGTAAAATCCAGAATGATGGGAGATTCAAGCTACAAAAGCACAATTGATTGTTTCGTAAAGACATTGAAAAATGATGTGAGTTGGGATATCTATTTTTTTAGAGTTAAATCTACTTTTTGTAGTGGAAAACTTATAGATATGCTTGACTTCTTGTGTCAATTTCATTCTCCTCATTATTATGAATATTGAGATTAACTTCAGCACGAAAAATAGTACCACATTGAAAGTGAAAACAAGGGTTGATTTCCTAATATGTTAGTAGTTACTTTTATCTATTAGCTTAAGTTTTGGATTGTGATGTGTGTCCATGAACTAGTATATTAGGCTCATCATGGGCCATTATTGACCTCCTCTTTTGACAAGTGGTATTAAAGATGATGGTTTTATTAGGATCATGTGTTAGCTCCTATTAATTTTAGCAATTTCCATTTTGGAGGACACAATGGAGAAAAAAGATTCATGTAGCCGACCCCATGTAGTGGGACAAAGGCTTGATGTTTTTGTTGTTGTTTTTGTTGTATTTTGGAGGAAAAAGTGTTCCACCCTCCTAACAATTAATCATATCACTGGTTACCTTTATGAATATTTTTTTCTCCATTATCAAAACAATTACATTACAAGTTACTGGATATCATTAATATTTTCTTTTATTGATGTTGACTTGTTGGTTTTTGTTTAGAATTATTTTGTTACTATATTATATTATTATATATTCTTAATATTAATTATTTATTTGTATAATTAATTATTGTATATCTTTATTATGGAGGATATTCTCTTTTATTATCCTTTTCTCGTTATTTTATTTTCTTCTCTTTATATAAGTAATTTTTTAGTAGCATTGGGATTCAAATAAAGATGTAAATTTTTATATTGTCCCTCCCCTACACAAAGCCCCCTCCCCCTTTCTCATTTTTTCCCATAAAATTTGACTTTTAAGACATCAGTTGGCCAAAAAAACTACTTTTGATTTTCTTTGATGTCTTTGAGACAATTTTGAATTGTCAGTTGCTTTTTTTGAATCCCTGATCTTCGGTCATGGTTGAACTAAGCATGTTTATGGCAGTAAGAGTTTAAGGGAAATAAGTTCCTTTCGGCAAAAAAAAAACATGTTTATGGCAGTAAAAGGTTAGTTAGATTGCTTTAGCGCAGTCTTGTTTTCTACTTTTCCTGGCATGATCTATCTCATGATTTTATCATCATTCAAAATCATAAACAATCTACTTAGTTTGGTTCATCAATGAATAATTCAATGAAGGATCCATTTTCTTCTACCTTTGTGCCCTGAGACTCTAATATGTGTATAGTGTAGAGAAACATTGCAAAAACTTCTTAGAATCCTTCTCCAAATCTTCAATTTTGTCTCTTGCATCTTCATAGATAGTCATGGTTGAACTAAGCATGTTTATGGCAGTAAAAGGTTAGTTAGATTGCTTTAGCGCAGTCTTGTTTTCTACTTTTCCTGGCATGTTCTATCTCATGATTTTATCATCATTCAAAATCATAAACAATCTACTTAGTTTGGTTCATCAATGAATAATTCAATGAAGGATCCATTTTCTTCTACCTTTGTGCCCTGAGACTCTAATATGTGTATAGTGTAGAGAAACATTGCAAAAACTTCTTAGAATCCTTCTCCAAATCTTCAATTTTGTCTCTTGCATCTTCATAGATAAAATTAAGATTATTTCTATTTGCAGGGACCACTTGCATTCTACAAAGGCTTCATTCCGAATTTCGGCCGGCTGGGGTCATGGAATGTTATCATGTTTTTGACTTTGGAGCAGGTAACTTGATTGTATTCTACCTTACCATGAGCACTACAGTTGTCTATTACTTGCTTTAATCACTTACAATTGCATAATTTGATCTTATAGATATTAAAAATACAATGAAAACTTGCATTGAAGATTGAAAAGTTTTATACAAAAATATATGCATGTGTGAACAAGAAATCATAAGCTGTTGATAGCTGTTTTCACCGATTATTTTATGATTTTTGGTTTACAGGTAAAAAAACTGTTCACCAAAGAGGTACCAGCTTGAAGAATTGTCTTGTTTCCATGAATTTCAGGCCAGTTGAATAAGATTATTTTCTACCTAACTTCAATAATGAAATCTGGGTGACCCAACACCATGGATGCTCTTTTCTTCTTTACAGGATATAGAGTTCTTATGCTGTAATGAAAAGGAAAAAAATTGCTTGTTGATTATGTATGACTTGATTTAGCTAGTTTCATAGATCTTCAATAAAGCTGTTTTCATCTATTGCATGGCTGTAAAGAGTGGGACATTAATGAGAAGATTTGAAGAATATCTTCAACTATATGTTAACGATGTAATCAAATTATCTTATCCTCATTTTATGATGAAATTGCAATATATAAATGAACAGGTCACATATTAGAATATAGTACAGTGACGTTTATGATCATTGTGTATGATTAACTATAATATTAGTTTTAATTTATTTTAACATATTCATATGCAACTAGACATTTGTAAGAGTGTACCTTGGTGCATGCTTTTTGATGGTGATATTCTTCTTGTTGATTAGACTAGACAGGGAGTGGAAGAAAAGTTTGACTTATGGAGGTTAACTTTAGAGTCTAAAGGTTTCAATTTGAGTAGAGCTAGAACCGAATATATAGTGTAATTTTAATAGTAATAGGTCTAGAAGTATTAGAGCAGTTAATTCAATATTCCATTCGCTAATCAATGTAATTATTTAGCTGATTAAGTCTAGTCCATTTAGGATAGGACACGTGTACCTAGTTACTTACTCTATGTATCTATATATTCATACCTGCTGTACCTATGATTGGATAAGAATAATAATTCATTTTCTTCCTTTCACTGTTCATCTTCCTTCTCTCCGATGAAGCCCACGGTGAGAAATCTTGATTCTTAGTTTCTACATGGTATCAGGCCTTTCTTTCCTTCTTCTTCGATCTCAATATGCCGACGTCCATCTCCGCTTCTCCTTCGGTCGCCGAGCAACTCTCTAGTACCTCAACGGAAATCTCACCGATCTCACCGTTGCTCAAGTTTGTCGTTTCCAATCTCAAGACTCTCGTTCCCAACCAGTTATCGTCGGATAACTATCCGATCTGGCGTCATCAGATAATCAAGCTTCTTCATGCTAATGATTTCGATAATTTTCTTGCTCCTCCGGATCCCCCTTTCGATCCGTTCGATCCTTCCGCCGCCGCGACACTCAAAAATTGGCGTATCATCGATCAGAACCTACAAGCTGCACTATGTTCGACGATATCGCCACCGGTTCTTCCCTACATTCTTCATTTGGATACTACTCACGAAATCTGGAAGTTTCTTGGAAATCAATTTCAGGCCACCAGCCAGTCCAAGGTCATACAGCTCAAAAATGAGCTCCATCATATCTCCATGAAGAATCTTTCCATGGTTCAGTACTTGACCGAGATCAAGAAGCTGGTTGATCAGATCGCGTCGGCCGGCTCAACCATTGACTCGGAAGATATAATTCTGTACATCTTGAATGGATTGCCACCGGCATATCAATCCTTCAAAACTTATATCCGTAATTCTCCCACCCAAATACGCCTGGACAATCTTTATGCAATGCTGATCAGTGAAGAAATTCATATCACTGCTGATGCTGCTCGGAGCTCTGCGGACGTTGTACAGCAAGCGGCTCTCTATGCGAATCGCGGATGCGGTCGTCGCAACAGGGGACGACCTCCTCCGTATCAGTCTTCCAACGGTCGAACCGCGCCTCAACAGCAGTCAGCTCACATTTGCCAAATCTGTGCCAAGAAAGGGCACACAGCAGATGTATGTTGGCATCGCATGAATGCCAATTATACTCCTCAACCTTCAACTACCAAGCAAAATAGCGCTCTAGTGGCCAATTCCGATACACCGTCCTACGACTGGTACCTTGACTCCGGCGCTTCCTCTCACATGACAAATGCCGCCGAGAATCTTGCTCAATCTACCACCTACTCCGGTTCTGATGGTGTCTTTATCGGGGATAGAAGGAATATCCCTATTGCTCACTCGGGCACGGGCATTCTTCCCACCCCGACCCGTAAGCTTTTTCTATCCAATTTACTTCATGTTCCCAATATTTCTCATAACCTTATCTCTATTTCAAACCTTGTTCAAGATAATAACATTTCCGTTACATTTGACCCCATGGGTTTCGTTTTTAAGGATCTGACGACAAATCAACCAATTCTACGCGGTCCATGTAGCTCCGGACTCTACCGTCTCGTGCCACCGTCGACAACAACCTCATCTCCATCAGCATTTCAGGCTTCCAATAACAGTCGATCCCACTGGCACGATCGCTTTGGCCACCCCAATTCAAGGACGCTACATCAAATAGCTCACAACAATCCTACTCTTCGCATTTTATTTCCTGCTAAATCATGTACTACATGTATACAATGCAAATGTCATAAACTACCATTTGAATTGTCTAGATCTCGAATGAAATTCCCGTTAGCTCTCTTGCACGCTGATGTCTGGGGTCCGGCTCCGGTTCCCTCGCCTCAAGGCATTCGTTACTTTCTAATTCTTGTAGACGACTATTCTCGCTATACATGGCTCTTTAAACTATCACAAAAATCTTCTGTTTATACTGTGTTTAAACATTTTATTACTTTTATTGAAAATCAAACCAATAGCAGGATCAAAGCTCTTCGAACAGATAACGGCACCGAATTCGTTAATCACCAGATGAACGAACTCCTTCGGTCTAAAGGAATAAGGCACCAGCTCTCCTGTCCTTACACACCCGAACAGAACGGTGTCGCCGAACGAAAGAATCGACATATTCTCGAAACAACTCGATCTCTCCTCCATCGTGCGCATCTCCCTCATTACTTCTGGCCGGAAGCTAGCTCCACCGCAGTATATTTGATAAATCGGATGCCTTCTCCGAACACCCAGAACAAATCACCTCTGCAGTTAATGTTCAACATCGCTCCCGAATTCAAACACCTGCGAACGTTCGGCTGTGAATGCTTTCCCCTGCTTCCTCGGCACGAACGCAACAAACTACAACCAAAATCTCATCCGTTTATCTTCATGGGATACTCAGATATCCACAAAGGCTATAAATGCCTTAACCAGGATTCCAACTCTATAATCATTTCTCGCCACGTTGCATTTCTTGAAGATTCATTTCCATTTCAAACTAACACCTCTTCTTCACAGCAGAAGACCGACGAACCTCCCTTTAGCATGATGCTTCCTACATCTAAAGCCTCGGAAGTTAGTCCACCGCCTATTGCACCCCCTCCTCAATCCTCGGTTCAGCTCAGATCTTTATCTCCGCCACCTCTGATCCAGCTCCCTACGGCTGTAATGGATCAGTCACTCAATCATCAACAATGTATACCTGCTCCACCACCTCCCAAGCACCCGATGGTTACGAGAACGCAAACAGGCTCCATCAAACCTCCTCGTCGGCTCAATTTGCTCACTATTTGCTCGTCTTCACCCGAACCTGATCCGACCAGCTTTAAGGACGCCTCCAAGCATCCGGAATGGCGTCAAGCCATGGCAGAGGAATTCACCGCACTACAACAACAGGGTACATGGCAACTCGTCCCACCTCCTATCAAAGCTCCTATACTGGGATGTAAATGGACCTTCCGGAAGAAGTTTAACTCGGATGGATCCATTGCTCGGTTCAAAGCACGCCTCGTCGCTCAGGGAAATCAACAAGAACAAGGCATTGATTTCGGTGAGACATTCAGTCCGGTAGCTAAACTACCGACCATTCGCGTGCTCTTCACCATAGCTCTCTCTCACGGATGGCCCGTCCAGCAGCTGGATGTCTCGAACGCGTTTCTTCACGGCATCCTTACCGACACAGTCTATATGTCTCAGCCAAGAGGCTTTGTCGATCATAACTATCCCAACTATGTATGCCGTCTCCAAAAAGCCATCTATGGTCTCCGTCAGGCACCACGTCAGTGGTATACAACTTTCACTCAGTTTCTACTCACCATCGGCTTCAAATACAGTCAAGCCGATCCGTCTCTGCTCACTTTCAACCAGAATCAAACAAGAATTTTTCTCCTGGTCTATGTGGACGACATTCTCGTCACAGGAAATAACAACGCAGCAATCTCCACCGTGTTAACCAAACTTCAATCTCAATTCAACATGAAGAACCTCGGACCAGCTCACCACTTCCTCGGTATTAAAATTCAATCTCTCAAAGATAAGTATTTCTTATCCCAATCTTCTTATGCTCTGACTATTCTTAACAGCGTTAATTTAGCCGAATGCAATCCGCTTTCTAACCCATCGTGCACTAAACTACCCGATCAGGTACCCGAAGATGCCACACTCTCTGATCCAAGCACCTACAGACGAATTACATGATCATTACAGTACCTGACTCTCACTCGTCCCGACATTGCCTACGCCGTCAATGTACTCTCTCAACATATGCACGACCCCTCCTCCCAACACGTTTATCTCCTCAAACGCCTGCTTCGATACGTCAAAGGAACACTCACATTCGGCCTACCGATCCACAAAGCTCCGCTTACACTGACTACATACTCCGACGCCGACTGGGCTAGTGATCCTACAACGAGAAAATCAACAACCGGTCACTGTACTTTCCTTGGGGAAACACTCATTTCATGGGTGGTCAAGAAACAAACCACCGTTGCCAGATCCTCAACGGAATCCGAGTATCGTGCGCTCGCAGCGGCCACGGCGGACATCATTTGGCTGTAACGCCTGCTAAACGACTTCTCCATTCCTCATTCTCAGCCCGTTGATCTGTTTTGCGACAACATGTCTGCCATTGCTCTTGCTCACAATCCAGTGTTCCACGCACGGACGAAGCATCGAGATCGATCACCGCTTCCTTCACGATCACATTCAGAATCAGGCACTTCGTCTTCTTCCCATCAGTACGACGTATCAGCTCGCAGATCTCTTAACCAAGCCTCTCTCCACTCCCCGATTCAAGGAACTTCGATCCAAACTGACTGTTCAAGACGAACAATCCGTTTGACAGGGGATATTAGAGCAGTTAATTCAATATTACATTCGCTAATCAATGTAATTATTTAGCTGATTAAGTCTAGTCCATTTAGGATAGGACACGTGTACCTAGTTACTTACTCTATGTATCTATATATTCATACCTGCTGTACCTATGATTGGATAAGAATAATAATTCATTTTCTGCCTTTCACTGTTCATCTTCCTTCTCTCCGATGAAGCCCACGGTGAGAAATCTTGATTCTTAGTTTCTACAAGAAGTGGCATGTGACATATTTGAATACACAGTTAATATTGCTTTCATGTATAGGTCAACAATCAAGTGAGCTCTAATCGAGCTTCTTAGCGAGCTTGTTCAAGAGCTTTTAAGCGAGACTGTTTGTGACCATAAATGAACCGAGCAACGTGCTGTTCAAAGTTCATTTAGCTATCGAGTATTTATCAAGTATGTTCAAACTCGTTTGTTTACCTTATGCAACGAACATGAGCGATCCCTTATCGAGCTGAGACAGAAGAAGCTCGTCGAACACTCGGTTCATTTACAAGCCTAGTTTACAAGCTTCTAAATATGACATTGCACACTTTCAAATGAAAGTTGCCCGCGTAATTGATTAGTGACAAATATTTTAAAATGCCCTCGTACATGCATTACAACAGACATAATAATTCATGCAAAACATCCTCCACTCATGCATAGAAATATTCGTTGATGCGTATTTCATGCTATGCATGCATTGATAATATGCAAAGGGTTTTATTCTAGCATGTCAGTTGACGTTGCAACCACAATTTAAAATGACATGCATGCATTTGCAGGATGCAGGTGGTTTCGTTCAAGCATGTCAGTTGATATTACAATTATAATTTAAAATGACCTATTGCATGCATTGGTAGGATGCAGTGGGTTTCATTCAAAAATGTCATTTGACATTGTAATCACATTCAAAAATATCCCCCACATTCATTTATAATAAGCAGAGGATTTCACTCAAGTATATATTTCAATATTGTACTTACATACAAAAATATGGAGTGTACAAGCATTATAATATATAGAACACTTTACACGAACATGCAAGTATTCATGTCGATGTATATGTACACATGCATATACATCATGCACATCCAATGCATACATATAATTACCATATAAATATGTCCAACAAGATACGTGCAAAAGCATACATTCGCATGGGCTCCAGCGAGCGTGTTGTAGGTATACACGTGGCGTCTGAGGATGCTATGCGGGTTAATAGATGAATTTAGATTTGAACCCGATCCTCTGACTATAGGCTGACAGAGTCGACAATGTTCAACCAACAAAATAAAATTGCCCGTGAAAACTCCAATGATGATCGCATTAACAAAAAATCTCAACAACAAACATTTAAAATACTTTTAAAATGTCAATCAAACCCTAATGATGATCATGTTGACAGAAAATCTCAACCAAAGGGGACCACAAACATTCAAAATATCTTCTAAGTGCCTATGAAAATTCTGATGATAACCATGTTGACAGAAATTCTCAACCGAAGGGGACCTAAAAAATTTAAAAATGCCTCCTAATTGCTCTTAAAAAGTCAAAATTCTTAAAATATTAGAACTAATATATTTAAAATTAAAATAAATCATCAAACACTTAGAACATAATTCATCTACCTTCCACAGCAGTTTATTGAAGTGATTAAATTAAAAATCAATTCAGCTCACAAAGAGCTAATGTCTGGTCGAGAATATCACTATGATTCATTCGCAAATCATCTCCTACCAATAAAGACGTGGTACGTGTCCTCTAATTGATGGTTTCACCGTCAAATGGCACCACATGGTGGATTTTGCCGCCAAATTGCATCGCAGGTAAACAGTTATAACCAGGACCCTATGTTAGCTAAGGTGGATTCAAATTTGTCCTCTTAGACAAATATCCATCCCAGATCTACAAGGTAACCATAGACGAAGCAACCCATGGTTGGTGACAAAGATCCTCCTATCTGATTGGGTCGACTACCTCCTTTAATTAAATAGACCAACGAGTCAACGACCATGATGGCTTAGGACAACGGAAGCATTGTATCTTGATCGGGCTCATCATCATTCCCCTCATAATCTGCTTTAAGTGAAAGATGATGAAATTTTCATTCTTAAATATTAAATTCTTAAACACCAAAATCAATGTTGCTACTATATGCCATATACCCTATATATGCTTGACTATTAGCCTTAATCGAAAGTTCTCTCTCGTTATCGGGAGGGGTAATTAATTATAGTGGCTTGCGCCTATAGGAAACTAGAAATTAGATCATAAATTCTTTGAAAAAATTAGGGCGGAATCCTTGGGCAATAACTTATCTACAAACCCAATCTGCCTTCTGAAATTTTGCCTCGAAACTTAAGCGTTAAAACTCTCATCGACGACCTGAAAAAAGAAAATGAAGAAAAAGGGTGTCCATGGAGTGGCCAGGGCCCAAAATTTCGGAGCCCACAATGATATAATCACCTTATATCTAAGTAGTCACAACAAGTGAATAATTACCTTGAAGGTCCTATACAACGAATCTAAATTAATAAAATATTTATAATATACCTTAAAATGCAAGATAATACAAGATTTAATCTAACATAACATTAATTACATAAATTCTTAAATAAATGCATTTAAAATTAAGTTTTAATATTTAAAATATTGGTTTTCCCATGAACTATGATTTTGTTTACTAAAAAAATATTTTAAGAAGCAGCAAAAAAGTCGTCAATTTTTCACCATTTGATTCCCAATACACAACTAATAATATTAAAATATTAAACTAAAACCTAAACTAATTTAATCCTTTCTCAACAATAGAAGATATGAAATTATTTATTCGTATTCGTAGATTAGATGAATTACATGTATACTTTTGTGCCTGGAAAGAGAAAGAGAAATATAAGGGAATAAGAGAATGAGAAGAGGAAAAAGAAAATAATGAAAGATAGGGAAGAAGATAGAAGATTATGATTTTTGTTTGCTTGATCGAGGGACAAGAAGGTGTCGAAGAAGGAGCTTCTTTGTTTTTCGGCTTTTGGTCGAGCAAAGGAGGAGCAAATATTGCGAGGGTTTATACGGAGGGGATGACCGTATGATTTACATAATCGGAAGGTAGGTCGAGATCATATTTAAGGGATTTTTGTTCATCGGTTCGGCTCACAAGGAAAGTATGATTCAAATCATAACATTAAGTATGAGTTATTGACAATATCTTATACATACTGAGTATTTCTGATTGATAAATGCAAGAATAAAATCAAAATTTTTGGAGGGATGTTCGATCATTCTAATTTTCATACATGCTTCATGAATGGCTAAGTTAATAGAAAAGTAATGCAACTTGTTCCGCAATCAATTTGTGTACTTAGTTAGAGGAGGTAGTTGTGGAATTTTTATTAGGTTTGGTGTCCTGACGTAGTTCTACGTTCGGACGCTAGTAAAATGGTGCAACGTGCTCTTACTCTTTACCGTGCGGCCCGACGACCGGACCCGGACCGGACCTGAGATTGTTATGTATTGGCTGATTTGTGCAGACTGGGGTATTGCTAGGTATTGCTCGATATTGCTCGGCAATAACGAGAAATACCATTTTGCAAGACCAATATCTAGCAATACCGAGCAATACCCCAGTTTTGCTAGGTATTGGTCTTGACAGAGCGGTATTTCTCGTTATTGTCAAGCAATACCTAGCAATACCCGAACATAGCAATATCGGGTTCCGGTCCGGGTCGGATCGTTGGGCCGCGCGGTAAAGAGTAAGAGCACATGGTGACATGCTATTGGCCTCCGGATGTAGAGCTACGTCCGGTGTCCAGACCTAATAATTGTTTGCAGTTGTGGGTGCACTAGTGAAATAAATAAATAAATAAAATTATATGATTTTTAACAGCAGAAATTTACCGTAATTCGTGCGCTACTGGCATTTAAAAATCTCTTATTTAATGATTAGCCTTATTCTATAGAATTCTTACCTGTGTGAAGCAATGCCCTTACAACTGCATTAATTTATATCCAAATATTACGTGGGATTTAAATTGTGTGAATTAGATGCTTTCACATGAGACTAGAAATTTTTAGGGAATCAATCAATAAATTTAAGTTTATAAAGAAAAAAAAAATCAACGATTTTACTCATAAAGTTAAACATTAAAGCTTATTATTTGGAATGGCTGTTTAATTTTATACTAAAAAATATATTTTAAAAAACAGTAAAAAATCATTCCAAATAAAACCTAAATTATTATCTAATTTTGTATATCAATCAATAAATTTATGTTCCCTTCGTCATTGCCATATAATTCTAATTTATTCCTATCACATTATCGCTCAAATTTATTGACAAATTGAGACATTGCACTCCATGTTCTGTTAATAGTTCTTCTGACATTTGTATTTGATGAAAACAAATAAAAAAATTGTCCAAATCAAAATATTCTATACAAAACATAAAGTTTTTTTAACATTACTAAGCAAATCATTTCTCCTAATGCTACCATGTTCATCTTAATCTAAAAGCACACAACTGAACAAAGAAACTGAGCATCCATTTATCCACATAGAAGTTAAAGCTCCCACAAGGCGCCTGACCGACAAACACCGAGTATCCATTTATCCATATGGAAGTTCAAGTTTCAAAGTTCAAACTATAAAGAAATGAAAACTAAAGGCCTATAAATTTTCTCTTTAGATGTGCAGTGAGAAACCATTTTGAAGAGCATAAGCATGGTCCGTCTGCAACTCATTGATTGTCATCATCTTTACCATGTGAAAAAGAACTCGACAATTTGGTGTCTTTGAACTCAACCTCATTAGCACCTGCATCAGGATGAACTACGTCATCATCTTCAGCCAGAACAGAAGCTGAGCTCGAGCTCGCCATGGCGGTCGCTAAAGGCATGGAGCTGCTTATATCGTCTTTGCCGCTATTTCTGGCACGGAAATCAGAGAAATCCATAAGGCTGGCAGCGATTGCAGCTCTAAGATCTTGTTCTTCCTGCTGTGCAATTGAATCAGGTTCTTCAGGTGATTGATTAGTAGGTGGAGTTGAAGGATCTCTTGGTGTAGGACCTTGGACCTGATTGCAAGACATTGTTATCCTCTTTGCATCATCTGGTGTCAGCCATTGGCCAAAACCATTTGCAGAATCAGATGCTGAGATAGGGCATTCCTTAGGAAATATTCCCCTAACTAAGAAAATGCTCCAGCCGGAACCCTTGAGAGAATCCAAGTAAGCAGATAGATAAAACTTAGAGAGATGTTCGGGAGCAGGATAGAGACTGTTGAAATTATACCATTCTCCATTTACTATGCGGATGCAGAACCAGTGGTCCTGGAGATGACAAATGAAGGCATTCTCCAGCTCAGGGTCATATTTAGATGCTTCGGCAATAGGGGAGTCGAGGGGGATAACTTGAAGATCCCATACTTCAAGAGCCTTCTGCAAAACCTGGTATAAAATAGAAGACTTAAGGGAAGATGAAGAATCAAAATATTAATCATCTTAATTGTGTGATGTATTCTTGTGCTGAAAGGGAAGAGAATTATGAATAGAAATCAGAGACAAAATTAGCCATTTTAAAACAGTAGAATAATAAAAGAGGAAATGAAATATGTAAGGATGTTTGTAGTCAAGAACTGATAAAATCACAAGTATGCCTGCACTCTTTGAAGGAAATTCAAGGGGCCTCCGCCTGCATGATGGCGCGGTAGCCGGATATAAAGCAGGATTAGAATTCGTCCTTCCGCTCCCTCCATACCTCATATACAGCAAGATTAGAATCCCACGCTGCTTCTCTCTCTCTCTCTCTCTCTCTCTTTCTCTCACACATAAACAGTAAACAGAATTTGCCCTCACTGCCTCCCTACCTACCATACAAAAGAAAGAAATTAAATCCAGATTGTAACACATTTCCTGCACTATATCTTTTGAACGAAATTTAATCTCTCCCTTCATCATACGCCACATCCTTCCGCATGTACACCCTTTGAGGGAAATTCTCTCTCCCTCACACACACGCACTATCTCTTTCTCTCTCTCTCAACTATTATATAAAGCAATAAATTTAGTTAAGAATATAGCAAATACTTTTGCAGCAACAACCTTTGAAGGAAATTCTATCTTCCCCTCCCTGCCAATTATTAAAAAAAACAGAAAATTAATTTAAATTGGCTGTTTCTCTCTCCCTTTGCTCTCATCATATAACTATTATAAAGCAGTAAAATCCATCTGTGTCTAAACCTTGAGGAACTTCAACCATCTCCAACCCATGCGCAAAAAAACACAACCACTTGTCTCCCCTAATATATTTTATCTGAAACAATGATGGTTCCAATTGTAAATCTTTATTATTTTCTTTAATGAATAAAGCCAATCCACTTCCTGAATCACTTAATTGATAGCCTCCCTCTGTCAAGCCAAACTCCCACCCCGCAAAACTTTTTTTTTTTCCCACCCCGCAAAACTAAATAGTCCGTTACTTTCTCTTAAAGACATACATTATTTTAAGCGCTTTATCAACTGATTTCCTGGTAAGATCTTAATTTTCATTGAAAATATCAAGATGAACATTCCAAGATTTTCTCTTTGAAAAAAAAAAAAAAGAGAGCAAGTGCCTCACTTGAGTTCTTATCAAATTGCACGAGTGAGAGTACCTTCTGGCAATGCAACATATGCAATTTTCATTCTCAATGCCCGTAACGTCTATCCCAAAATTAATGACCATGGTCGCTTCACTAATTGTCTAGTACTTTCCACTAGCAAAATATTGCAACAATGGTTCTCACCTAACAAAAACACTATTACTATCTAGTGATGCAGGCATCATTGAGGGAAGCAACATTCAAGTGACAAACGACACCTCCAATTAAGGTTGGTAATTAAGCTAATTTATAGTAATGATTTTCATTACTCTAAATTTAATGCATTAATTATTATGACCCTTATATGCATTGAGAAATGTTATTTTTAAAATCAATTTTCTATTGCAAACTTGTAAAGTGATTTTCTCTTTCTTATTCATGAAATCCTTATATTAATATGAATGTCATCCAACACTTTTCATGTTTAAATCTCAAATAAATATTTTATAATATAATAAGAAAAACTTATTATTCAAAATAAATGTATGATGAGACAAGTGCAAAGAATATATTATGTAGAGATGAATGCATGTACCATGTTGATTGATAGTGTTCACCCTCTAATGATATTGACTAACGACACAATATATCTACGTGTAAAGAAAAAGAAAAAAAAAATGCTCCTAGGGATTAGATTTAGAAAGGATTATCGAGATGAATGTGCCTCTAATGATATGATTTAGATGGTACTCCTGTGAAAACTGTATTATAAAATGAGATAAATTAAACTATTAAAATAATAAAGAAAGCTAATAATTTCATTTTTCTATCATTGTGAAAGTTACAAGATAAAGAAATGTTTAGTGAGTAACGTATGAAGACATGCATGCATATTGTTTTCTAACTTTTGAACTACTATGATTTAGAAATATAATTAGCTAAAAATCACAAACACGAACACGGAAATGCAATGATGGAACAACATGGACATGAAGACATGATATAATTGCAAAAATATGGCACGATGTGTTGTGGACACATTATATTTTATAAATTATTATATAAAACTATAATTTATACTATTCTCTATTAAAGACATCACAAAATGAAGTATAATCAATTTCTTTCAACTGTCCCATATACTTCATAAAAGAAACTTCATAATGATATAAGGATAACAAACATTATAAATAATAAAAGAAATGCTTTATCTAATGAGCATTCATTAGTCACTTTTAATTGTCACATATTTTTCTTTCAAAATGTCAAAAAACCTCCAAAAAACTAAATATTAATGCCCTCTTCAAATTAATTAGAGTTAACACAGTTCACAGTATGTCATTACTCACACTAGCAATTACGTCCTCTTCAATGACATATTTACCTTCATCCAGAAAAAATAAATTCATGTATTCTAATGCCATCCATTGCAGTTAATGTATCTGTACTAATGTCCCACAACTTAATCTCTCCTTGAGTATATTATGGGTTCCTCCTAGATAAAAGTTGAAGATTTGCATGTACAAACATTAAATCTTCACCTTGTTTAGGAGTGGGCTTGATCCTCTTAAATGAATTAATAAAGGAGCAAGTACACCAATTTTTTTAGCAACATGAAGAGGAATAAGGTTGAGGGATATTAGTACCACGTAGTGGGATAAAGGCTTGATGTTGTTGTATGAAGAGGAATAAGGTTGAGCTAACAATTTAAAAGCTAAACTTTACCATCATGGGGAACTAGCACCATATATCATCCACTAAGCCTTTCCATCAATATTGCCTCTAGTAGCTATAGAGTCATGATCTGCAAAAGCGCCACTAAACCGAATGAAGTTGGAAAATCCAAATTAACCATTGTTCTCTCTTCAATATTTGAAAAAAATGATCTTTAAGCATTTATTTCTCTCATCTGATATTTGAAAAAAATGATCTTTAAGGCAATCTGAGTTGGGGCTTTCACTTAGCCAAGTGTGGCTGTAATAACTAATAAAAAAATTATCTAATAAATAAGATTCATAATGAAATTGGGCGGGCTAAGAAGAATGAAAATATAGAAAGTTGTCTTGGGTTGGGAGACGAGTTAAACAAAGGAGAGTGTCACTTTTTATCCATAATTATACATGAATATCATACACCACCTTATAAAAGGCTGAGTCCTCATCATCTTTCCTTTCTTTATGTCAATATATGATATATTTCACCTTTTCAATTACAAAATCATGCATGCCAGACACAAGTAGAAGAGAAGGCCTGTTAATATCAACCACTTTTAATGTCATATACTATCTCGATAAAAGTAATAATATAGTCTATTATATCCCACCACAAATTATCCAATATTTTCTCGTTCATAATTGGCTTCTCTGCAATCCTTGTTTAACAATTTTGAATTGTCTAAACATAACAGTTGTTGAAGCAAAATGAGTCTGCTACAGCCAACATTATCACTCACAAATTAATTAAAATTTGATAATCTCATTAGTGATTCATGATGATTGTATTTATGAAGCTCGCATCGTTGACTATGTCTGTGATCCAATTGCAATCTATATAAGTGATCTCATTACCTTGTACATTCTTTGGAGTACGTATATCAATCAGTGTAAGATTCAAAGTATGAATAATACAATGAGCCTAGGAAAATATGAAGGCATTAAGTTTCAATCAAAACACCTACAGATTTACAAACTGGTGCGTTATCAGTGATAAGTTGAACCTCTTTCTTTGGAACCAGATTTAATTTGCAATGTAGAACTTATCTTTAAACAATCCTTTATAGTTATGTCCATCGTGCACATAGGACCAGATTCTGTAACAACCATGAAATTAATCAGATAAATTTTTTGAGCATTTCTCCAACCATCACAAACAATAATAACTCTCTTTTCATTCCAAGTCTCTTTCATGGGCTCAAGCATTTGTTACGACTGGACCGGTCCCCACTGGACCGGTTCGATACTATGCCAGGCGGAAAAACAGCAAAGGGGCGGAACTCCCCTGTGGACCCCACGTTGGCTCAAATTGAATTTGGGAGGGAGATTTTTGAATGAGGGGCTGTTTTAGGAAGTCAATTATTGTCCTTTATGAGGAATTTGTATAACTAGGAGATTTGGGGGGGAATTAGGGGATCTGGAATTTGAGTTTTCTCTTTGAGATTTAGGGTTTGCTTTGGGCTCTTGGCTTTGCCGGAGATCGTGGAGAGTTGTTCTTCCTCTCGGATTGAAGAACATATTGTATCTTTGCTGCTTTCTTTGATTTCTAGTGAAATACAAGTAATATCTTGTGTTTTTCTCCTGTTTTTCTCTATTTCCTGCTGTGTTTTCACCGATTTCCTGCTGTTTTGCTGCTGTGGACAGCAGTTGGCTGTTGTATATTTACTGGTTTGGGTTAGAAATACTTGAGAACTCAAGTATTTCCTAACAGCATTCTTTCAGCATTTGTTCTTTCTTTTTGAAGCAATATTATCCTCACAAGATTATAAATAGGAGAAATATATCCAATAAGTGAGGTGTTGGCTGCATGTAAGAAAGCACTAAAATAGTAGGGATTTCTTACTAAATGAAGGGGAAGTGCTCTAGAATTGAACGTGTGAGCAGTTTTCTTATGCAAATGATCTTTAGTTGGCAATTTAAAGGCTCTTTCAATAGCATTAAAACTCGGCACTTTCCTCTTTTTTTGGTCGTAGCCCTTGACCCCAAATAAAAGACTACTTTTTTGGGAGCTACAATATTGATAATAGCCACTTTACCCAGAAGAAGAAAGAGGAAGCTTCTTAAAGAAGACATTCTTCTTTTTCTACTTAGCTTCACCATCGAAGTCTCACACTTTCTAAATTTGTGTGGATGTTTTTAGGACATGATCGAATATATGCCTCACGGCCCTCACGTTGTCTGAGTAAGTGATCTCTCACCTTATAATATGTACACTTGAACTTTCCCTGACAAAAATGGCATTGAAACTCTATATTGCCGCCTGCTTCACCAACTTCCTCTAATTTGTTAACAAATGCCCCTAAAAGTTTGGATAATCTTCTATGGCATTTTTTCCAACCACATTAGTACCCAATCTCAAAAGTCATAATCCTATTTAACAAAAAAAAAAAGGTTCATAATTTGAATGCTTTAATCAATTGATTGAACTATATTCAATTCAATGAACAATTTTTGTTTTAAGATATCTAAATTTTTTTACTGTTATTTACAATAATGTCCATAACTGATGTACATGACGAAAATGACAATTTTGGAAGTTATCAATTTCTCTCACTCCTACCAAATCTACATATATGGAAGACTTACAAACTCAAAACTATTATGTATATAGCTTTTTGGCTTTTGGAACTATTTGGCTAGAAACAGGTTTTTCTAGGTTTGCTTAATAGATCATTTAGGTTTGTGTAAAATAGCCCATTTGGCTAGATGTACTATTCTTGATATGTCAGAAGCCTAGAATACCAAGGCGGAAATAGATGGTTAGATTGAAATTTCATAAACACTTTCACTTCATATACCTTACCTCATACAGTATTCCAATTCAAAAGAGCCAACTAAACTGCAAAATTTTATTTATAAAAATATCATAAAATTACACCAATCTCTTTCAGTTTTTCCTCAATAATACAAAATTTCACAAACATAAACTGATACATATGATTTTAATCATACCTAATTTTTGATGTTATCCTTCTGTTGTATACAAACTCTCTTTTTTCACCCTTTAAACTAAATAATATTTCCCTCAAAATAATTTTCAACTAATGAAAGCGAGTTAAACAACTCAATGGTTAATTATCTAGGAAGCACATTCAGAAATGCCTCCCATGTCTATGTCAAACACACAGAAACAATTCCAACATGCCTCGACATATGTCCGCCACTTTAAAAATCGTGTCATAGTTTTTAAGTTCTACTGTTTTCATTTGCATCTTTTCCACAACACAAACAAAGGACAAGCCTCTGTACCCATATTTTGCATCATTGATGACTAGCTCAAAGTATCCCTTCTATTGCTAATCACACAACATCTATCAAAGAAGTCACAGGATTGAAATTTGTAAGGCATTAACTCCACAGAGACTCAATCAGAACCTATCCAATGTGCTTTCATGAAGACTCAACAGTATTTGGTGGCTCAATGGTAGCTAAAAGGATATTGTATGGCGATTCAATGTCGTTGACAAAAATCAAAGTAATTGTCCAAAAATTAATTTCATAGTAAAATAAATATGCTAATGACTTATATAGGGCTTAAAATTGGCCAAGGTAGACACTTAAGCATTTTATTTTAAAAACCATCATAACTCAATACTATCTTTATCTTGAGACAAGTGCTAATATGAGGTTAGAACAATGCTAGCATGGGGTGATAAAAATAAAATCGTTACAGCTTTCCCCTTGTAATAACTGCTTAACCCACTTTATTTTCTGCATCTTGAGATTTTGAAAATTTTGAAAATTGTCTTTGCATTATCCATTCATCTCAAAGAAAAGCAATGCTTCACGTGCTCATAAGAGCATGATTACCAACCAGTCATGTCATGCATGGTGACACATTATTATTCTTTACTAGTCCAAGAAGGTCAGTTAGATAATACTTTCTATCAATACTCTTCATTGACTCTCTCTATTGTTACCTATATTAAGGATCATATCCTTTTCTTCCTTAGCATAGATTTCATTACTAATTATTGTGGCCGATTCAAACTACCCTCTCTTTAATGAATAGATCACGCTCATCTTGTACTTACTAGTTCTAAGCAACAAAAAATTGATTATTGCATCTCTGATTACTATTGCTTCCAAACTCAATTTGGCATCTTCTGTATCATCTTGAATTTATGGGGATGCGTTATCATATAAAAATGATCACATGTGCTAACTATAGATAACACAAATCTACGCTCTCAAATTATTGTATTTTCTAATCAATGAGAAAATTCTCCTATAATATATATTTTTTATTTTTCTCTTCACTTGCCTAAATATAAATAAATATATGCTTGTGCTAAGAAAATAATTCAATAAAGATCCAATCACACTTTCAATCATAGGAAAATGAAGAGGGAGAGATAAAAAATCCATTGTATGAAATAACTGATAAGTTTTAATGCAAATGAATATCCCTTTCTCTAATCATTGTGAATCTATTTGCAAATCACCCTAATCCAAATGATTTTTTCTTGTTGTAACAATTTGTGTGGCACAAGCAAAAGTTTACTCTTCTAAGCTAACCGCCTAAAAAAGGTACTAGCCATTTCAATAGGTGATTAATAGTATATGATGGTTTACGAATAAATAGTTTTCTTCAATTTACAAAGGAAGTAGATAGGTTGTCATCCTCATGTTTGAGCATATCTTTGTTGGTAAAAAAGCCAATTCATCACCCTCATCTGTATCAGCATTTGTGGTATCTTAACCATTTGCATTTGGAACCTAATCCCTCCCAGATTACTTACAATGAGGGTTCACTTTGCAAAGTTTAAAAAGGGCATAAAAATATTATGGAACTAAGGCAAACTTTGAAATTTTAAAGTTATTGTGACAATGGCAATACTTTCAGATTACATGTTAACAATAAACAAGAAAAAAGAAGAGGTAAGAGTGGGAGATATAGAGAGCCACTCTCAAGAATAATTTGAAGATTTGTTTCCCTGCAGTTTTTCGTCACAATTAAAAGCAGCTTTTGCTACCAGAAGTCCAGAATCAGTTAATAATAATCAGTTTAAAATGTAGGAGATAACGTTGATCAATTGCGTGGTAAAAAATAACCATCAGAATGTCATCACAAGGGATAACCCTAAATTAATATGCTACATAATCATAATTCTAGAGTCTAGACTAGCATCGATAAAAACTAATACATTAATTTCAAACAGTTCAGCAGAAAAACGTTTATCTAGTAAGCATTTTGCATTCAATTGACTGTACACTGTTTCTTTGACAACATAAAGCCATAGTGGTTGTAGGACTTATAAATGGAAATTCTGCTTCTTCGCTGTGCATTCGATCTACATAAAAGTTTATACTTTTCAGGAAGAGTTCAGCGAGTCCAGTTTGATAAGCCTCCGACAAGCAGAAAGGCCTCCACCTCAAATTTACCTTAACTCTATAATAGAATCGATGCCCTATTTCCTCGTACTCAGTTCACCCAAATAAGAACTTTGGCTCGCGAAACCCTACGCTTTCACCAACTCCTACGGAAACTTAGAACAGATCTGAAAACAAAACCCTAACCTGAATGCTGAAATCCCCGCCCATGGACACGTTGTAGGAGCCCTCCGATAGGAAATCCCCCGAAAAGCCGCCGCTTGCCTCCATCATCATCATCCGCTCCTTCTGGTCGAGATCGGAGGCAAGCGCTGCAAGATCAACTTCCGAGAAGAAGGGCCCCTGTAGAATGGTATTCACGCAGTGAACTGCACACAGTTTAGCCTCCTGCACCTCGTGGTAAAGGAGCCCGCCATTGCTAGGACCTTCCATTTCAAGGGGAAAGCCCTTGAAGAATCTTGTTGATGGATCGAATGCGAGTTTGCCAAACCCTAAAGGGAGTGGAAGCTAGAAAGAGCTCTTCTCGTTTGCTTTGTTTTTACTCCGGAGACGAAAGACGACGGTTGCCATTGTGGCCTTTCCTTTCACACAACGGTTTTCCACGTGGAGTGGTGTGCAACTTACGCTGGCAGACAACGAGTGCTTCAGTGATGCTGCATTTTTCGTCTCAAACACAAAAGTGGGAATCTATGCGTAGTTAGCAATATATATATATATATATAGGGATGTCAATTCGGGTAAACAGATCGGATTCGGGTCTAACTTGTACTAACCCGAGTGTAAACGGGTTGATCCGAACCCGACACGTCATGTTATACAACCTGGACCAGACCCGAGCAGGTTTACGGGTTGACCCGACTCGACTTGTGGACCCGATCCTTCCATCTTCCGCGGGTTTCCAGGTTGACATGACCCGAGTAAGCCCGACCCGCTAACCCGGTAATTTTTTTAATATGTTTTTTTTACTGTTACAAAAAAAAATATACATTTACAACTTACAAGAATTGAAGAATACAACTTAAATACTTAATATGATTATAAAATACAAGTTACATGTTACAAAATGACATATAGTCTTATAGGATGTTACATTGTTACAAATTTACAATTATACAATAAAATGCAAGTTACAACTTATAAGAATATAAGTTACAGAAAAATATTATAAAATAGAAATACAATTTAACTAAAGAAGTGTCAAGCTAGCGAGCTGCTTTTTATCTTTCGCTCTTTACATAATTTAACCTGCAAGGCTGCAAAAGAAAAAAAACAAATAAAAGCAACAATTCGTTGACTACTAGTACAAAATGACATATAGTCTTATAGGATGTTACATTGTTACAAATTTACAATTATACAATAAAATGCAAGTTACAACTTATAAGAATATAAGTTACAGAAAAATATTATAAAATAGAAATACAATTTAACTAAAGAAGTGTCAAGCTAGCGAGCTGCTTTTTATCTTTCACTCTTTACATAATTTAACCTGCAAGGCTGCAAAAGAAAAAAACAAATAAAAGCAACAATTCGTTGACTACTAGCAATCAAAGTCGTAGGCTCAGGGTGAACATAGCAAAGAAACATCATATGCAACAATAACATAAAATGTGCCATCCAAAGTTACAAATTGGTAATTCTATTCAATTAAATAGTATCCGCTCAACCCAATGTAAATTTCTTTTAATCTTTTACCAATTTATAACTCGGTTGCATCTAACTGTGCGACGCAACTGATGCATAACTTCACCAATTTCTTAATCATCACCATATAAACCTCAATATCTCATAGCGCATTGCCCATTGCCCATTGCCCAATCAGACAAGCAACAAAAGAAAATTTGAAAACCAACAGGCAACAACAGACATCAGTATTAAAAAACCTTAAAATCCGACAGCTACCAACAACTACAACTCAGAGAGCCCAAAAAAAAAAAAAAAAAAAAAAAAAACTAAGAGCATGTTAGCAACCTCAATAGTCAATACTCAATACCACATAGTCCATTTCAGGGACAACCTTAAAACCCAACATGAGTATGCATCTCAGTTCTTAGAGCCCAAATAACATAAAAAAAAACTATCATCAAGAAATCAACATCAACACTATTAGCAAGACAACAACCAATAAAACTATCTCCAACACTTTCAGGAAGACAACAACCAATAATAGTAAACTATCAGCAAGTCACCAACCAATTACCAACGGTCCAACTCCAACCCAAATGTCAACACCAGCCAACTGTCCAATTCCAACACCGGCAACACCATATACCAACAACATTTATCTCGCAATAACAGTAAATGACATTACTCAAATTGTTATAAACCTCAATAATAGTAAACCTAATTGTTATACCAATAACATCTATTAGAATATTCATAACAACAACTATTAAAATTAACATAAAAGCAGAGAAGAAGAAATTAATCAAAACAATGAAACATAAAGCCACCAATAGTACAACAACATGCTTTACAACATAAAGCAGTGAAGAATAATGTCTCCAAAGCCCATCAAATGTTCACTGAGTAATTCAGATTGTCTCAAAATATTAACCCATTCCCCATAGAGTGCTCATAATACAAATTACATAAATTATAACACTAGAACAATGTCTCAAAAGGTTAAGATGCTAAGTTCACTAAGTCATTCATAACTCCCATTTGGTTTACGTCGAAATCCAAACCCATTATATCAACTGTCACCGCATCAAGCTCTGGGTCTTTTGTATATATTAAAAAAACAGCAATATTAATTTGTTACCATGTACACTTATAGTTATACACTACAATTCAAGAATTAATATTTAACAATGCTAATTTATTACCTTGCTCATCGTACAACCAATCTTTTGTGCATACCGACGCTTCCACAATATCATGTTTCAATGCACTTCGATATTGGTCGAGAACTCGACCACTATTGCTAAAAGCACTTTCGGATCCCACAATGGAGATTGGTATGCACAAAACATCACGAGCCATTCTTGAGACCTGAGGAAATCTGAACTGATTAACTTTCCAATACTATAAAATATCTAACTCACAATTCCTATCCAACTTGAGATCATCCAAGTAACTTTCAAGCTCTAACTTTCCTAGGCATTGTTACTTCTACTTGAAAAGAATCATAATCCAGTGCAAAATACCAAATATCTTAAGGGTTGTGTTAATTTGTTGATGTAGTAATAAATGGAAAAGTAGAACACTAAATCTGAAGGAATTGTGATTTAATAATTATTATAGAATTACTAGTTGAAGAACTACTTTGTGGTAAAGATTGGGATGTTTGAGATTCAGGGGTTAAGATTCCCTCATTTGTTGCTGAGTAGTTAGAAAATAATATCTCCAACTTATCCCTAACTTTGCCAAGCTTAGCCATAGAATCCCCCACATATAGTTTTTTGTAACACCACTCGACAAAATTAAATTTATATCTTGGGTCAAAAATTATAGATATTGCTAAAATAACACTGAAGTCTAACCAGTACTTCTCAAATTTGGCAATCATGCCAATAATCAATCTTCTTATATATTCCTGCCCACAAGACATTTCATACTTTAACGTGGCATACGCAGTAGACATACATGGAAAATATAGATTTGCAGTAGGGTATTTGGATCCAGAAATAGAGTTAGTGATTTCGTAGAATGGTGCCAAAAACTTGCAAATGTTCACCATTTTTTCCCACTTAGAATTTGTAGGGCAGCAAATGTAGTTGGAGTCACCGAACTCTAAATGCATAAAAGCACGTCTAAAGTAAATTGCACTGTCCAACATAATAAAAGTTGAATTCCATCTAGTTGGTATGTCTTGCCTTACGCCTCTATTATCTTCAAGAAAACTTTGCCTTACACATTCAAGAAACTTATGTTTTCTTGATTGAGAACCCTTAACATATTTAATGCTTTCACGCACCTTCATAACATATGAATTTATTTCTTTTAATCCTTCATGCACAATAAAATTTATTATATGTGAACAACACCTATTATGAAAAAATTCACCATCATTTGCTAGTGGCAACATTTCAAAATGTCCCCATATCGTAGAAGTCAACCTCCTTTTCTTTTTATGAACACTTCCCTCATCTCTTATTGTGTTAGCATTGTTCAACTCATCACTATCACATTCCACTTCATTATCAGTAGGAACATGCTGATTATGCTCAGAAGTATTACTCGCAACAAATGTATTAGAATTCTACATCTAAATACAAAAATACAAAATTTTACTCATAACATCAACAACATGCATTAACAATTCAAATAGACAAACATCTCTATGACTAATAAACTTATTCAAGTCTGTAAATATTGCAAAATTTCATCCTATTCTCCATATTTCATAACAATATTACATGATAACACTACATGTCTACATAACAGTATAATACTATAATAGATTAATAGTAGAGGTAATTAGTAATATGTTATTATATCACTAAAATAATAAAATTACAGTTATTATATCACATCCTTATCACACCACTTTTTCTATTTTTTGTAACATAACATCATAACAGACTGCAGGCAGGCGGCAGCAAGCCGCCAACTTCAAGAGGCCCAAGCGGCCAAGCCCTAATCTTAATATTTTAAATTTATAATAATTTAAATTAAATCCTTTAATTTTTTTTGAAAATTATAATATATAATATATTAAATTTAGGTTTAAAATTAATTATTTAATTTTTGTTAATTAAATTCTATTTAAAAATAATTAAAAATTAATAAAATAAAATGATATCGTATTTTGATGATCTTAGGCACGTTGGATTCGTCTCGTCGAGCCGCTCGATTCGACTATATGTATGTTACGTTTGAAATTCGTTTGTTAATCCCTATTGCGGTTTGAACCTTCCAAAAGTGATTCGGGTCTTTGATTTGAACTCATTTAGGCTTGAATTTGATTGATTTTGGTGTGTTGGGTTCGTAATTCTAAGACGCTCAATTTTGATGTAAGTTTGCTGAAATCGGAGCACGAATGTTCCCAATTTTAATTTCAGAAATTTCCAAAAGATGATTTTTGGATGGTGTATAATAATAATAATAATAAGAGAGAACTAATTCCCAACTAAAATTTCCCCCATTCGGCCGGAATTTTTCGAATTAGAAACTGAAACAGGGAGATAAAAATGGCGGAACTCGAGGGCGGTTAAGACGTCTTCGTACGCTCCCTTTGCTCTTCCTTCGTGCTATCTTCCTCTTTCTTTCACTCGAAACCCTCACAAGGCCTGTCTCTCCACTCCAACAGCCACACCAGCCCTCAACCTAACATCCAGCCCATGTATAGTCCTATCGCCAGCGTGATCGCCCGGATCCTGCGCTCCACGCTTCCGATCTTGCAGCACCCTCCTGCCCAGTGCGAACGAAGCCTGGTCCGGAGACCCCATTCCGCGTGAAGACCGGCCGGTCCTGCCCTGCCCGCTTCCGACTCCATCCCGTGGCCGAAAGTGCCCAGCCTGGCCTGGAACCCTCCTGCCTGCGTAAAGACATTGAGGTAGCTATTGGCTAGAACGGATCTAAAACACATCTTTTTTTTCTTTTTAATCTGATCAGCAAGTAGGATGCAGTTACACAATTCTTGACTATCAGATGTTTCATCAGGTAACATTTATTGCTGTAAACCTTTTCTTTAATGTAAAATTCTAGCCATCTTAACCCGTCTCTCCTTTTTCCTTTC